ATACTTGTCATGTTCGTTTATTTTCGCCGTCACCATAAAGAAGGTCCTCATCAAGAAGTGGCGTCTCAGCCGACACCTGAGTCTGTTTCTAAAGGACTGTCTTCTTTCTCAGGAGCTTCGAACTTAGGGACGGAGGATTTATGGAGTAAGCAAATGCCCCTCGGACCGACACGTCTGCAGTCCAGCTAGTCATCCGCCCATCATCCCGCCCATCTATATATATATGGATTGTATCCATAGAGATTGGACGCCTTTTAATTGGATGTAACAGTCCTTCGCCCTTCCCATAATTTGCCTTTGCAAAGGAACACTGCAAACACGATCTTACATACTTCAATATACGACGCCTCATTTTAGGAAACCAGAATGTTTCGCCAACCAAAGTCATGCACCTATCAAACCCATGATTTCCTACATCATCATGATGTCTTTTAACTAAATTAAACCTCGCCATCCTAGGAACATATAATTTATCGCCTTTTAGAGTTATCCTATAAAGTCGCCCTTCCTTGAGTCTATAGTTACTGCGGATGTCAGAATCAGCAGCCTTTGTAGTCAACACCTTTACAATATCCTGTGTAACAGGATCTTGTAACTGGACTGTTAAAAACCATTCACCTTCCGCCATGTTCACAACCATTACAGGATTTCTACTCAAGGCATCTATATGTTGCATTTTTTCACCTGGTCGGTATTCAATTTCTAAATCATATTCCTGTACCGCTAACCACTACCTAGCTACACGAGGCATCAGATCTCGCTTTAGCAGTGTACTCCTAACTGCTGAGCAGTCAGTTATAACTTTGAAATGAATACCTAGCAAATAGTCTCTGAAGTGTTTAATTGACTCTACCACCGCTATTGTTTCCAACTCATAACTATGATAATTTTGCTCGTGCACACTCGTCGTCCTGCTAAAATAAGACACTGGTTTCATCTCGCCTGATAATTGCTTCTGCAGTAATATACCTCCTATTCCATATTTACTTGCATCAGTATGCAATTCTGTATCAAGTTGACTATCATAAATCGCCAAGATTGGTCTACTTGACAGCAACTCTTTCAATTTGTTAAACGCCTGGTGTTGATCCTCTACCCATCGCCAAGTAGCATCCTTCTTTGTCAGGTCTGTTATGGGTTTCGCCAATAATGAAAAACTATTTATGAATTTTCTAAAATATCTAGCTAATCCTATGAACTGACGGACATTATGCACACTTGCAGGGATTGGAAATTTAGCAACAGCCTCAATTTTCCTTTTCGCAGGTCGCACGCCTTCTGAGCTGATATCAAACCCAAGGTATTCAATCTATTCCTGAAGAAAAGAACATTTTTCTAGCTTCAGCTTTATTCCAGCCTTCTCTATCCGATCTAGCACCTTATCCAACAACACCAATCCAGAATCTATATCATTTGATGGAATTAATATACCATCCATGTATGCTAACATATCTTTTACACGCAATTCACCAAGCATTTTATTGATCATGCGTTGGAACACTGCTGGGGAGTTAGCTAATCCAAAAGGGACACGAAGGTATTCATATTGACCATCTGGTGTAATGAATGCGGTTTTATTTATTGAGTTTGGATGCATAGGAACCTGATGATATCCCTGTGTCAAGTCCAGGGTAGTAAAGAATCGCTTATTCGCCAAGCGGTCTATTCGATCTGCGATTAAGGGTAAGGGATATCTATCTTTCAAAGTAATGGCATTCAAAGCTCGATAGTCAACACATAGACGAACATCATTTGTCTTTTAGGGGCCAATAGTACTGGACTTGCAAACTCAGAGTTAGACTCTCGAGTGATTCCTCGTAACAACAACTCTCTATACGTTGGCGCACCAACTCACTTTCAGAAAACGAAAGCCGATAAGGTCTGTAGAAAATAGGCACCAGCCACTAGTAACCATACTAGTCAACTTAATTTCCATTTGTGCCAGATCTGTCACACCTAAATCTTCACTGCTTTTAGAAAAACATTTAGCCCTCCTGGACAACAAGACATGCAGTTTTTCTCTATAACCATCGCCAATGTTGCCAATCATCACTTCTTGAAAGTTCTGTTTTCTAATTACAGTGACGGACTTAGTAGGCTCCAGCTTATCCGCTCGGCCTATCAGTCTACCCTTCTTTATCTTCATTTCTCCCTTTGACAGGTTAAAGATAAGCAAACTATTCGACTCACCACATTTAAAAGTACCACCTGGAACAGCTAAAGATTCATTATCATAACTTATTAGCTTAGGATTCATTACCACTGTGTCACCAATTTGTCCGCCTATAACATCAACTCTTATCGCCGCTGCTGTTCTTAACTTAACTGCTTAACTCTAACATCTTCAGCCAAAACCACATGAATCCTACTTCCCACAATGTCCAAGTCGATCATTGCCTGAGACAATTCCATTAAGTTGTTTGCCTGTACAACTCTTTGTACTCTATTCTGCAGAACTAATGAAACAACTAAAGAGTTTAAACCTGCCTGTCCAAGGATTAAATTCACAAGTCCCAATGCACCCTTAGTGACCTCCGCCTGAATTTGCAATTGCACATCATCAATAAATACACAAAAACATGCAACACCTAGTGACATTTCAACGCCTCCTGCAAAGCCTTCAAGAATCATAGGTGATTGACTGGAGGCATAACCGATCCGCCTAGCAAGATCCAAACTAACAATATTGCATGCACTTCCGGTATCAATGTAAATGTTGATGTTTTCACCATTCGACAAGGTGCCAACACGCAAATAAGTATCATTAAAATTTATATTAATCATCTCTACCTGAAAACTTGAGCCAGAAGGCTTTTTAATTTCCATCTGTACCCCTTTCTGGCGGGACCCGTATGTCCTTCTGCTCCACAATTTATACACCTGTCCATCTTGGGTAGTGGGCAATCCCGGCTGAGATGACTGCCCAACCGTTGGCAGTTGTAACACCTGATGAGCCTCTCTTCCCTTCCGCCTCTTTATTGCCTAACAGACTCTTGCCTTTTAGGAAAATTCGCCTGTGGACGGGTCGTCTCTTCCATCAAGTCTCCACCTGTAACACAGTATGTCTCCATACTGGCTAAAAATTTATTGTAAAGTGCTTCCGGTGTTCGACACTTAGCCGCATGAGCATTGGCCTTCAATTCTTCAGGAAGACCACGAATTATGCAAGATACTGCATTCTCGCCTTGTATGCAGCATCTTGTGCACAATTCAAGTTTTGCTCGATAATACTGCGTCATGGTCTCTGTTGGACCTTTACGCCTCAAAACCAACTCCTCCAAGACAGCAGAAAAAATCATATCGCCTAGGGAACGCCTTTTTGAACGCCGCCTTCCACTCCTCACAAGTCAAATCGTACCTGTCAAGACGATTGAAACACTTCTTCTCAGCTTTCGCCAACTTCTGCTGCATAATAATGGTTCTCAGACCATCCATGAATTCGACCAAGTTGGTCTATTTTGTTCAGCCACCTGTCGACATTGACTTCGGAATCATCCGGGTCAAAGGGATCGATGATGTCGCCACTGGCCGCGAACCGACGCTTACTTCCCTCTGTAGACCCGGAAGTCTCTTCATCAGTCGACTTCGACGACTCGGACATCTCGCCCAAAACCAACGCCGTCTGTTGCTAAATTGTCCGCCTTATTTGCTCTGTTAGGCCGCCATCTAGCAACTGCCTAATGATTGCTGCGGCACAATCCGGCAGTTCAGCATTTGGTTTAGGGCCGGAATCGACATTTCCTTGAGATTCGCCTGAAGAAGCCGAATCCATCTCACCTTCGCTCGCCTCAAGGTTTAAGATGTCTTCTCGGTCTGAACTTCCCCCAACCCACATACTACAAATCGCCTTTATGTTCCGTGAGCTTATCCCACTTCTGAAATGTAAGGATTATTAAAAATAAATATCAATTTTATATAAAAGTAATTTAATTAGAAATCGCTCGAATACAAGACGCGGTTGTCCCAAACAACCACAACTGCGTAGTCTCCGTGCGTACTGCGCCGTTTTCTCCTCTGCTCTCTGACGTCAACACGAACCCCTCAGAGTTGCCAACCGTCCCAGTGTTGCCGCCGGTTCTCTTCTAATTTTTCGGAGGGGCGCCTCTTTTCCCTCCACTTGTCTTCGTCCATAACAATATATATATTACGCAGGGTGGGCGACCAAAACCGGAGGGGTTAAATGCCTGCCCTAAAAGGTCCGGGACTTGGCCGGGTCACGTGTCCTGCAAAATCTCTTGGATTGTTCACAAACCCCAAGATTTTGGACCATTTTATCCCGGAGAGTGATTTGGTGATGTCCGCCCTTTCAAAGATTTCAAATCTGGACGTAGCATACCTATCACACTCTGTGAGGTAATGTCTTGCCGTTTCTTCTTTTATTTTGCAAAAACGGCAAAAGGGATCTGGTAGAATACCCATTACGGAGAGGTATCTTCTCAGTGGGCAGTGGCCCGTCAGAATATCTATCCGCCTCCTAATTCCCTTCCTTGAGATAGAGAATAGCCATTTCGATTCTGCTGGTTTGATAACCTTAACGAACTCCTTCGATTGCCTGTGTCTGGGGGATAGATTCCATTCCTTAAGGAATTGTTTCATGCCCCAGTTATTAATACTCTCCTTCGCTGTTCTCATAGAGTGAGGTAATACCGGTTGTGGCCCGACAAACTCAGCATTAGAGCCTTCTTTGGCTAGGCTATCCGCCTCTTCATTGCCATGGTGTCCTTTATGTCCTGGTATCCAAANCCAACCCCTCAGCGTTGCCAACCGTCCCAGTGTTGCCGCCGGTTCTCTTCTAATGTTTCGGAGGGGCGCCTCTTTTCCCTCCTCTTGTCCTCTTCCATAACATGATCTTACAATTATAATTCGCTTAATGTCGTTTTTTAAATTTATGAGGCTATTTAAAGGTCAGTGGTTTTTTTATAAATTTAAAAAGTAATGGGAATATATTTTATAATAGTTAAAACAAAAATATATACACATATCGATGTCTGTATGAATCTTTAGGGTAAAGTGGCGGCAAATCCATTGCGGGACTGATAAGTTTCGTGATATGGGAATTCGTTGTGTTGTCTTTTAGAAATTGATTCCGACAGTACAAATGACAGAATAAAAAGTTCATATTTTGCCTCACGAAAATGCGTCATAGTGATTATTCCCAACTTCTTCAGGAGTTTCAGAACGTCAATTCCAAAATACCACCTGAAGATCCTTTCGGTGCATCCGATCTGAAACGTCGTCACATTTTCATTAAACAGTACTTCTCTTACGAAAGGTAAATATGAAAAAAAATGTACAGACGAGCAGCATAAATTTTAAATGGCTCGGTATTTCCGTTTATCTCTGAAAATCTGAAAAACCACCCTTGATAAGAAAGGGCATTAGGTTTAAAAATTGTTAATCAGTTGTTCGACGTGAAGATCTTGTGTCGCCTAGAGATGTGTGAAGGTGTAGGTACGCTTCTAACCACTCATGGTTGTCTTGGTAAGGTAAGCAATGGTTATTCTGTTCTAAGATATCCAAGAATTATGAAACCCATCACAACCCTTCTACACTAAGTATATTCAATCTCTTCAACACTGAACTGTACACCATGGTTGGCCCAGTTACATGTCAAAATTGTTCAATTTTGACAAGCCATCTGAGATGATCTGGGGACCCTGTCCAAATCGATCGCTGCCATATCTCTACTTCACTAAATTCCTCGAATTTAGGTCAAGGTATGCCAGTTCTCGAATCATCTTCGCATACGGGTCTAAGACCGGAGAAGGTGTGCTGAATTCGACGGACTCTACCTCCATATTTGCAGTGTGTTGGCCAAGCTGTATGCATTCTGATCTGGTATGGCCTTGGAGTTGGGCATTCCTGAGAGGATTCATCCTTTCTTTTTAACTGACTGATCTCAGAAAAACAGTAGTAATTTTCAGGAATGACCTGAAATAGATTAGAGAAAAATTTAGTTAGTTAACTTGGGCACCAGACATAAAGCCAAAGAGAGAGAAATTTGAAGAAAGATTCACCTTGGGTTTAAATCATAAAAGAAAATGCTCAGACCAGTAAGCATAGGCAAGAGTAAGGATCACGTTCACTGTATTAAGCTAGAAAAACAGATAAAAATAAGGTAATAAAGAATGGCTTATTTAGATATTCCATAGAAATATTTAGATGGACATATAAATAAGTAAATAAAAACAATACCATGTAAAAATCAGTAGTGAAGAGATTTTGAAACTTTTCAAGTTTCAGATGGAGAGACCTGTCTCTTGCAGGAAGTCTATCCAATACAGAGTACAAGGCTGGATGATGACAAACATGTGAATGAGGAGGCAAAAGCCAAGATGGCCCACCCCTCCAGACCTTACTATCATACCTGTCCTCTTATGCTAAAGAATATGATAATGAAAAGGCGGCAGCATCAGTGGACTGGATCATCCAAGACACTTGTGTATCTAGAGCATGATCAATAGGTGGTCCCCAGAGAATCTCAACCACAGAAAAATCTATGCCAGTTACTGGACATGGGATAACTGTTTTGTTATGTTAATCAGAAACTCATCCACCGTTCAAGAAAACAAAATGCTGAAAACCATTTGATGGAACGAACAGGGCAGGATGATATAAAATGTCCAAAATACAAGCCAACCACCTTGCAGACCTCAATAAAAAATCTCACAAGACTTTCAGCAACAGAAAATAGCAAAATGCTTCTGACAGACAATTATGGCATAAATAATTACACATGGAAGTTTGATGGGATTAATGATAGCTTAAAAATTAATAAAATTCAATGGCAGCTCATGAGAATCTTCTATGTTGGTTTTGGAAGCCTGGGCTCAGACCACCTGCCCAACAAAACTAGGCTGTGATGATTATTCAGAATGGTTGGGCAGAATAGAACTCAATACAACTTGAATATTATTTGCTGCCATTGACTGCATCACACCATACTTTCGTACACACGAAAAAACAATATATCTTATAAAATAAATGGTCCTTATATCCTTTTAAAACCAAAATGGCACCCAGAAACTATAGGTTCAAGCTGTTAAATTAAGTGGTGTACGCTCTCTATAAGGAGACAATATGTCTCTTATGTAGGATACATCAAACGTTTTTGCCTGGGGGACATGTGTTTATTAGTACTGTATTAATTTACAAACAAGCATGGACGTCACAACTTGCAGGCCGCACAGCAATTCTTGTATAGGAACCATTCTAGACTTCTGTTAGAGAGAAATAAGGGCCACATGAAGGACCTTTGTAAGTAAATAAGGTAGTGTCACCTATCCAGGAGACCAGTAAATACTAAGGATAGAATGCATTGGTCATGATCAATCTGGTTCTATATGTGATCAATATTTTATTTTATTTACTTGAAACCATAGGTCTTAAAATTATGAATAGATGTTCATATTGTTACATATTATATATATATNTATATATATATCCTGATGAAGGAGATGTATTCCTCGAATACTCAACTAAAGAACTGTATATTTTCTGATTGGCCTCATCCCTGATTGCATTTTTAAAATAAATTAAATAATATCAAGAAATAATTGTATCAGGAACTCCTAAAACTTAATCGTTACATATAAATATAAGCATTATAGTGTTGTCTGAGAGGTGGTGAATTTGTAGCTTGATCATCTCTGATCATCCATGCTGAACCAGTGAGAATAGGTGAACCAGGATTATCAGAGACAAGCAATACAGTTTTTATAATTGAATATAAAGTTGTAATTTTTATAGTCTTTATCGAATATTTTAGCCATTCGAATGTGACAAGTTGTCAGATTTTGGAAGAAGACCTGAGAGATTACTGTGACCTAATTGATGACAGGAATGGAATTAATAATTTTGCTCATGCAACACTCGGCCTTGTTGCTAATCTGAAGATCGGTAATTTCAATAAATCAAATCACTATAACCTTTATAAACATTTTTTTTCTTTCTTATCAAATAAGTTGATGGTATTAAACAATCCATATAAATATAAGGCACAAAAAAAATTCTAAACATTATCCATCATTTTTGAAATCAGTTTTTGCTGTCATACATTTTCAATTATATTTTAAAACTTTAAGAATAAGAAGGTAGTAAATCAAATCTCTAAATAATAATTTAAAGATTTTAATAATCTGTGACAAATATTTTAAGCTTACTTGTTGGTTATATATTATATTTTTCAACAACAAAAAAATCTGATCTTTATTCTTTTTATAACAGATAGTTCATCATGGAAAAGCTCTCTAAAATTAAACAGGCCCAAACTTGAAGATTTGTTGGTGCCTCTTCCTGGAGAATGTTACAACAAAAAAGATGAGGGATGTGCAAATTTCACACCGTCTGAATCTAAACTCAAGAAATCCTTTTCTACCACTCCATTGGCTGAATGGAAGCCTAAGAATAATGAAGAATATTTCTCCACTCAAAAAAGTAATCTATTTGTATTTTTTCTCCATATGTGTTTTAGTTTTATTAAATTCTTGTTTAATTTGAGAACAATTGAAAATAACATACCAAACTCAAGAACCTCTTGATTATTAAAAAAAAATTATTAAAAGGTCATTGTTTGGACTGTTGTCCATGGCACTCGAAGGTTCGACAATATTTCACACAAATGATTGTGCTTCATAAATTCCTTAGTAATTTGTTTTGGATAAATAAGAAACTGTAAAACTAACCAAAGCTAAATAATTCCAGGTTCAAGTGAAACTGGATTTGTCCCAAAACAGCCCAAATTATATTCTTTGTATGGGCAAGAGTCTGTTAATCATAATCAAAAACAATTTGGCAGGCAAAATCAAGGTGATAATAAGCTTGTTTGTAAGTCAATACTTGATCACGGATATCTTATTTTTAGATATATCGAAGTATTTTAAAGGGAGGTCTATGAGTGGCAGCAATGAATTAGAAAATCCAAACAGATTTGATAACGGGAGGACAAGCAGTCAAACGAAAAAAGTAAATAATTATTCTTAAACATTCGATGGAGATTTTCATCATCGCCTTTACAGGTGTATGGAAGGACGAGAACAGCCATTGATGATGATTTTGATGATGTCCGTACATCAAGAAAATACTTTGCTCGTACTGGTGGGAGATATAGAAAGAGGGGTAATCACAGTCCGGAAGAAACCCCTACTATGAATGTTGAAGATTGTTTCATGACTGCCAGAGAACAGTTGGTAAGTATTTAGCACAACATACGAGATTAATTATTATTTAATATCTTGAAATTTAAGCTGCTGGAAAATCAAAAGAAAAGTGGAAATCATCAGCAAAATGAAGATAGGACAAGTTACCAACCTGTTAACCCTGGTAAGAAGACTTTGGGAGGCAAGAGACCAATTAGAAAAGAATTTGTTCCTCCATTTAAAAATTCAAACCGGTAAAGAAATATTTTTTATTTTCCAGATTTATTTCATCAATAAAGTGAGAATGTTTTATAATGAGATATTTTTTCTGTTTTCAGAGAGGAAACAGGTAACAGAAATGACAGCTCACAATCTGAAGATAGCCAGAGCCAGGAAGAGGTAGATGAAAGATTGAAAAACATTGAACCACGGATGGTAGAGCTTATAAGAAATGAAATCATGGATCAAGGAACAAAGATTGGCTGGGACGATATTGCAGGACTTCATTTTGCAAAATCTACTATTCAGGTATAGTAAGAGAGGAAATTTTTGTTATCACTAATAAGTAATTTTTTTTTTTTAATTTTAATAGGAAATTGTCGTCTGGCCTATGTTGCGGCCAGATATTTTCACAGGCCTGAGACGGCCTCCAAAGGGCATTCTTTTATTTGGCCCTCCGGGAACTGGAAAAACTCTGATCGGTATTTAAAGTGTTCTTTAACAAAAAATCATATATTTTATTTTTAATTTTGTTTTAAATAATAGGTAAATGTATTGCCTCCCAGTCAAATTCTACATTTTTCAGTATTAGTGCTTCTTCCCTGACATCAAAATGGATAGGAGAAGGTGAAAAAATGGTCAGAGCACTGTTCGCCGTAGCAAGGTTACTATTTAAATTATTTGTGAACTCTTTAGTTTAAATGTACAGTAAAACTTTCTCAAATGGACACTTATAATTATCAGACATCCCTTATGTCTAGAGCGTGGACTCCTGTGCAATTGCATATTTTTTTAAGCTGCTCGGAACATCGCAAAATCAGTTATTTATCTATTTCCAGTTAGATTGGGAATTAAAAAAAAAAAATTGCCCATCAAAATTCAGTGAATCTATTGCTTTAAACAAACTCCTCTATTTCATAGTCCTATGAACTTCATTATATTTCAGTTAAATTTTGCATCTAACACAAGCATCCATACGTTTATTTAATGAAAAAAAACACCAAAATCTGGATGTACATAATAAATCTTCTAAAATAGCAAAATAAAATAAAATGGAAGAAAATCTTAAATTGATGTTTGCTGTACCACTAGTCTTATTACTTTTATATTTTTTGATATAAAATTACAGAATTGTGTTCATTTGTAAACTAGGTTCTCACTTGGCGTTACTAATTTAAAAAAAAAAAACAAGCAGTCTTCTGTCCATAAGTTATTATCGAAAAATAATCAGAAAGAATGTTTAACAGATTTTTATCATTCCATGGTAGCTTCAAACATCCCTTTGAGCAAAGATAATTTCAGGCCTTTCAAGGATTTTTTGGAAAAATATTGCAGAAGAGAGTTCACTTAGAACAATGTAATTAGGAGTATATTTCAGTTGTTTCAGTTCGACAGTTGTCAAAATCAAGAAAAATGTTGAATAATTTAATTTATATAATGGTTGATGAAACATGATCGCTCGTGGTATAAACATTTGCTCCTTAGCAATCAACATCCTTGATCCTAAAACAATGCCAAACCGTTAAGCAATCTGAAATTTTTGAAAAAACAAATGACACTTTAACAACCTCTGTCCCAGATGCAATCAATACCGAATTTTACTTTTAATAACACAGCTCCTTATATGATAAAAAAAAAACAATATTTACACGCATTCTACCAGTAAATGGTTCAGGCCTTGCATGGCCCATGGACTGAATTTGCAAAATATTCCCTCAAGTTCACAACCGGCTCAATAATGGCAAACAAACAAAACAAAAAAACGTAAAGCTCCTCATTGAGCTGTTAATACAAAACCAATATGGACTGTCAACTTTCTCCTGAAAATTTAATTACACACTAGGGAACTTGGCTGGAAGCCGTTTATTCTGCTGCGACAATTTTTAAAATTTAAAGAATTGATATTCCAGATTGATGACATTGCACAACCTTTGACATAAAATCAATTTTGTCTGACTTTTATACGGTCACAACTCACATATAGGACATTTTCCAATTGCCGTTAAAAAACTCAAGGAGAGAAATCTTACTGTAAGCCACCAAATAAAAATCGTGAAAGATTTTGGAAAATCATTGGAGAAGGTTAAAATTAAAAGCGAGAAAGGAATTATAATTCATTATAAATTCAAATAATTTTTAGAAAAAATCCTGAATACAAAATTCTCAAAAAATTTAATGATAGTTTGAACAGAAATGTTTATTTTCTCAGGTGGAAAAGACCAAAAAATTACTAAGTTGTTACAAAAATTGCCCTCTTATGAGAAGTGAACGATCATTTTCTAAATTGAAACATATTTTGATGAGAGGAGACATTGTTTCACAGAAAAAAATTTAGAGATTTTCGGATAGATGTCCCAGACTCTTTACCCCGCAATATTGTTGCTCCGGAAATTGTGTCAGCATTGAATCAATGTTGCACAACATTGAATAAAGAATCCCATTTAAGATGGGATTCAAAATATACTAAAATGCAACACACCAGATTCAAGATTCATTGTCACGGAATGTCTCGGATGCAAGAAAATGAATACCCGACGCATCTCCGCGGCAAAGAGTCCGAACAAAGAATTCCAGTGCGTACCAGGCTTTAGGTATAAAAACTAATACTAATTAATCAGAATAATTAATATGATCAATTATGCCCACTAAGCAAATATGGATTAATCTAAAAATAATAAATAATCTAGCTAAATGTACTGTATGCTGTGAAAGAAACGTTTTTATATTTCTTAAAACTAAAAGATTTTTTATCACAGAGTTCACCAACCTTCTGTGGTCTTCATCGATGAAATTGATTCATTATTGAGCCAACGTAGCGATAGTGAACATGAAAGCTCTCGAAGAATTAAAACTGAATTTTTAGTACAGCTTGTGAGTTTCCTTATGACTTGAATTATTTCAAATTTAATTTAAACAAATAATAATAATTAAAGGATGGTGCCACAACTGGTGAAGAGGATAGAATTTTGGTTATTGGTGCTACAAATAGGCCTCAAGAGCTTGATGAGGCCGCAAGAAGACGATTGGTGAAGCGGCTTTACATCCCACTACCTGATTTGGAAGTAAGTGTCTATATGAAATAATAGAAATGGGTTCTCAACATTTTTTTTTCTTTTTACAGGCCAGGAAACAACTTGTGTCCAATTTGATGAAAAACGAAAGGAACAGCTTAACAGAAGACGCCATAATGGAGATCGCTACACTCACTGACGGCTATTCGGGCGCCGATGTCAAAAATGTATGCCAAGAGGCTTGTCTTGGTCCAATTAGAGCAATAGGACCAACAATGATGTTCAACATATCAGCAGAACAGGTACTAGGCTTATTATCAAAACTGAAATAAGACTGACAATGTTCTGTTCAAAGGTCAGACCTGTACATGTGGACGATTTCAAAGCTGCTTTAAAACGTGTGAGATCGAGCGTTTCATCCAAAGATTTAACACAGTATATTATCTGGGATGAAACTTACGGGTCAGGTGGTGTATGAATTAATTCTCAGTTTAAAAATATATTGTTAAATATATATGTACTGAATGCAATGTTTCATAATAGTTGCTATGTTTATATTAACCTTGTTAGATTTCAGTTAATTTCTTCTTCTATTTGAAAGAATTGTTTTGTAGATTGTGAAAATGTTGAATAAAATTTTTTTTTTAAATTAATTATATTTTTTATATAAGGGCTTGGTTGAGATGGAAAAGCTAGTGTCATGAGATGGATTCGAACCTACAACCTTTGGCTAATACGCCGCTCTGACCACTTGAGCTATCGTGACTTCGATCCATTCGAATACCAACTCCTTATCTCAACCTACAACCTTTTGAATTTTCCCTCCATTTGCCATATTTTCAGTTTTCTTTTTCCTCGAACAAATATACAGTAGTTACAATAGCTGGAGACTAATATTTTATAAAACAATAATTTATTCTTATATGTACACATTTTCCAAAAACTTGGAAGAACATTGCCCATATGACACATACTTTTAATTTATGCTTAAGCATAAATCAGCATATGATGTGTCAAAGTTATTCTTTTCTAGATTTAAAGGGTTTGTTTGAAATGGTAAAATAAACAAAAACTACTAATATATTTATTTAATTCATTTCAACAGTAACAATAGAAAACTAAACAATAAAAATGGATATTAGTTTTTATTTCGAGCTTTGATTATATTAGCTATAAAAAATTCACCGGCTTTGTAAGAACTTCTGACTAATGGTCCACTTGCTGTATACAAAAACCCAAGTTTGCTACCTTCGTTTTCCCATTTTTTAAACTTTTCTGGAGTAACGTACTCAACAACTTTTAAGTGGCGTTTTGTGGGCTGCATATACTGTCCTAGAGTAACGCAGTCGACGCCTGCAGCCCTCAAATCTTTCATAGTACGCTGAACTTCTTCATCTGTCTCTCCGAGTCCCAGCATTATTGAAGATTTGGTTATCAGGTCTGGTTTGAACTCTTTCGCGGAATTAAGGACAGAAAGGGTTTGTCTATATTTAGCACGCGGGTCTCGTACGAAAGGAGTGAGAGATTCGACAGTTTCGATATTATGTGCGAATACATCTAATCCAGAATCGACGATGATTTTCACGCAGTTTTGATCACCTCTGAAATCCGGAACGAGACATTCGACCATGATTTTTGAATTCTTTTTCTTTATCTGCCTGACGGTTTCAGCAAAATGGTTCGCCCCTCCATCTGGAAGGTCATCCCTGTCGACAGAAGTGATCACGATGTAATCCAGGCCCCAAGATGATATGGCAGAGGCAGTGTTCTCAGGTTCCTTCGGATCAGGCAGTGGTGGATTTTTAGCCGTTTTGACAGAACAAAACCTACAACCTCTGGTGCATGTATCTCCAAGAACCATGATCGTTGCCGTAGCAGTGCCATGTTCTCCTCCGCCCCAACATTCCCCGATATTGGGGCATCTTGCTTCTTCACAGACCGTATGTAGATTGAGGCCTCGTAGCTGTTCCTTGATCCTGGAGAAGTTCACACCCATCGGTATCTCCTTCTTCAACCATGGTGGAAGCCTCAGCCTGTCCTTTTCGCCCTTCTCTCTTTTCAATTTACCTTTTGAAAATTTTTAAAGAATAAAACTAGTAACTAAGAGAATTACAGATGTCTACTGATAAGTTAATAAAGAATTTTTTCCCCTACCTTTATATGAACTCCAGTCTTTTTCTTCGACTTCCCCTTTGATGAATTCTTCCAGGCCAGGGCCGGAGGCGATTTCCTTCATCTTCTCAGGAACAGCATGTTTGTACCTCCTGAGGCAGATCCCAGGAGACTCGATGATCCTTCGGGCGAACATACCCTGCCTCGACCCAGGACGAGGGATGTTGAAATTTCAAAAGTCGCCCTTCAGAATCCAGATCAACATTGATAAGAAGTGATATCAAATGAGAGAGAAAAAAAATCGCTCAGTTCGCACTACAAGAAAATCTTTTTTTTAGCCTTGTTTAACCATTGTAATTTCATGTTAAATATACTGATTCATGCTTTAAAAAAATTATAACTATATTTAATATTAAAAAGATGAAAACGTCCATTGATATAAATTTACAAAACAACGAGGAGTCATTTATTGCATTTTCAAATCTAAGATGATGTAATCTAATTAGACAAAACAAAAATTGTATTTTTAATGAACAAAGTTTTTGTAATAAATTAATTCTACAATAATATCGGGCATTGCCTTGAAACTAACATAAAATTTCACTGTAATCGCTCGTAGCGAAGTACCAAAAAATTTACTTTTTATATAATACACAATGATACATCAGAATTTATTTAACCTACTAAAACTTTATATTAATTATTGTATTATTATTATTTTTGGGGTATACTTTTTTGTAAATTGTGGGGAAAATGAAACTGCTCCTCTCCGGTTTGTAAAGGGCTAGAACCCGTATGCGATATGACATACAACGAAACCTCCCGACCGTGCAAACTTGCTGATTTCGGCTACATTTGCTAGTTTATAGTTTCAGAAATTAATCGGACCCGGTTCAAGACTACGAGTTATGAAAAAACGTGCCTAAAAGGGAGAAACTCAAGATGCCAACAAGTTTGGAAGAGATTTTGAAAGAGGGAGACAGGATCCCGACGAGCGAGGAGATTGCCGAAGAGCTGACCAAAGATCTCGAGGCGGATTGCACCCTGGCCGAAGGGGCCCAGGCAGACGAACCTCAAGACACTCGAGAACCCGAGACCCAGGGGAAACCCAAAGACGACGACCTGATCGATGAAGACGAACTGAAGAAAAAAGACACAAAATATTCCGAAGATGACAGGCAGGTTTGTACAATTCTTCTTTAAAATTAAATTAATAGTAATGAATTTTGAAGAGATTTTCATATAAACTTTAAAGAGAAGCCTCCAATAGCGCTAAAACTTTATTATCATTATTTAGAGGTCCTGAGATGCGGTCTGGTGTGATGTAGGTTTAGAAAAAAAATTTCTTTATCGTGCCACTGTTTCGATCTTTATTGAGATCATATTCAGGGCTCAAAGGGTGTGTTTTCTGTTCAGATATGTCACTGTTGTGTGTTGTGTTGAACCACATCAATGACCATTTGAACGCCATTTCCCGTTCTTATCATGAATGTTTGCATTTGCAGTAGTAGCAAAGCAAAAGCACATTCAGCCAGCTTTCTATAGCAGTTGAGAGCCTGATGTGTCGCTTGTGGCATTGATAAAATGGATTTATCCGCTTCAACCTGTTTTATATTATTACTCTGCGGTATTTTATGGGGTTGAAGAGGATGATTTTTGTCAAAATGAAGGAGCCTGTGATGTCATTTTCCACATATACAACAACCACGGTGAGAGTTGCATGAAGAAGTTAAGTGTGTGGCGGACATGCAGTTAAAACATATTCTTCCTCGTGATTTCAGGGATGAAAAGTCAGTAGCCGCGCTGCAATGGTTAAATTGGGAGCGCTTGAACAATAAGTAGATTTGACTACACTATGGGCATTTGGGCAGAGCAACATCCGACCCTTCGTCAAACCAAAATTCACAGGCGATGTGTATTGTTCATTTTTCAAGTGTTATGCTGATGGATAAATTCTATGAGTTCTGAAAGAGTGGGAATGGTGCTTGGACGCCCTCTGCTTGCCTTGAAATGTTGGCGCAATGACGGCATTAATAATCTGAAGATTAAGGTGAGAAGGATGAATTCTCCTTCGTCTTCCAACTTCATTTCTAAATGAGGTGACGCTCTCCAAAACCTCTTCCATTATCTGGTGCATGGAGTTCAAATTGTCTTTCATTACAGATCGGTAATTGAAAATTCGGGTGAGATTAGTTGCTTGTTGGTTTAGGTTGTACCATTTCAAAAAGGTTGACCATGACTGCGGATATTCTACCTCCGTTAGCAGTATTAAGGAAATCGCCTGTAATGCGGAGCCTTGTAGAAAGGACCATAGATAATGATATTTTTGAATTCTTGACAATTCGGGGTTCGTTTGTATGAGAATGTTAAAAGTATCCCTATATGTCGGCCACTTGGTCAATTCGCCATCGAAGGTTGGGAGGTGGACTGTTGTAAGTACTGCATTTCTGTTGCCTTCACCAGGTTGTTGGTGTACCCAATATAAAGTGTGAGAGATTTGTAATATATATGTTCCATTTTACACTAACACTCTCAACACAACACACAACAGTGACACATCTACATAAAAAACACACACTTTGAGACCTGAAGATGATCTTGATAAAGATCGAAACGTTGGCACAATAAAGAAAATGGTTTTCTAAACCTTCACCACACCAAACCGTATTCACGATCTCTAAATAATCATTAATTAAGGGCATTAAATACTACACACTTTATTATAGTCAACAGATGTACAAATTCTTTCTATGCTAGTGATTTATCCATTAAGGTGATACACAAGGAAGTGTGTATCAACTTCCCAGGTACTTGATAACATGATACCTAGGGTCAATCTGTTGTCAAAATTGTCTTTTACTGATCATTTACAACGTACAATTAGAGAATAAAACTGTGTTAACCATGAAAATATTCCTTAGAAGGCATTGACTTCAGTACTGACAATTGGATACATGGTTGTTTAGAGAAACTGTTTCAATTTCCTTTTAATTTTCCAGCATATTATGACACATTTTTTCATTGTGTTACTTTTTTTTCCCCCCAATTTTGTTTTCAGAAATATAAAAAGGAGGCAGAAGCATTAAAATTGAAGGGGAACGATCAATTCAAAGCTAAAGAATTCAAGGAAGCTGCTCTGACATACACACTAGCTTTGCGAACATGTCCATACAGTATTTCAAAAGACAGATCAGTACTCTATGCAAATAGAGCTGCTGCAAAAGTTAAATTGGTAATTCTTTGCCCAAAACAAAAACAAAATATATAGATTTCTCTGTTTTTTATATTAAATATTTAATAGGGCCTAACTGAATCTGCGATAGAAGACTGTAGCAAAGCTTTAGAGTTAGATGATCATTATTTAAAAGCATATTTAAGAAGAGCTCAGTTATATGAGGAGAGTGATAAACTAGATGAGGCGTTAGCAGACTACAAAAAGATCCTTGAGTTTGATCCTACCAATAAAGATGCCTTAGAAGGAAATTTTGTATGTGAAAGTTGAATATATTTAGATAATTAAGCCATTTATTAATTATTAATTATTGTAGAGGCTACCACCTATTATCAATGAGAGGAATGAAAAACTCAAAACTGAAATGTTAGGTAAATACAGTTGATTTATGCAATATATTAATTTAAACAATAATTTTGACTTTTTTTAAAGGAAAATTAAAGGACCTGGGAAACATAATTCTAAAACCATTCGGCCTTTCAACAAACAACTTTCAAATGGTTCAAGACCCAAATTCGGGCGGTTACTCGATTAATTTCAAAAAGTAACCCATTTTTTTTAATTTTTGTACATAAATGTTAATGACATATTTATTTTTCTTTGTTGTTAAAAAAAAAAAAAAATTAATTCAAAAGTAAATTTTCTTTTATAAATTGTACAGCTGTTGTCTGTTCAAATTCTTTGATTTGAAATTCATGTATCAACATTTATACAAGCATAACACTATTATTTACGTACACGTTTGAAATGGTCTAGCCGTGCAATAATCTATTGTGAGCAAAATGGGTAGCACAAGAGATATGATTATCAGCTTTGTCGAAGGTTCATGTGAGGACAGGTAAAGTGTCAAGCCTTGTTTATTTGTATTATATATTGATCATATTAACATAGGTAATAATAAAAACATTATTCATTGTAAATACAATATACTTTATATTTTTGTTCGTTTTTATTTATTCCTTTATACCTTGGTAAATTATAAACTGCAGAATAATGACTTTTTTCTTACTCAACGCTCTCATTCCACCCATTTTTTAAAATATTTTTTGTACATATTAAACAGTTTTAAACTTTGTTAATTTGCTTGGCAATTAGAAATGCAACATCAACAAAAGCTGGATTAGTAGATAAAGTCTGGTTGATTTCCCGCCCTCCAGAGGGTCTGAATGCAAGACTGCCTTTGGTAAATTATAAACTGCAGAAAAACGACTTTTTTCTTTCTCAATGCTCTCATACCACCATTTCCAGGTTTCGGCCTTTAGATTAAACTTAGAAAGGCAAAAAGGCTATTCTGTAGAAGAAGAGATAAAGCCCAAAGTCAAATGGGACGACTTTTGTGCAGACTTACCACCAGACAAGGAAGGCGGCTGGTGCAACTGGTACAAAGTTGACGGGCCGTGTGAAAAGTATGACAAACAATTAGGTAAAGGTTCAGAAAAGGCTTCATCCGAAAAAAACAGCAGATCTCTAAAGAAGAAAAACAAACCTACTTGAGCATACTACATGTGACACACAAGATAATACACAATACATGTTCCATTTCTTACCATTTTGTATTTACTACACAAATAAATTTGTTTAAAAGTGTCTTTTGTTTATAATATCACTGATTATTTTCATTACAAAATTATATTAATTATTACATTGATCTACATTCAAATAAGAATATTTACTATTGATTGGATGAAAAATGATTGTTCTACTCAGTTTTTTTTCTCTCATAATAATCCAAATATTTAGCACTAAATGCTCTTCACCAGACTGAAATGAACAAGTACATCTTTATGTACAAAAGAGGTACTTGTGGATATCAGTCTGACAATGAACGTTTAGTTCTCAAATCTGGGTTACTGTGAAAAAACTACTATGAGTAGAACCATAGTTTTTCAACAAATTAATTGATGTACTCATTTCACCTAAATTATTTCTATTGTGTTACTTTTATTTCAATCGAACCCTATTATGGAATAATCCTATTTGATGTCCATGCTGTTGGAAGTTTGTAATTTTTTATTGAATTTGAGCACTTTTTTATAGTTGAGATTTTCTCTTATAGTCTGCAGGGTGATGAACCTGTAGTTGGACTGTTTATCCTTGCTGGACAAACCTCTAAAGATGGTGAAATGCTAAAACGCATCTGATAGATCAACCCAGCATGGATAGGCGGACCGAGACATAAAGATAAAATTACTTTTCTATAGTCCTACAATTTTGCATTGTACTGCAGGCCAAATCTGCATTTGTGAATTCTCCAAGGTAATCCAAACAAACCTACTTTCAAATTGTAGCGCTACCCTTCTCCAGAGAGAAAGCATAAAGGGAGGGAAATTAATTAGTGTTCACCAATTGTGTAGGTAGAAAACAGGCGATGCAATATCTCATAAAAGGCTTGGTTCAGCAACCTCATAAATTATAATTCATTAAATTCAAAATGTTTTCTAAGCCTACATCACACCAGACCACATCTCACAATCTCTAAATAATAATTCATTACACACAAAGCTTCAGCCATGGAAGACTGCCACAGGAAGTTTCATCTTTGACTATTTTTAATAGCCGTATTTGGGTGCTAGTGGTGAGTCATTGCAGGTTGACTCTTGTATTTGAAGGCCAACAGTTCTTTGCAAAGCCCTTAGAATTTTAATTGAGATTAATTTGAAAAAAAAAGTGGACTGGGTTTGTCTCTTTTCTTGTGGGTTTAGATATCGCACAATCATGTTTTTTTCCCAACAACCATCATCAGTCTTAAGTACATTGACTTAAAGCCCCTCTTGTAAGGCAGGAATTGTTTTACTTTTGATGCTGAGATTCTCTTCTTTTTTTCTCTCATTTGTTCATTTCCATTTAATACTCATCAGTTTACTTTATTGTAGTCAAAGAGGACAAGACTGTTTCTTTTACAAATTGGATTGAATAGGTATTTAAGAACTGTAATATTTTTTATTATTTGAAATAGTGAATTCAAATATAAATGCAATTTAAAAAAAAAAAACATGATTAGAAGAAAGTGGCGCCATGGGTGGGTCAGATCGGCAGAGAAGCTCTCATGTATCAAGAGCATTGCAGCCCTCGGAGGCTCTGACTCATAGAAGAAGGGTCATCCTCCCCAGTTAAAGAAAGGCCATGTGAGGTTGACATACGGACACCTACTTTTGTATCGAAGTTAATGTGTGTCCAGCATGTAGAGAAAGGTTGCTGACTTAATTGACAGCTTCAATGCTCCATATAAAGAGCCCGTAGGAATGCCACATGATATGAAAACTGTGCTTGAGCAGAGTTGTTTTATTGTATATATTACTGATAGTTTTGAGACCCTAGAGCATGTTGAGAATGAATGAAATGACAGGCTCAACTCTGTGCGTGCAAATACATATGTACGTGCATGTACAGATTTGATCTTATATAAATTAATAATCAGTGTATATAATACATAAAAGAGTTCATGTAAATCTTTTCATTATCATAAATAAGATAACGTCGATGATAAAATTCACACAATTAGAAATCCAGTCTAAAAGATAATAATATAACACTAAAATGTTATATAAAGGGTTAAAAGGCCAGACTAATAACTGATCTCTTTTTTTAAAGAGATTTAAACTTAAATAAACATTAAATTCAAATGTTTTGATCTTATTCCATTGATCCCAAATCAATCTCATCACACATTCTTTTGCATTTTCACTGTTTATTGATTTTTCAGTTATCAAAATTTATGATTTTGCTTTTTAATAAAAATGTAAATTTTACAACTTAAATTCAGTTTTTTTCCATTGTTTTTTTCTATTAAAGATGAAAATATTATATTTCAGAATCGGAGGGTAAAAAAAAGGATGACTACTAGAGAAGAGAAACATTGCTTTTTATAAGACTGTATTTATCGTAAAATATATAATATCATAACCAGATTGCTCGATTATATTAAACATTTGTAAAGACCAAGCTTGGTTTTCAAGTTTTGACGAATTTGTTTGCATCGTTTCCACCACTGAAGACTGTGATTTCACCGTTGTTGCAATAATCACCTTTACACAAGCATTTCACCTCTGTCTTTCCATCTTTCATAGGCGCTGAAGAACAACCCGCTTTTGCTGCTTCGATATCAGCACGGGTTGCACAACCCCTTCCAGTTAAAACAGCATCAGTGTTTCCACCTAATTTTTTTCAATCAGTTATAATTTTTATACTTTAGTTACAAAAATTGCCACAGTTTTTCAATAACTTGTCAATTTAGCGTTAATTAGTCGAATCTTACCAGACACTGGTTTCTGAATTGTGATGAGGCACCAGTCAGATGAACAGGTACTGTTTCTGCTAGTGTCCTGCCTCTTCTGCCAGCAATTTCCTTTTTTTCCAGATGAGATGCACCGATAGCAGTGTGTAGCTGCAAGAAAATAGAATGTGAACATCTTAACATTAATAAAACCTAGTTGATTAATATTTACCGAAAACAGAGCACACTACAGATATGATGATGAGAGTGAACAACAACTGCACCGAGTTCTTCATGATTAACGACTGGCTGAAAAATCAAAATGTTTATCTAAAACTGCTTGGCTTATTGACCTATCAATGATACTGGTTTTTTTTTTTAAATTAATTAACAAAGATCAAAACAAGATCCAATAAAAAGGAGAAATTTTAATAAAAGCTAGTATAGTTTCAGTTTCCCACTTACTTTCCAACCTTCCTCGCTAAGATCAAAGAATGGAATGACTGTGGCCGTGAGACTTAATAAAGGAAACACCAATCCAGAAAATTTATTCCTATTAATTCACTCCCACTTTCTACTTTTGTATACTGCCAATTTGCTAAATTTCTTAAAGAGATTGAGAGAATTGTTTCTTATTTTGAAAATTTAACATTTTTGTTGTCAAGAAATCACACGATATGCGTGATAAAATGTTTTGAAGTCATACTGACCATTAGGGATATTAGTTTATTTTTAATTTTTAAAGTGCTTGTATTAGTTTATTTTATGAATTATATTTTCAAATAAGAAAAGTAGATAAGTATACAGGAATTTATTAATCTTAGCAATGTTAGAGTTGGTTATAATTGAGTGAAAAATTTGGTCAAAGCACAGCGGATATGGTTGAGCAAGTCTGACCTTCTCATAATTGTTTGTAAATGCAAATGCTATTTCAAACGTGCTTTCCACTTCCTCCTATTTTGTTTTGCTTTTTCTCAACTTAAAAAGTTGTAAACTACAATACAAAACCCTTTTAATTTTCCACATTATATTGCCACAACAAACCATTATATTGCACTTTTATTGTCTGAACAATTGGCATAAATTAATTAATGTACTTTGATTGACTTCTAGTTTTATTACAATATGTTCTGTTTAATTGAGGATATGTTGAAACCAAACATAATTATTCAAATAAGAATAGGAATTGTTAATAGAATTGACATTGATGCGCACAATTGAATATATTTATTTTAAAACAAAATATTAAGTTATCAAATTTTGTAACATGTGCTTTTATGAACACTGCTAAAAGATTTATAATCCTCACATGTTTAAACACTAAGTTTTTTATTTGTAGAAAATATTCTGGCTTCTTTACTTTCAAAATTTTATGTGCAGTAGATTTCACTAACAGAATGCAGGTCCTAAATTAAGAACAATTATTAAGAACATATATTTTGTAAACAAATTAGCACAATGTACAGAGACTGGGATACACAGGGAAGAAGTACGTACTGAAAGTTTCAAACTTAGAATGTGTCTATGTAGTCCTCTTTTGGCATTATTACAATTTAGCAAGTCTTAGATTTTTTTATATATTTAATTAAGATTTTGTTTACAAAAAAGCACACATATCCAATAATGGCACCATGACCATATTCTTTAAAAGGATGTCTATGCTTTACATATTTTTTCAGAATTATAAATCATTAATAATGTGAAAACTAGGATATAAATTATCTGCATTTAGTTTTATGATGACTTTATAAGCAACAAAATAATCCCCAATATCAAACAAAAATATGTTCCAATTTGTTTATACTGAAATTGTTAATTATATGTAATGAAAATTTATGTACTAATATATTGGCTCAGAGACACCCTGTATTGATACTTACATCGAGATGCTTGATATTTAAAAAAAATATTATTGACATATTATATTTATAACTGGGGTAATATATATGTGTAAAATGGAATTTTTGCTAATATGTTTTTCCTTTGTAAAGAGCAAGCTTTTTCACCTTGTAATTTGAGGTCAACAAGGCGAAGAAATGAATATGAAAGAAGAGCAGCAGGTTAAAGCCTAAATCTAAAATTATTTAAATAAAAAAACAAAACTATATATTATTATGATTTCTATGTAGAACTCAAGAAAGAACTTACAAAGCAAAGGATGGTGTTTAATTCAAAAAATCAATGCAGACCAGCTACGGCTGGTGTCGTGTTGGACATTCCTTCGACGGTCACTGGGCCAGATAGAGTGAAAATGGCAAGACAAAAATACAGTGTTGGTTCCAAAGTGCTCACCAAGAGTAAATCGATTCCAAGAGTAGGTACTGCAAATAGGCAAACAAAAGGCAATATTTATCGTGGAAAATTTCTACATCCGAAAGCGTCAAGCACAGTTATAGAAAGGTCAGTTAGATATAGACCTGGAAGTGCATCTCATCGTACAACAAAGACTTCTTCTAGGACTTATCTGAGGCCTAAATCTGGATGTAAACCCAAAGCTGGTGCTTCGACATTGAAGTCTTGCGCCCCAAATAAATCCGAGGGTTATCAACAGAACAGTTCATTGGCTGGTGGCACCAGTCCAAAGACTTGTGAATCGCCTCGTAGGAGGGACGCTTCTCCTATCGAGCCAGCCCCTCCTTGTGAACCGATCACCTATAGGCCTAAATCCCCAAGAAAGCCAGCAGAAGATTATCAACCCATGCCCGGTACAAGTACAGGACATTATACTTACACAAGTAACATAAACCCCAAAAATTTATATATTTTTTAAATTGCTGTAAGTTATATTAACGGGTTATTGCAGATTTTTCAATAAGTTCAGAAGACTTGTACGCACCTCCAAGTCCTCCTATACGTGTAACTTATCCTACGAAGGCGAAGACAGCCAAAAATCGATATGGAAAAACTGTTTACTGCCCGACATATAGTTGTAAATATTATAAGAATCTATTCCTTTTTATGAGTACAAAATTTAATTGGAAATAAATTTTTTATTGTATTAATAATTTTTTGCATTGTTTTCATCTTTTATTTATAGCAACAACGGGTCAAGTTCCGCAAACCTCTGATGACTCTAGAGATCATTGTAAACAAAAAAGTTAGTAACTAATTTGACTAAAAATATATCATAAATAAGAGAGTAATAACACTAATAAAAAAATTCTCAAGGGTTTGTTTTAATTAATGTCATTATTTAAAATATATTAACAATTTATCATGTTTTATAGAGAGAGATAAACGTGAATATCCAGATGTTGCATCAATCTTAGAGAGTTGTGATCCCTGTCAAAATCTTCCAATACCAGATGAGTTGCTGCCAACTCGAGAAGATTATGAACATCCTAGTAAGTTTTTTTAATTATGTATTATGTTATCACATTGATAAATGGACCGCAATGGATAAGTGCTTAGAACGTCCGACGCACATCTGTCCCACTAGCGGTTCTGTGTTCAAAATCTGGCATAACCCATGTATTTTTAATGTCTACAAGACTCAATAGGTATTTGGACGTTAAGCCCTCCTAAATAACAGGAATAACTTCTTTTTTTTAATTTTTTCATTGGCATATTGACATGCAGGGCAAAAATATAAAAAGCAAAAAAGTTCAGTAAGTCCTGTGATACAGAAGTACTTAACACCAACCTGTTGAGTCCAAACAAGGGGTCAAATCACTTTGCAATTTTACAATTCAAATTCAATGGGCTTATGCCAGGATTTAGGACAGAACCATTGTTCACAGAACCAGACTATTGTAATCATTGGTCGTTATTTCTTAATTCAACACAAAGTAAAATTTAATTACTGTGTGTCAAATTTACATTGATCAATAACGTGACTGTTAAAACCTTTTGAAACTGACTATTATAAATAGGTCAACAATTTTTAAAAATAAATTAAATAAACATTATGAAATATGTCTGTGATATGATCAACCTACTGTTTGATCATCTCTGATTATCTTTTTCTGTCTAATATTGCTGAAAACTTTTGGAACCCCAAAAAAAAATATACATACGAATAAGCAAGTACATACAGATCAGGATTTACAATTTTACATGAGCAATTTCATTGCAACACATGTGTAATTTTTTTAATGAAAAATATGTTTCACTTTTATACATGATACACTACATATTTAAAAATTGTATAGCTTTAACACAACTACATAACAAAATCACAAATATAGGCAAGGTAATGAATATAAAATTTTTATTATTTTCTTTACACATAAAGCTTATATGTACTGTTTTAATTTTTAACTTTTAAGTAATTTAATTGTTTTCTTAAAGGTGCTGCATTATCTAAATTGGAGAAGTTCTTTAAATTTATTGATAACGTCGAACAACAAATCGGGGAGCACGCTGTGAAGCACAACTACTCCTACGGATCTCTCTTAGAGTCTAACAAAGAAAAGGATTTTTCGGAATCAAATGTTTCCAATTACAGACAGGATTACCAAATTACACAATCTACTGTATCACAAGACTTAAACTGCCAAAAACCCATCAGACAGAAGACACAAAGTATGAAGAAAGGTAATGTACACCCAAGAGGGAAGACACAGACGGGTGTCAAAAGAGGCAGCAGTTCAGCAAGAGGAATGCCAGTGGCACGAGGAGGAACGAGAACTAAAGGTGGTAGACAGCCCACAGGAAGGGTTTGTTCAGAACGCAATCAAAAGGGAAAAAGTTTCTCCTATAAAAGTTCCTTGGAGAAAATAAAAGAAAGAAGTATTGAACATGAAGAAAGAAAGTGCTTTGATCAAATCGGACGGCCTCCACTGGTTAATCCCATAATCGAAACGGCCCAGCGAATGATAAATAAGATGATTCCTTGCCCTGTAGTGACTGATATCCGTTACACTATGCTGTACACTTGTTTGGAGTGGGCATTGTCGCAATGCCCTGATCCAAATAACATTCCTCCTGAAACCAAAATGATCAACGCGATAATGGACTGGGAAGAAGAAGTGGAACGCCTTACAAAAGCAGGTATGAAAAATTATAAAAATTACTTTGTTTTTTGGCACTATTTTTTTTCTCCTTGTCACAGGGGAAAAGCCTGAAACGATAATAATAAGACCAGGAGAAATTGATCCTGCAAGTGTAACTGTTATCAATGTCCAAACACAAACTGAAGTCTGTCCTGTGCGCACACCACCTCCTGTGTTTAGACCTCCAAGCCCTAGACCTCAATATCAGTTGGATTCTAGGTTTGTACTCTTTATTGTTCTAGTAAAATATCTCAACTTGTTACCACATTTTTTGTAATATTAAAATCATATGATTACAAATAGTACTAATTAATGATCAATTTTGGTGTTGGATGACTTATATTAAAACTAAGTCATTTTTTAGTTAAAAAAATAAAATACCATTAAAATAAACTAATCAAGCAATTTGTAAAAAAAATAGAGCCAACATAAGATGGTTGAAGTATTCCCTCATATAAGTAAAAGAAAAAGTCAATAAATACAGTCTTTTAAGCCCAAAATAAATAAATAAGAATTGTGTAATGATCCTATTTGATGTAAACTGTGTTTCAGGTATGCAGAACATTCGATATTGTCACCCGAATGCTCACCCCGAGAAATTCCCCCAATGGAAATGGATGTGTGTCCACCTAGGCCTGAATTACACCAATATTCATATCAACCTCCTAAGGTGCGATCCAGGCCGAAACCCGAGATATTCCTCCGAAGAATGTAAGTAGATGTTTTTAGACAATTATTAACAATTAACTAATCTCGCATTGCAATTGACTAAAGGGCTCAACTAAGGGGAAGACGTGGTGCATATGTGCAGCAAGAGTAAGAAAATTTTTTTTGCAAATGTATAATATCCTTATGACTAATCAATATAAATTATATTTCAGTTTAGTTGAATCTGATTCAACATCATCAGAATGGTAGGCATATTCATATTCCTTGTTTAAGTATAAAGAAAATTTAGTTTAATTTGATGTACCCAAATTATTTTCTTGATCTTGATAACAATATATTTTTTCAGCCCTGACCCAGGCATGGAAGATAATGTATTGGACGATGACCTTGCTTGGCTTCGAAGGTAAATTGTTATATAAAAAAATTAAATTTTATTTCAAATTTTGGATTATCAATCTTTATTTATACCAAATTCTTAGAATTGAAGAGAATGACGACATTGAATTTGAGGTAGAAGTTGAAGATTTTGATGCTCTTCCTGAACCGGAATTGCAGAATTTCCTCATACCGGAGACAAGGTTTTTTTTTTTTTTTTAATTTACCCCTTTCCTAAATATGTAATGAAATTTTCTTCCTGTTTTTAGGGTTATATCCGCTGTGCCTACGGCTGAAAACCCCCGAGTTGCACAGCTTGATATGCAGAGCGTGCAAGTGATAAGAAATCCCGAGCAGTACATGGAACCACTTAATGAAAGTGTTTCTGCACAAGCATGTACAGCAGAAGTTTAGTCAGGTAAAAAATATCTATGTATATACAGTAGATTAAAAATAGTAATTAAAACTGTGTTTATTTTAGGAATACAAGTCTTGTTTGTGTTACTGGAAGATGGCATAACACTCTGTTCCTATGCTTGTGTTTGTACTGCCATAACTTATCCTTTTAAACACATTTCTGTTCTATCAAGTGTCGTTCTTTTCCTATTGTACCAATTATATCATCAAAATAAACAAAAACACTCCCAACTAGCAAATAAAATAAACAAAGCTCACAAAAAGAAATTTTGTTTTTAATGTAAACATAGATTCAGTATGTTCTTAATGTATAACCCAGGTATTATTACAAAGGCCTTGCATGAAAAAAAAAATTTTTTGCCATTCAATCTCTTTGATTTGTTAAATAATGTCACTATTCTCAGTTTATAGGACACAGTAACTAAAAAAAATCCTCATAATGAACTAGTGAAGTTAAAACCAGTCCAGAGTATGATTTAAAGAATTGGTATTTTTAGCTGAAGTTTTCTTAATCCAGGCTGTAATTTCATTGATTCTGTATACAATCTGTTTTTTCTTAATTTTTACTTCCAGAGTTAGGTGATCATAAAACAAGAAAATCAAATTATTTGCTGACAATGCATTTCGGCCTGTGACATTTCAGTCAGGAGAATGGAATCACACAAATATTTTAATTATTTTTGTAAGGTGCAAAAGTTTTCTAAGTATATATAACAGTCATAACCCAAGAAAAGATAAAGCATGGATTACACCTTTGCATTTTTCATGGCTCACTTTACAGCATAAAGTTTGCAGACTTCAATTTGCTCAGATCCAAATCTTATGGACTGATAAAACTGGGTTAATTGTCTCTTCACGGATGAATAAAAATTTGTACAGTACCATGATTGTTGATTGATAATGCTAGACCTAACAGAGCTAGACTCGTAATCGAATTCTCGTAAGATCAAGAAATTCGAAGCCTGGATTGACCGGCTTGCTTATCAAATTTAAATCCCATTGAACATTCATGGGATCAACTTCAAAGAAGGATTTTATGCTGGAATACCCTTCCAAAGATCTGGATAAACTGCAATCAGCACTTCTAGAGAATGAAAGGTGTCACAAGAAAGCGTTAAAATGCTTATAAAGAGTATGCCTCGTCGACTTCAAGCAGGAATTAATACTGAAGGTGGACCAACAAGATATTAGAATTGTGAAAAAAATTAAATTACAAAAAGTAACATGTATATCAATTTTTTCCTAGATTGAAACATGTAAATTTTTTAATTTTTAAAAATATTAAAATTAACTTCCTCGTCAATAGTTAAAAATCATTAAAGAAAAATTAATTGTTTTGTTGTATTTTTAATTTTCCACTTCAATTGAAAAATAAGTATGTATTACATTATTTTTATTACATGTTAATATTGTTTGTTTGACATATTTTCATATAATGTATTATATTGTTTTATTTTAAGAGTTTTGTGTTTTTTTATATATTTGTGATATTATTTACTTAAATTTCACAATAAAATTATTTTAATGGTCTTTAATGAATGTTCTAAAGTTGTGGTACTTTGTTTTGGAAAAGGGAATTTTTTGGGGGATCCTTGTAAAGTTTTATGTCTGCTGGGATTGCAGAAAAACCTCACTCGTGTGTTTACTGTTCTAAAATGTCAAACTGATAAACTGATAAACCCTGGGTTTTCTTCAGTAAGTAAATCAAATATGGAAAAAATGGAAGGAAAAGGGAAATTGGGAAATCCGTACGACATTAATGGACAGTACTTCAATCCTGACATGTTCCTTCAAAAACTGCTTAAGGTACGTTAAAATATGGTTTCATCCTTATAGAAGGTAAGAAAATATTCAACCCCAGCCTTCCATACTGCTAAAATCTATCATGCAGACATAATATAGGACCTGGAAAACATTAAAACAAGAACAAATTAAAATTTCTTCAGATTTGTTTAAAGGACACGCAGAAGATTTAGTTATGCAGTTAAATTTCCTAGATTATTATATATTCTAGATTATCTAGAACCTATACAGTAAATTTAGCTATTGCTTATGATTGTTTGTTTTCTCTCTTCTTCTTTTGTTTTTCCTGATGATCAAGCCACTGCCATGTACATTGAGACTATGTAGTGAACAGGTAAAGATATGGTCTCCATGGCTGGTGGTTCAACTACAGAAATTCACCCCTTGCTCTGACGACGAGCGACTCATTTAAGTTATCATATGGAGACCGTATATGTAGCTGTGGCCCTGGTCTAAATCCAGATAAGCATAGATAGGCGGGCGACCAAGTCACACTTCAATCTAACATGTAGCTTACTATTATTGACTGTCTCCCTAGTTCTGACAGATGTTTGTACTGTCTTTCGTATATTAGTACATCTGCCAGGAGCCACATCACCTACTAGTAGTTTGACTCGATACTTTCCTGATGTATTATAGATGAAAGTTCATGGTTTAGCTGTAAATCGTCATGGTAGATAGATGTTTTAATATAGAGAGGGTGGTCTGGTGTGTACCTTCTCAACTTCCTCAATGTTGAAGTACTCCAGACTTGTCACCATACAATAGAATGATTGTTTGGAGATCGTGAAATGCGGTGTGGTGAGAAGTTTAGAAAAACATTTTCTTTCATCATGCCAACATTTCGATCTTTATTGAGATTATCTTTCAAAGATCGAAATGTTGGCATGATAAAGAAAATGTTTTTCTAAACCTACATCACACCAGATTGCATCTCACAATCTCCAAATAACCATTAACTAACGATCACTAAACGATACACAGAATATAATAGTTTTTATTGTGTTCACACCTGAACCTGGCATGGATCCCTGGATACTCAGAACATAGAGCAACGAAAAGGTTGACATGTTAGCCAACATGGACTCTCTTGGCCCAGAACCCTACTGCGCCCTAACAGCCTGCCACAAAAGAGGATACATCTTAAAATGGATCCTTAATGAGACCAAAACCTGGTGGAACAACACCACAGGGATGAGGCGCGTGAAGATATTCATAGAAGGACCATCCGCAAAAGTTTCAAAAGAATTACTGGAAGGCAACTGAAAACAGAACCAGGATTCTGGTTAGACTCCTGACATGGCACTGCCACTTAAGAAGGCACATGCACCAGATAGGAATACATACAGAAGAAACACTGTGCAGGTACTGTGCTGAGGAGAAGACTGTAGAATACATTTTATGTTTCTGTGAATGTCTATGTTGGTCCAGGTTCTTGCAATTACTACCAGAAAAGCCACAAGCAAGATCCTACACCAAGGAGCTGCTGGCAAAGCTGTGGAGGCTGGTTAATATAAAAAACAGGGGAACACAATAGATCAATTCAGGTCGAGGTGCAGTAGACCTTGTTGCTGCCTCTTTTATCCCTATCCCTATTGTGTTCACAAGTTCATTGTACCAACATCAAAAAATAAATATACAATTTATTTGCTTTTTACAACCTTGAATTCATCCTTGTGGTCATATAGGATTTTCTATTAATAATTTTTTTACAAATGCTATGAATTTATTAGTCAGTAATGATTTTATCTTATTGGATCTTATTGAGGAGCATGTTGTATGTCCGAATTGCACTGTTTTCTGGGCTATTTGCTGTTTTTTCATTAAACAGAAAGGTATTACTAAATTATTACAATTTCTAGTATTTATCTTGGTTGTTTCAAGCGAGTCTCAATAATATGGCTTTCCTTAATATAGTTTAGACTAGAGTAAATGTATAGAGCAGGTACGGTCATTGCTTTCAGCTCCTTGGCTAGTGGTTTACTATCATCCTTCCGTTTTTTTCTTAAAGATTATTCTTAGTGTTTTTTTCATTTTTAGTATTTTTCTGCATATGTTTCTCCTCGCCAAAATCTAATGCCTTAATTTACAATTCCTTGAAATAATGATAAATATACAGTTTATAGTATATGGATATCATACTATCACTATGTTTAGTATAAAACAGATCAAGGCAAGTTTTCTGCATATATAGTCAATATGATTGTGCCAATTCATTTAAGCTTATTATCTAGTACAAAACTAGAAAGTTTACAGTTTTGTTTTCAATATCATAACTGATGAAGTGATTTTTATTCACATGTATAGCTAGGAAGTTAGCATAAAAATTACCACATCATTTAATATTTTTGTCAATTTTTTTATATTTTATTTACTAATAAAATTAGTATAATCAGCAAGTTGGAAGTGTGAAATATTCTTATCTGTACTATTTACAAAAGCTTTTAAGTCATTTAAATATATCACAAAAAATATAGGTCCTAAAATGGATCCCTGAAGTACACCATATTTGACTACTTCATGACTAGAATAAATTCCAGTTGTTGGTGGTCTCGGGCCAAATGAAGCTGTGTGTTCTGGTGAATTCTGGTTCTCTGAATAGGTGAAACGCCATCAATCCATACTTATTTAATATTGTTCGAGCAGTTTGTTCAGAACTTCCTGGAGCTAATGAATTGTTTATATATGCGCTCAATATTTAAAAATTAATAAGTATAACATAATATTGTTATCTGTATGACTACAGGAAAATGATTTGAGGGAAGTAATTGACAAAGAAGACATTATTGTCAAAGACACCCAAAGCTTACATTCTGACATGCAGACTTTGGTGTATGAAAATTACAATAAGTTTATATCAGCGACTGACACAATAAGAAAGGTACTGTATTGTATTGATTTAATAACTTTCAAATTTTTAATAAATGGATTTTCAGATGAAAACTGATTTTAAACAAATGGAGGCCGAAATGGACTCTCTGGGCAAAAACATGGATTCGATAACACTTTTCTCTGGGCAAATTTCTAACACGCTTCACGTAAAATTACTTGAATTAATTATATTTCAAAGTATCAGATTATAAATTAGATTTTTTTTTTAAATATAGGATACAAGGCAACAAATAGCAAAACTTTCAGCAACCCATTCCCTCTTGGAAAGGTTGCAGTTTCTCTTCAAACTTCCTAACAAGTTGAAAATATTGATCGAGGAAGGATCTTATTCCCAGGTGACTTACAAAATATATTTTTAAAAAAAATATATGGTCATTATATGAATAATAAATTTATCTAGGCTGTTCAAGATTATATGCAGACCCGGCACGTTCTGGATCATTATGCCCACTTGGAGTCTTTCAGTGGAATCAGAACGGATTGTTTGAGCATTATCGATCAACTTAAGGAAAAATTGCATGAACAATTCAAGAGTAAAGAAGTAATTTCAATTTTGTAGTCAGTTTTTTCCTAGAACGTTGAAAGTTTTCCTTTTCAGGCGACACCAAAAGAATTGACGGAAAGTGTTGAGCTTCTTTTAAAGTTGGACGAGCCTGTACAAAGTCTTTATTCTCAGTATTTGGAGCATGCAGCCTCGAGGCTCCATGATAACATTTTCATACTGGAATCTGAAAATACTGGTGATGTAAGTTTTAAAACGATAATGTTTATAAAGCAAATATATATTTTTGTAATTGTTTAAAGGATTTGGTGGATTTTGTTAATATTGCAAATAAAGGCTTTCTCTGTGAGCTCTGCCTTGTTGTGACGTCTTATAAGAATGTATTTATTTCCACCCCAGCTGATGGGTATGTATAATGTAAAAAATTACTTTATGGTTGTTTATTCAGAATTTTTTAGTACCAGTCATGAGGATGCTGAAGATGCAGGTCGAAGATTGAGTGAATTTATATTTGAGCAAATGGAAAAATTTTTAGAGTGCATACGGGCACGTGTTTTTATCGAACTGGAACGATCAGACATTCCTATTTTAGTTCAGTCTCTAGATATATTCTACTCAAAGCTCTGCTCTGTTACCACCCTTTTTAATGATAATCAATTTGCTATGTGAGTATTACATTGAATTTATTATCTTGAAAACAAACTTGTAAATTAACAATTTTAGGAGGGGTATACAGTTAATTATCGAAGTTGGAGAAAAACAAGCTGTTTCACAGAGAGAAACGCTTGAGGAAAAACTTAACGAGTTGATCCGCGGCGTGAGGCAGAGTGTGGCCCAAGGACAGACCGACATTAGTGAACTTTCTACAAATTTAGTACTGAACATTGTTGAGAGTGTGAAAGGTGTTTTAGGCCATTTCACCGTGGGTAATTAGTATTTTTCTAATTAGAAACTTTACTCAACATAAATGAAATTTTCAGCTATTCATTCAACCAGAACTTTCATTTGCGATTGACAAAAATTTCATTGCAAAGTTCTCTGCAAATTCAATGAGGAATACGTTGGTTATAAATTTCATCCATTATATTAATAAAACAGTTATGGGTTTCACAAAAAACCAAACACCTTCACTTTCTACACTTCTTATTTTGGCCAGTGTCTGTTTAGAATTTTCGTCGACACACATCAATTATCTAGTAATTTTTATTTATTTTGTCGAATAACTCAATCGCTTATGATTTTAATGTATTTCTAGTTATGTCTTGTTGACGAGTGGTTTAACACAAAACCGACAGCGCAAACTAACACTCAGAAAGAGGAATTGTGCAAGGAGATGCAAACAGATGCTCAAGAGCTGATCAATCATTATGTCAAGGTGCAAGGGAACATCATAAGCCGTGTCAGTCAGACTTCAAAATCCACCAGTTTAAAAGAAATAAGTATTTTTTAATTTTTATTTATTGAAATTCAGATGGTTCGTAAGTCAATTGAGACTCGAGATTGGGCCACTGGATCTGAGCCGAGGACAGTGAGGCCGGTCATGAAGAGAGTGATGGAAGAGTTAGCTTCATCTGATTCAGCTGTTGGTTCTTTGTTTGAGGAGGGGGTTCAGCCAACAGAACCTGGTTCTGGTTCTCGTCACCACCACCATAGGTTTTTTTTAATACTTAATTTTAATTTTTAAATGTTTAATTTTTTAATAATCTGTTTGATACAGGTCTGTCGGTCCTTCAGTTTGGTCGCCATCCACTGGCCACAGCTACACCCACAACCTCAACAAGATATTTTCAGATAAGATAGAAATATTCTCTCCCGTCGAACTGACCAAAGTTTCAGTTTTGACTGGTGTTATCAAAATTGGTTTAAAAGTATATATTACAATTAGAAATACATATTTTCGTAAATTGATCTGTTATTGTTTCTTAGACCTTTTTAGAATGTGTGCGATTGAAAACATTTAGCAAATACGGACTGCAGCAAATTCAGATTGACGTCCATTACTTGCAACTTTACCTCTGGAGATATGTTTCTGATGAAAAGTAATATATATTTTTTATACTACGTCAAATACTTACAGTGTTTGTCTTTTTTTCAGAATTGTTCATCTACTTCTTGATGAGATCCTGAGCAGTGCTATTAATAGATGTACAAACCCGGTTCTCATGGAACCAAGTGTAGTCGAAATCATTTGCGAAAGGGGTTAAAACCAAGAATTAAACGTTAACATTGTTTTTATAAGACTTTTATGTATATAATTTCTTCAGTAAAATTTATAATTTATTTAAGGTTTGGTTTTCCTAACTTGTTTCCATTTGACACATTTTCAAACCGAATCCATTGAAAAGTTGAAAATGTTACAGAAATGAAAAAGAAGTCTGAATAGCTGGATAGTAAGCCATGAGAATCACCAACCCCAGGTGTATGTGTAGGCAGTCTAGGTTGCCGATCTTATGACGGGCTATCAACAGATAGGTCATTTCATCCCCCAACACAATCATTCTCCATATTCAATTTGATTCACCCTCTCATTCATTCTTAAATACATTATTTCTTATTACATACCATTTACTCAGATAAAGTTGTGGGGTACTCACTATTCTTCCATCACCCTTGACACCTACTATATAACTAACCTAATTAAGGCTTGGTGGGTACTCAATATTTCGCCATCGACCCTCTCATACTGCTCATTTATGTTAATAAATACATTCACTCTCAACACACACAACAATGTCAACACTATTTGCAATAAAACAACCTTGTTTCCTCCAAGAATCAGAATAGATACTTGCTGTTGTCAAGCCAATTCTCATATTGGGGTATTCTTACTCACTCTTTACAAGGAGCCAAGGAATGGCAACCTTCTATTAAGTCCTCAAATCATATTCAAACTAGTTCAATTAATTATACTTTTTATCTAAGGTCTTGGTTGAGATGAAAAGTATAATTAATTAAAATAATTAACATGATCAATTATGACCATTAAACTTATATGCAATAATATATTAAAACTAGTACTAATTATATTTTTGCACACTCAGGGAAAAATTGCTAAGAAAAACAAAAGAAAACTTTTCAGGATTGCAATTTTAAAAATTTAGACCTTTGGTACAAGCAGGATACTATTTCTTGCAAGTGAATAAATATAATTTCCTAAAATGTTATGTATTGTAACTTTAATAACTATTTATAAAACAATTTTGATTATTCTGACAAATTAAGTCAGCTAAAAAAAAAGTCTTTACTTTATAATTAAATAGTAGTATCTAAATTATTCGATCAAATTGAATAGTGTGGATTTCAAAAAGTATAATTACATCAATATTTGCCAATGAACACGACGTAGAAGTACATTCATTACATTATGTTGGCGCAAATGAACTGTGTGGTAAATTGAAAAAACATCTTCGTCAATATTTACGTATTTTAATGTATGTGAAATTTTGATTATGCTGACAAACTAAAGCTTATTTAACTAAACAAAATCTATACTTATATACTTTAGTTATAATAGTATTTAAAATTATTCTTTCAAAGAAAATTTGGTTTATTACAGAACATAAAAATTACATTAATAAAAAAAATTAAATTTTTAAATTATTGTAAATTATATAGTATATTTTAAAATGTTATATAAATAATATTTGCAAGCAATTACATAAAAATAAGCATACTTAGTTGAATTACATTCAGTAAAATTGTTAATTAAAAATAATATAAAATTAAATATGGAAACGAACATACATGTACAGAAGTGAAGTTAAATAATTTATATGAAAAATATTTTAATGCTATAAAAATAACGAAAGAATTTAACTTAAAATATACTATGCTGTATACTAAAAAAATAGTATTATACTAAAATATACTAAACTTGAAATAATTGAGTTTTGTGGTAAATTGAAAGAACACTTCATCAATGTATGTGTAATTTTGAGATTATAACAAATTAAAGCTTATTCAACTACAAAAATTCTTTACTTCATAATTAAACAATAGTATCTAAAATTATTCGAATATTATTAAAGTGAAACTTGTTGATAACAAAAAATATAGATCAATATTCGCCAAAGAAGACATAGAAATATGTTCATTACATTATGTTGGAACGAATGAGCTGTGTGGTAAATTAAAATAACATCTTCATAAATGTATTTTTTATGCATGTCATTATGTATGTGTAATTTTGATTATTATGACAAATTAAAGCTTATTCAACTACAAAAATTCTTTACTTCATAATGAAATAATAGTATCTAAAATTATTCGATCAAAGTGAATATTGTTGATAACAAAAAGTATAATTAGATCAATATCGCCAATGAAGAGGTAGATATTCATTCATTACATTATGTTGTAAGTATTATAAATACGTAAAGTAAGAAAATAGCTTAAAGAATGTTTAATATACATAAATATACCTAAAAAAGATCACAACATAGAAAACATAGGAATATGTTCATCACTTTATGCTGGAGCAATTGATCTGTGTAGTAAATTGAAAGAACATCTTTGCCAATGTATTTTTATGTATGTCATTATGTATGCGGGGTGAGCGTTAGACGTCAAGGCCTCGCTATCTCAAAGGCAGTGGGTCTACTCTTCTATAACCAGAAGTTGTTAGTCCCTGTTCTTGTTCTTATTCTTACGTCAAAACCACAATCATTGTTCCTAGATTCTGTTCTGTTTTGGACGAGTATTATGCTTTTTTTCCAAGTCTGGGATCCGTCGATTTTCATTCCAAGCGGGCTAGAAATGGAATTCAGTTAGTCGTAACTATTGTTTTCACATGTATATACGTTTTATTTATTTGTTATTTTTACGAGGCGAGCAATATGAAGCCTGGAAAAGGTTTGGTAAGTGTTGTGTACAATCCTTTGTTGTTAGCACTTTGTAAAAAAAAAAAAATAAAAAAAAAAAATAAATTTGATTTGAGTGTCTTTGTTTGTCGCTTAGGCTAATAATACAGGCCCGATGGACCTTGTAGCTCCAAGGCCTCCGCAGACACAACTGTGCATGAAAGTGTTTGTTCAAAGGGATTACGGAGATGGGACGACTGTGAAATTCCAGGCGTTGTTTCCACCAGAGCTAGAAGGAAAGGTAACTTGTTACAAGTGTGGGCAGATAGCAGAATTATCGTACGGGAATGAAAAAAAGCAATGCCTTGAAACTTGTCTGCATCCACTTAGCATTTTATTTTCATTTGCTTATTTTCTGTATTCTTTATATGTTGTATTAGATTAGAGAAGGAATCAGCCTCTTTACGTTCTGTGCATCGCGACCAGTATTGATCTGTGATGCATCTCCATTGTTGACTAGAGTTCTTCATTAAGCTTAAGGTTTTTTTTTTACCAGATCCCAAAGCTTTTTTAAAGACTCATGTATATTCTTCAGGCCTGGGCTTTTCCTCTTCCAGAAGTAGGAATCTCAGCCTACATAAGCCTTTGCACCAACAGAGGACTGGTCCACTGCTTCTTCTTCTTCTCGGCCATATCACAGGCTTTTTTCTGCCACTCGAAGTCCTATACATATGCCTACAGAATCTGCAGCGTCCAGTTCACAATCCAACTATTAAGTTAAAAAAGTAAAATAAAGCAATTTCTGTCATGAAGGACCTTTCAACAGTTGTGTGTCAAACCACTTCACAATTCATTTTTCATACTATAATCAATTAAAAAATTATGGGAAACACTGGGATTCGAACCCAGAACTGTTAGTCTGGCAAATATGTGTTGAACTCTGTAACCCACTGATTCCCAAACTTTTTCTGCCACCCATATAATTTTTCTGCGGTGTCCCAAGTAAAAAAAAAAAATTGTATATCAGCATGAACTTTATGATAATACAGTAATTCGTTTCCAATTTAGAAAAGCATTGATATATCTAAACCTCTTATTTTGTCTGCAATTTTATTTAATAAATAATCAAAACTCCTGACTTTCTTGTGAAATTGAAAAACTTGCAGTTTGAACGCACTTAATGGCAACAATATAAAAGCAATTTTTTTTGTCCAATAATATAAAACACACAATTGCAGCTGTCTCGTTAACATCCATGTTGAGATTGGATGGCCTCCAGGGTCTTAGTTTTTAGGGTTTTTTTGTAAAAAATATATATNTTATTTTTTTTTTTAGTGGTGCGCTTGTAGTAATTTTCGTAGTAAGTAGCAATTTGGGAATCACTGCTCTAACCACTCCTCGGCCACACTACTAACACGTCCTAGATTTAGTATTTCTATCGTTAGGTTCTGCTTTGGTCCTTTAATGAACTTTGCCCTGGGCTACATTCCCATTGAGTGGAGGACTTATTTTTAATCCATTGCCTGATGGATCAACTTTTTTGGCAGTTTGGTATGCCACAAAAGGATTCAGGGCTAGTACATCATCAAATTTTCCTCAGCCAGTTTATCAGCCTCTTCGTTGCCCCTCTTCCCTGAACGCGAGGGTAATTTTATTGTTTCCACCGCTATTCCAGCTCTTGCAATGTACAATAAATTGCCGGCTGGCTTCAATAATCGAGTTTGTGAGATTTCTTCCTATGATCTGCAGGATATATCAGACCTGTTATATTACGGACACACCTAGTAGACCAAAATGATCGGAAATACCTAAACTACATCTAAAATTATTTTTCATGTTCATGAATTTTTTTCTTTGAAACAACACATCAATTTATTTATAATTTGTGCTGAGGTCTATGACCTATTGGGTTGTCCGGAAAATAATGCAGGATTTTAAGNGTATGGGAAATTATTTTGATTAAAGAACATTGCTTTAAAGTAACTAGTTTCTTTTTTTTTGTTTAATACCAAAATCCTGCATTATTTTCCGGACAACCCGATAGATCATCCTGTTCTGTTTTCAGCATTACACTATTTTCAGTTGTTGAATATGTAAAGATTGCAAAATTCCAAAATTTGTCTGACAAAGCTGGTGAGAATAGGCAGACCAGGATGATCAGGATAGAATTAAATATTCTTAAGTTGTTGACTTCTGGCTCTTTTTATATTTTTCAGTTGGACAGAGCAGCTTTTGAAAACACTGTCAGCCAGTTGAACGCATATTTTAGAGAAGCTGAAGAGGGTACTTGTTCGACATACTGTGAAGGCTGTATGGCTTGTCTTACTGCTTATTTAATGTATATTTGTACCCAAACACATTATGAAAAGGTATTTTTTTAAATTAACATTTATTTATAATTATTATTAAAACTTAAACAAAATTTCACTTTCAGTGTCTGAGAAAAGTAGCAAAATTTGTACAGGAGCAAAATGAAAGGGTGTATAAGCCGAGAGGGCTTCTCCTCACCAATCCGGTTGACAGGGGTCTTCGAGTTGTATCCTTTCCATCTGTGAATTTTTATTTACTAATTACAATAAAATTTAGACAAAAATATTTTCTTTAATATCAACCACTGCAGATAGAGATATCGATTCTGGATCAACCACTTGTGTCTAGGACGTGACTTTCTTTATCCGAATCAACTGAAGAGTTCTTTATGTGATCTTCATTCCTCCCCGCTGTAAATGAAATGTTTCGCTTTTAATTACTTAAATATTCTCTCTTATCTGAAAATTTAGGAGATCCCTTGTTTTCCTTTAAATACCGAGTAGGTTTCTTCCATTGAACGGTATTTTGTATTAAACAATTTTTGTTTATTTTTTTCCCCTATTAGCCAAAGTTTCACACTCTCCATATCGTCATGACTGATCAGTGATTTTCCATTAGGGCCTGTTTTGTATGATTTCCTCTAACAACAAATTTTGTGTTGATACTTTTTTAATTAATTTAGAATTCCTTAGTTTATTTTAATAGTTTCTCTCTAATTTTATTATATTATAACTATTAGAAGTACACCAGTATATTTTTTATGTTAACATTTTTTAATATATATATTTTTTAAATTAATGATTTAACCCAATGTTTATACTAAATGTGTTTGATTCTCCCTGATCATTTTGGTCAGTCTTCCCCCTCCCATTGACACAGTAATCATTTTTTTCATGCTCATTAATCTTTATTTAATATTTGCTGCAATAACTAAGCTGTTAATTGTGTTTTAAAAAGATCATTAGACTCTAAACTGATAACACATTTCCATTTCATTCTGTAAATCAGATATGTTCTCATACGACATACATACTTTATATTTGGAAAGACAATAAATGGTCTTTGGGTTATAAAAAAAAGAAAAGAAAGTTTATTACTAACTTTGGTGATCTATGTTCTGCTTCCTTGTTTTACACATCTATTTGTTGTATGACATCATTTTTTGTAATTATATTTATGTAAATTATAGCGAAGGTGGAATATAATATTGTATCCAGTTGATTCGGATTTGATTTAACCTTTGATTTTGAATTGATGAACTTTAAATTAATCTTAATTACACGATAGGAATTTTATTTTTTAAATTTGGTTGTAAATTTGGGTGATATTGTGTAAGATGTTTGAAGTATGTTTTATAAATTATTTATTTAGCAACAAATTGTAATTATTGAAAATATCATTGTTGACTATATTATAGATACTTTTGTTACAAATTATAACTGTAATAATTTATATACTGTGAAATTTAAGCAATTAAAAATAATTCCCTTTCTTCATGACCTTTTGCCTTAAACGTGTAAAATAATGAAAAGATTAATACTAATTTTTTTGTTTTTGTAAATAAATATATTTTATATTGAAATTTGATTCCTCCTCTCCTTGTTTCTGGAATCCAAAAATAAAGTGTAATCACGAATTTTAGCAATGTAGGGATTGTTTGTGTAGTTATTTGAATAAACATAAATTATTTATGACAAACAAATGTAATGGATATATTTTTAAATTTTATTTTTGGTGTAAAAATTGAATGTTGATACTTTTTTTATATATACAAAATTCCTATTTCATCTCTCATTATTTCAAGGATAAAGGAAAGCGACAATCCTATAAAATTTAATTTTTTTATTGTTAAAAAAGTTTGATCAATCAGTACAACATAAATAAAAATTAAGTACACAATAAAATCTTAGGACAATAATAGGCTGCTATGGCCCTAGAATAATTTACAGATTATTGAATTATTATCCTCTGTATTCAAATAATATATTGGAGTAAATTATTAATACAACATTCCATTAATTAAAATCAACCATTAATTTAAGGGAAGAACAATGTAACATTGCAAGCTGACTTTTTTTTTAAATTTAGGATTATATAAAATGTATACTATAACAGTCTTGCAACTCATTGCTCATGAAAAACATTAATAATGTTTAGGGTTTGACTGAACAGGGTCATCCTGTAAAATTATCTAACTATAATAATTAAAATTTTTTTTTCAATATTTTATAACAATTGCACGTAATTGGCAGGGAAAAGGCCGAAAGTCCCGTTGGGAGCGAGCCCCTGCCACCAGCCGGTGTCGATCTGGTCTATGTGCGTTATTATGTCTCCGGGGTCAAAGGAAATCTCAGTTTCATCCGCTGGAATTTTGGTAATGAGTTAAGATTTTTTTTATGTAAGTACATGTAGATATTAAAATTACCAGCTTGATAGTCATAAAGGGCTTCAGCCTTGATGCCCAAATTGACAAATTCTTCCAGAAGCTCTGTTTCATTTAAAAACCCAGGGTCCAAATATGTATTTTGTTCATCTTCAGCTGTGGGATTTTGTTCAACTTTAGGTACTTCTTTGGGTGGTTCATCAAGAACTTGCTAAAATAAAATTGTAGTTTACCACGTTGCCATCAGAAAACAAGAAATTTTATTTTTCAATGACAGCTTTTAAATCGTGAACAATGCCCCGAAGCTTTAAATTTAAAATCTTAATTTTTGTCACAATTGATGTTTGACATTGTTGAAAATTAAAATTGAAAAAGAGGAAATAAAAAGTTACTTTTTCGTTGTTCACACTAGTGGTTGTTGTCTGGGTTTCACTTAGTTTTTCCGTTGAATTTGGAGGATCGCAGGATTTCTTCTGAACATCTGAAACTTTATTCTTTTATTATTTCTTCATTCTAAAACAATGTACAATGTATACTACCATAGAAATTATTCTCTTTGACAGATGATCTTCTCGAATTCATCTGTCCTGCAGATGTGTTCTTTTCAAATACAGCCCTGGCGTCAAAATTTCTCTGTTTTATTATCTCTTCGGCCTCTTTTTGTATAGAATCTCGTTTAACTACTATCCTTTCTGGACTTTCTCTCTTTCTCATCATTTCTTCCGCCTGGAGTGGAATTGGAGGGAAGTGATTTATTGAAATTATAAAATATTGTAATTAAATTATACCTCTTTTTCTTGCCTTTCCTTTTCTTCAAGTTTAGCTTGTTCTTTCCTTTTCCTTTCTTCCGCCAGCCTCTGTTTTTCCTCTTCTTCCTCCTTTTGCCAAAATTTATCCCTTTCTACGGCGTTTATCTCGTTTTTGGGTATCACCCTTTTATAAACAGTCCCCTGAAAAATTCACGAATAGATTCAAAAGTGTAAAATATAAAAATAAGCTACATACGACTGGTGCTGTTTGGCGGTCAGCGTCACCAATCCTTTCTTTAAAACTATAAGTGGATCCAGTCGACTTGACGACTTTTTCCATGACTACATCCTCCTCAACCTCCTCCTCATTCCTTGCGTTGATGGTCAAATGTGCCCCAGTCAATAAATTGCGCACATCTCTGATATGATTAGCACAAGTGCCTTTTCGAACCTGAGGTGCCCCTTCGCCTTGCTACGGTCGAGTGAGAAACGTAATTAAAATGTAAAATACGACAAAAATAATTAATTTACCCAATTAATGAGAATAAATTTTGAAAGGCTTGTTTTCGGATCCAGCACCTTCACAAAAGCATACATTATTTTACCACTATTCAACTCATCTTTCAGTTCTTCCAAACCTCCATCTAAAAACAAAAATCTGGATTAATACTAACATATCATGGGTTGAAGTGACTTGTCAATGTCAGCAGGCTTACATGGATAAAAATTAATATGTAAGCTGATTCCTTGTAACACACGTTATTCAGTTATGAAGACTAAGCTTAAAAATCTAAATAATATAGGTTTATGTATATATTTAGTTTTTTTCTTACCTCCTTTGGATACGAATTGAAGATTGTTCGTCTGTCCTTCATACCCGAAAAGGGCCCTTAAAACGTCACAGGAAAATAAGTAAGGTACCGGAATAAGAGGGAAAGTTAGTTATAGCGTTAGGAGAATTGCGTACCAGTTCGTCTGGGTCTTGTCGTCCAAGACGTCCTTCCAACCGTTCACAATATCCACTTTGAACTTGTCGAGATTAACAGCCATTGCAGTGTTAAAAGCTCGGCCGGGCTGATTAACTCTTGGACAAAGGAAAAAAGCCGATTTTTCTAGATCGCCTTTAATTCAACGCCGGCTTGCATGTCCGTGAATGGAAATTAGAACGATTCCAGTGTACAAAATAATCCCCACCCTCGGTAGTGAGGCCCTTGCCTGACAGGTACAGCACCTAACGCTAACGCCCACGGCGAGATGGACCTTGACAATACTGACGACAACCACCTGACAAGCGATCAGACCGGTTATCGCGACACACTCGTAGACTGGTAAGATGTTGCCGCAGTCCACTTGAATATGTCAACTTTATTATAATAAATGAACCTAAATGAAACTTGCTTAATTATTTTAAGTAGCGATAGGACTCATTGTAGTTGAAATATAAGTTAGATAAAGCAATTTAAAAAAAGATTCAATTTGAACATGTCAATGATAAATTAGTTGACTACTCAAAATCAAAAACCATAACTATATAATAATACTATACATGTTACTTGTAACTAAAGACTTATACTACAACTCATGTATGTCAGCCAGCCATAATTGAATTAAATTAAAACTTGATTTTTACCATCTTGTACTGCATGTGGTGAAGATAATATGACAACACATCTGCTGAACCGCTGTGAAACTTTAGCCTATGAACGATTGTCACGAAGGGAGGAAGCTGAATGAGGTGCGGCATCAGGGGGGAAAAAACTTGATTTATTGGCCTTATAAGAGCATCAGCAAAAAGTGGAAATTTAGTATCAGAAAACAATAAAATGTCATTAATAAAATGAGGAAACAAAAGTGGACTAAGATGAAGGCCTTGAGATACACCTAAAGAAGCATGAAATTTGAAAGAATTTTCATTTGCAACTGCACTTTTTGTACTATCTTTTACACATAATCAGTGGACTTCCTTCAGAAGGTCATTTACATTTATGAGATTATTAATTTTATTTTAGGAAAAATCTTTCCTCACGTAAACTTAGATTAAATTAAATTTTAACTCGACATATTTCATATTAGAAATTGTTTTTCGTCATCTAACTTCCAAACCACCTGGACCAGATGAATTCATACACTACTTCTATTAAAAATAAAGTTTTAAGAGTTCTTGTTTACTGGCTGATTTTAAGTAAGTGGAGTTATTAATTGCGTTATAATCCATTAATGCTTTGACCAGCAAATTAATAGAAATGTGAAGTGAGTATGTTGTTCAATCTTTATAAAAAGTTAGAACTACTCAAGAGAAGGAGTGAATCATCTTCAGTAAGTAGGAATTATATTTTTATAAAGAAAGGCAATCTTAAATTTCCTTAAAGACCGATTCAGTCCCAACATTGCCAAGGACTGTAACAGTATTGCAAATCATCAGACCATTATTTACATATTGCTTGTAAGATCAGTGCTTGAATACTATTTTCCTGTTTGGAATCGCTACACTGCAAAATCTATTGATAACTATCAATCGATGAAATTTAAATTCCTCAAAATTCTTGCCTATAAAATTAAGTAACTATTACCGACTATAGACAATTTGAACAGTACTTTAATTTACTTCCCCTAGAGAAACGTTGACTTTGCTCTGATTTACTTACTTTTGTCAAAATAATTTTTTTTTAAATTTATAATAACAATGCTAAACGTGTTCTTTTTTAAAGGAATTTTTATATGAAACATTCTTTCAAGCTATTTTCTTGCTTTATATATTGTTTATTGCTTAAGTAATTTTTTCCTTTGTTTTACTTTGGTATTTTTGTATTTTATATATTGTTATTTTTATATTTAAACATTTTTGAAAAAAGGATTAATTTTATAAAATTTATTAGCATTATTATTATTATTATTATTTTTTTTTTTTTTTGACTGGGGCTTCGACATCTAGGTCATTTCAGCCCCCAACTATCTATTTACCCTTTCAAACACTACATTCATACAAATAAATACATTCATACACATAAATACATTCATACAGTACACTCATTCCGTTTGGTCGGTGAAGTACTTGATATTCCTCCACTGACCTATACTTAAACTAATCTAGATTGGGGTCGATGGAGTACTTTTATAAATATTCTGCCATCGACCCCGAACACACACTCTTACGCTCTCAATGTTCAAGGGGCGATGACGTTATATTTTACCCTCACCCCTCGCCATTCACGCTAATAAATACATGCACTCAGACAAAGCATATAGACACACCACATAAGACATATTATATACAGTAAAAAAACCCAATTTCCCCTAAAAGGCGGAACAGGGACTCTGAAACTCGCTACCGTGTCGAGAACTCTTCTTAAGTCTGGCGGTATGCCTACACGCTCTCTGTATGGAGCCAAGGCATGAAACACCTCTATTATGTGGGACACATCGAGCAACCTTTCTCTGCATAAGGGGCACCTGCGCGGTACTATTATTATTATTAATACAAATAAATACATGGGGTTGAGATGGGGAGTTGATGTCTGAGTGGATCGAGGTCACGATAGCTCAGGTGGTAGAGCAGCGGCGTATCTAGCCGAAGGTTGTGGGTTCGAATCCCTCTCGTGCCATTAACTTTTTTTCATCTTGACTAAAAACCTTAATTAATTGTAATATTTAATTGGTCAAGCGGACCACGAAATTAGGGAATTATTATTAATATAAAGTGATGAATGTATTCCTAAGTTTTAAGTGCTGATTATTGATTTAATTTTTATGCTTCTAATAAACCAAATTCACTTTGATTGAATAATTTTTAATACTATTATAAGTAAAATATATAAGTAAAGACTTTTTTAGATGAATAAGCTTTAATTTGTCATAATAGTCAAAATTACACATACATAATGACATGCATAAAAATACATTTATGAAGATGTTCTTTCAATTTACCACACAGCTCATTTGTTCCAACAAAATGTAATGAATGTATTTCTACGTCTTCATTGCAAATATTGATATAATTATACTTTTCGTAATAAACAATATTCACTTTGATCAAATAATTTTAGATACTATTATTTAATTATGAAGTAGACTTTTGTAATTGAATAAGCTTTAATTTGTCATAATGATCAAAATCACACATACATAATGACATGGATAAAAATACTTTTTTTGAAGGTGTTCTTTCAATTTACCACACAGCTCATTTGTTCCAACATAATGTAATGAACGAATTTATTCATTGGTGAATATTGATCTAATTATACTTTTTGTTAACAACAATATTCACTTTGATCGAATAATTTTGGATACTATTATTTAATTATGAAGTAAAGATTTTTTGTAGTTGAATAAGCTTTAATTTGTCATAATAATCAAATTACACATACATAATGACATTTTTAAAAATGCACATACATTGACAAAGATGTTTTTGCAATTTACCACACAGCTCAATTATTGCAAATGTAGTTTATTTTAGTATAATAGTATTTTTTTAGTATACAGTATATAGTATATTTTAAGTTAAATTATCTTTCATTATTTTTATAACAATAAAATATTTTTCTTACAAATTATTTAACTTCACTTCTGTACGTGTATGTTTGCTTCCATATTTAACTTTATATTATTTCTAATTAAAACTTTTACTAATGTAATTCAACTAAATATCCATGTTTTTATGTAATTACTTTCAAATATTATTTATATAATATTTTAAAATATCCATTACAGTTTGTGGTCGTGACCAATTAACTTTTTTCAATTAATTAATCTTAAAATGTTATATTAATTTTCAATGGTAATGTAAAAATTTAAAATAACAATGATAAAGGTGATCTTTTTAGGTATATTTATATGAAACATTCTTTCAAGCTATTTCCTTACTTTAATAATAATATTTAATAATGTTAAATAATTAAGTAATAATAATATTTAATACTTAAGTAATTTTTTCCTTTGTTTTCTTAGTTTTGCTCTTAAATTGTCATATTTTTATATTATATATTTTTACATTTAAACATTTTTTTGTTGTAAATTTGATTAATTTCGTAAAATACACTATTATTATTACGTCTATAATCCTTTTATAACCAATCCCTCTCCTTAGAAATTATCTTCCTTGAGGCCTGTCCTTAAGGTGACGTTATAACCTTCCTTGAGGTTATTTAATCGGCGGTCAATTCATTGGAATTAGGATTCGTCGACTGGATAATGTCATCAGGGCAGGGTCTGGTGAACAAAGTGCCCAGGGTGAGGGAAGTGCTCAACGACCCGGAAAAGAGTCTGGCCGAAAGGTTCCGCGCCCTCTTCACCCTGAGGAACATCGGCGGCCCCGAGGCGGTCCAGGCGATCGGCGAATGTTTCAGCGATTCATCCGCACTCCTCAAACACGAACTGGCCTACTGCCTGGGTCAGATGCAGGACAAAACGGCCATCCCGATTCTCGTCGGTGTCCTCGAGGACAAGTCCGAAAACCCGATGGTTAGGCACGAAGCCGGTAACTAATCATACACATTGCAACTATTATAATTTTCTTTCTAGGTCTAAAAAATATATATATATTTGCTACTATGTGTTTATTTTTAAAAAATTAATGCGCATCAAAGCATAAGGCAGGGCTGTAATCATGCCTAGCTAAAAAATACTCATCCACCCCTATAAGTACTTTTAATTAAACTGCTCAAAAATGAATAGGTATATTTGTAGTTTATTCTTATTCTATTAATTTTAATTAAATTAATCAATATATTCTTGTTAGTTGGATAAAGCAGAATAGAAAACACAAACCAAAAACAAAAAAATTGTTAAAGCTCATTTATAATAACAGATTTACTTGAGAATAGTAAACATGAAGATTACTCATTTCATAAACAAACACCTTTTCTCGTCTTTTCTCCATTTTAATCCAGTCTGAGTTTCAGTTCAGTTTCTTCTGTTATCGCTATACAGACAGAAACGAGACTGTAAAAACACCATTTCAATTCTATGCGGCGATCACTGCACCATATTCTCCTGAGTTGCTGTCGTCTCAATGGGGCATACGATGTAAGGCCAACTTTCCATGTACGATTACAAATCGTTTATGTTGGTGAAAACATCTTGTACTTCATTTACGAATTGGTGGGCACAATGGAAAGGGTTCCGTCCCGCAGCAGTGACAATATTTCAGTCCTCCCTTACCGCCATAATACGCTGAGATCCACTACCAGGTCTTTTGGCACTTCCAGTCTCTTGGAATCAGGCTAAAGACCACGCACTGAGAAACGTTGACTGCCTCTGCGATATCCACTTGCCGGTGACCTCGATGACTCATTATCACAATAATATTGTGAATTTCTGGTTTAAGATGATGTCTTTCCATGGTTAAAGAGAATACAACTGGATTAAAATGAAGAAAAGGCGAGAAAAAGTGTTTCTTTACGAAATGTACATGTACAAAATGTAACACGATACTTTAATTTTATTATCAGTAAACGTATTTAGAATAATAAATTATGTCAAATAATGTGTGGTGTGTTACGCAGTTAACCTGAATACCAATCATTAGTCAACCTGAATGAAATCACAAAAGTGCCAACAATTTCATACACACTAGCAGAAAAAATTTATAATGCATTTTCATGTTTACTATTCTTAAATAAATCTGTTATTAAAAATGAGGATTAACAAATTTTTTGTTTGTATTTTATGTTTTGTTTTATCCAACTGACAAGAATATATCAGTTAATTTAATTAAAATTAATGGAATAATAATAAATCACAAATATCCCTAGTAATTTTTGTGCAGTATTTATACTGATGGGCAGATTTAATGCACCACTCAATTGATTTAGTTTAAAATTAAATCCATTATCTTTCTACATTAGTTACAGATAATTAGGAGCTATCATAGTCAAAATAAACATAACAGAGAGATATTCCACTGTAAACCAGTCTGCCTTGACACATTTACACCTTGTTTGATTTTAATACGAAAATGTAACCCGGATTCTATTTCTACTTAAAATGCTGTAACTTTTGAACAGGTTGTTTCTGTAGATGTAATATTTGGGATGTTGTAATTACTGTCATCAGAGAGCTATTGTATCATCCCCGTTCTGTACCTATAGCACGCCAGAGAGTCCTAGTACACCAAGAAATTTGATTAATCGGGCCAGTTTCAGTGTTTTAATTTCTTCTATGGTTATGGACATTCCAAAGCTCCTTTTATTAATTATAAACCATTTTAATTACCTTTGTAACGATTGTTGTTTTGTTATTGCAGGGGAAGCGTTAGGAGCGATTGGCTGTAGTAGTGTACTTGACCTCTTGGAAGAATATAGTAAAGACCCACAGTTGGAAATAGCGCAAACCTGCCAATTAGCAATAGAAAGGATAAAAGGTTCAAATGAAAAACCTAATAATACAAATAGTAAATACCTCTCTGTCGATCCTGCTCCGGCAGAATCCATGAACGATATAGAAAAATTAACAGAAACTCTACTCAATGATAAAGAAAATCTTTATAAAAGGTATAAAGCGATGTTCGCCCTGAGAAATATCAACAGTGAAGAAAGCATAATAGCGCTTTGTCAAGGTGATTTTCTTATACTAAATTAATAGGCAGAATTTATAATAATTTGTTTTCTTTGAAGGTTTGAAAAAAGGTAGTGCCTTGTTTAGACACGAAATTGCGTTTGTTCTCGGCCAAATGCAAGAAGCGTCTAGTGTGCCTTATTTAGTTGAATCACTCGCCGACGAGAATGAAAACGAGATGGTGAGGCACGAATGTGCCGAAGCGCTCGGTTCAATCGCAACCGAAGATTGTGTGGAAGTCCTGAGAAAATATTTAAACGATAAAAGCCGTGTGGTGAGAGAAAGTTGTCTTGTCGCCCTGGACATTGCAGATTACGAAGAGTCCAATGATTTCCAATATGCAAACACCGCTCTCAAAGTATAAAATTATTTTGTAAATACAAAAATCCATTTATTTACAATAAAAGATCTATAAATTATTTTTTGGCACATATTTATAATTTCAGTCAAGACTCAGAATATGAAACAAATACTGCATCACCTCCAACATTCACCAGACACTGGGCCTAGAAAGGAAAATATTTATGATGACAAAATTAATTTTCATTTCGTTAAGAAATTTGCAGATTTTTAATTACTTGGTTTTTATGGGCATTGTTTGTCAAATGACATTCAGACATAGTGTAAGAAACAAGAGCATTTCCTCCAATAGCTGTAACATGAGCTCGAACGATAGCCAGAACTTCCGCTATGAAGCCATGCACAAAAGCGCTAAGACCTGCCTTTAATTTGAAACAAAATATTCTATAATTACCACTAATACTAAAATACAAAATTTTATTCTTGATATTTTAATTTGAATTGTGTTAACAGAGATACTTACTTCTCGAATGCATGAGCTTTCTCTTATGAAAAAGAAATTCAAGTTTCCAAGGTAAGATATAATTTTCCCACCTGGTACGTAACAAAGGGGAGTCACATCGACACCGTATCGTTGCTCGCGAGGTGGTGTCTGAAATAAGTTCTCCGTTAAGAATACCGTTTGAAACTTTGAAATAAGTACTTACATGAATTGACTTCCTGACAGGACGCATTATCGGTGTACTTTTTGATGAGCTTTCTTCCTCGACTTTGTCCATTTTAGCTATGTTTTCCAAAGCTGAAGGTATTGATTAATTGATGCTCTTAATTTAACATAAATAAATTTTCTATGCGAGTAGTTAAATATTACCGATATCGATGTTCTGAAGATCAAAGCGTTTATCATTTTCAGCCAGCCCCACAGCCATTCCGACCACGGATATTTGCAATTCATCTTGTTGCGGTAAATCCACTTTGAAACGTACATTCACTAAGGCACAGGGCGTCATAGCTCTTAATTTAAAATAAACACCCTAAAAATAATTAATTAAACAGTTTTTTGTTGGGTTTATAGCAGAAACAAAATTTACCTGAAGAAGCCGATGGAATTGTGACGAAACAGTCATCGAAGACGGAAGAGGGCACATTCTTGCCTTCCAGATTTGTGTAAACATCTGCAAGTTTCTAACCGGAGTGAGACCTACCACAAATGCTCCGGGAATGCCTTGTGTTGTGCTGATTAAATAACCATCCGGTGGTGTTCCTATTGGCCCAGAACAGCTAATGGAATCTGGCACCTTTAACATTAAGTTTCATGTTATTTTATTATTTTTTTTTTTTTAATTTTTTTTTTAAACAAGGGTATTTCAACTACAAGGTCAATGAAACCCTCAAGGTGCCAGTGTTTTTGAAAGAAAAAGCCCATTTGTAAGTACGTCGGTTTTGAATTCAGAGCCGCTGGTCTGAACTACAGTGATGAGCATTGTGTCAACACCTTAACCGATAACCACCGACACCCAAGAAAAAAGTGAATTATTTTAAAACATAAATAAGCAAACTATTTTACCTCAAGAAGGCATGTATCTTTGTTTCCGATTGATAAATCCAGTTCCCGTAATTGATCTTCTGAATCATCTTCATCAGAACTGACCAATTCGTTTTTCTAAATAAAAAATATATATGTATATAATAATAAAAGGTAAATAATTATGCAGAGTGTCCTTTTTAGATGGCCCGGCTGAATTTCTCTAGAACCAATGACGCCATCAGAAAAACACAAAATACGTGCTTAATATTTTTTAGTCTAGTTTCAGGATTTTACCTTTTTTGGAGAAAAATTATACAGGGTACCTGAGGCCAGTTCAACTTCAAAATTTCAAATACGACCTTATTCATCCTGACATATTTTAAAGTGTTTTTATGCTGAAAACAATGGTACTCGGATTTTAATTGGTAAAAAAAAAATGACTAAGTTTTGAAAAAAAAAACCAGTCATTTGGTTTGCTATTAATTAATATTATATTAATAAATCACATTTGATGTTCGAACTGCCTGCCGTGTGTAAAGATGCAAAGATTTGCTCTTTTTAACAACCACTCTTCACCGGTGCTCAAAGGGATAGAGTCAGGGGAGATGGATAGATAAGAATTTTCTCTCCTTTGCCGCAGTTCTTCAACTGAGGTTGCTGGGTTATGATTGGCGTAGACACTATTTTTTAAATGGCCCCACAGAAAATAGTCAAGTCAAATCTAAAAAGGACACCCTGTTACAGTATTGGGTAAGGCTTAACTTACATGATCGGAAGGAAATCTCGGTATAGGAAGGGCCTCGAGAGTTATTCCAGTGCCAGTAGCGTGACCGACCAATACTCTTTCACCCAAAGATAACTCCACTCGGAGACCAACAATGGCATTGGCTCCAACAGCACTCAACCTATGCATCAATTGTGTATGAAGCTCGTACTCTAAAAATGGTAACGCGTCTGACACTTCTTTGGCATTCAGCTCTCCTTTGCAGTCTCTTTTATGGCGGCATACCAACGCTTGCACTAAACTGCCTTTCCCTTGTAAAGAAATGCCATCAACTAATTCAGTCGTCGTCATTAAAATCTCACCAACTTTTCCTTTCCTGTAAAAAAATAGACAAATTTAAAAAATCTATTTTTTTAAAAATAAAGAATAGTCCATATTTTTAAAGATAAGAGCTTGTCCCTTACTTGCACTGAGCACATTTTGCAAATTTCATTCGAAAAGGATGGCTAATTTCATTATAAGGCATGTGGTATACTTTACACCCGTGTTCTTCTCCTTCAACCTAATAAATTTTTAATCTTATAATAGCTTAATCATTTTGTAATACCAATTATATTAAGTGTGTGGGTAAGTTTTTATCTTTTTTTTTTTTCAATCTTATAAAGGAGATACATTATTACCTGCTAAGCCCTACAAGCTCTAAGGTGGAAAAAGCCCTAATGGAAGAAATTATTAAGAAAGGGATAGTTGATCCCAAAGTCAATCTAGAATAAACTTCATAAGACACGGAAGCAGATAAAATTAATTTGAGACATTGCTTACTATATGCGATTTATGGTGATAACTTAGTAACTGAACATGTGTCAACAGTGGTTCTGAGGTTTTCATAATGGAGAGAGACAAATCAAAACCAGCCTCATTGTAGTAGGCCTAATGAGCTTAAAAGTGATGACTTACAAGTGGCATTAGAGGATGAGGACAAATAAACTATAGCAAAGCCATCAGATTATAGGGTACATCGCACAATAATACAAAGAAGAATGAATTCTGGATTTCATTCTGAAACTTGATGGGTTCACCGTAAATTGTCCCTCAGAGAAAATAAAAAACATGGTTTGTTGCATAATAAATTGGAAGGGTTTATTTCCTATTGGTTACTGGGGATAAAAAGTGGGTCCTTTATAAAAATGCCAAACGCCAAAGGACCATTTGCAAGAAGAATACAACGTCAAGATCAGGCTTAACCCCCCCCCCTCCAGGAAACCGAAAAACTTATGCCCACACCCAATATTTATAAATAACTTACTGATGTTGGATAATCGTATTCTTTTTGGGTTATAACAGCAGCAGTCCCACTCGCACTTAAAATGCAAACATCCTCACTATAAACAATATCAATTAATTACCCTTATAAATAAAGAATTAAAAAAAAAAAACAATAAAAAAAACAAGAATATTAACCAAACTGTAGTATGCTCAGAATAACCGATTACGGCATTACACGAAAGAGCTCGTGCATGGGAACGGACTTCAAGTCTCAACTCTGTCCACCAAGAATCCCTAGTTTCAGCTTCATCTCCACCGAGCAATTTAACACCCCTTGCACTAACGACACCGGCTAAAAATTGAAATATTTTATCAAATTGGCCGAGCAGTATGTTTCAATTTTGAAAAATACCTATGTGTTGTACAAAGCCCGGTGGATATTTTGTCATGGTGAGAAATGGATATTCGCCCATGTCGAGAGTATCCAAAGGGCGCTGTTGCGGCTGTATATGCAGTTTGTTGCTTACTTTTTCATTTATACTCAAACTGTTCCCTGCAAATAAATATTTTCAGTAAATATTATCAAAATTGGCCGACTTTTCAATTATCAAAAAATATCCATGGTATAAATAAATATGTATTACATAACTGAGAGCATACCGAAGAGATATATTAAATAAATAAAAGAAACGGTTCATCATTTTTTCAGTATTTTAATAAATGATTAGATAGAGAAAAGATTTATTGCTTAAATGGACATTCCTAGTAACTAAAAACAAAATTTTGTTTAAATAAATAAGAAAAAGGTTTTAAAAAAAAGAAAACAGAAGCTAAGTTGTATACTTTAACATGGGTCAGAAACAAAACATGTTCTTGAGATTTTGTTTTTGACCCTAAAGGAAAACCACTTAAACTGAAAACATTTCTACTCTTATTTCCAAGTGCAACACCAATAAAATATATACTCCTAGTAGTGTAATGAAAAGAAAATAACATAATTCAAAAAGACCACAACAAAAATGACAAAAAAAAGTAAGGAAACGCAGGCATAAGAACATTCAGAAAACGCATGAAATCTGATATTAACCACAAATTAAAATCCTCCTAATCGATCCTTGATGTTGTCCACATGCTTTTGGTGTTTCATGCACCACATTTAAAAAATGTACACTGATTAAAAAAAAAAAATTAAAAAATGTTTTATGTTTCAACAGTTTTTCTCTTTTCGTATTACCTTGTTACTGTTTGTTCCATGTTTTTAAAAATAAAATAAAAACAACATTTATTTCCGTGAGGTGTACTCACTTTTGTTATTGATCCCTAAGAAGCATTTTGGAAATACATAAACTGCATTAACTATTATACAAAAAACTGACCACAATTTCATTATATCTCTGAGGAATTCCAGTTTATTTATTTATTTCCTTTCATCAATTTTTCTGATAAATAATTAAACTTGTTACATACCTCTAGGAATGACATTCAAGTCAGAATCGGAAGACCGACGGCACAATTCCTTCTCACTTGATGACTTTTCATCGTATACTTCTCTTTTGGTTTCGGAAAACAACCTAAAATCATGGAATTTTGTAAATTAGAAATAGAAACAATTATCAAATTGTAGAAAAAAAAAACATACCCTAGTGTGGCTTTGGCATCAAGTGTAACTGCTGTTCCTAAACCTCTCACGACAACACCGCAATCTCCTTCAAGATCGAAACACTGTTTATAGCCTATGACAGCATTTGCACCTAGATCCAAAACCTAAAATGAATAAAAAAGAGTCATAAATAAATGCTGATTATTACGTTGTTTTTATTATACTTTAAGGCCAATTTTCCGTTTCACTTCACCGTTCAATTTAAAAAATAATGTCTGTCGGGCTTCGTTTGTCGTTCTGGGAGTTCTGATCTTGTCGAGCCATTGGTATTCTGGATCATCGGCAAAGACTAGCTCTTCAACAAAACCATGGACGGTTTTCATACGATAGCCCTCGGGTATTACAGGGCCTTTAAATAGTATTTATAATGAAATTATAATTGTATTATTTAAAAAAAAAAGTTTGTCGTAAATAAAGTTTTACTGGAAAAGAATTGAACACCACAGGACGATTGCCGAAACTTATTGAAATCCTCAAATAACTCCAACTTCACCACTATGCTGACTTCACCTCTAATACCATGCATTGTGTCATACACGGGGAGCCATCCATTGATTGTAATACCTTTAAACAATAGCTATTATAAAAAATACGTATAAACACAAAATTCAAATGGAAAAAAAAATTGAAAATAGTTTGCGCTCAATTCAAAATATTAATTATTTCAATTAATTATTCTATTTATGTAAGGTCTTGGTCGAGATTAAAAAGTTAGTGTCACGAGCGGCATTCCAACCCATGACCTTCGGCTCAACACGCCTCTGTTCTAACCACTTGAGCTATCATGGCTTGATCCACTCTGACACCAACTCCTCATCTCAAACCTACAACCTTTCGAGTTTCCCCTCTTTTTGCCATTTTTCATCTCGACCAAGACCTTACAATAAAGAATAATTAATGGAAATAATTAATATGGTCAATTAGACAACTAAACATAAATGGATTAATCAAAATATAAAATTGTACCTTTTACATTATTTAATCCGGTGTTGTTGTCATGTGTGACTGAGAGTGAAGAAGGAATTAAAAGTGGATTCAGGTTCAAATAGACTTTGCCGATCGAATCGTTGGTCGTATAAGTGTCATAATCCATCAACCGAATTTGTAAAGGCTCATCTTGTAATTCGGCGTCTTCTACCTAATACAAAGAAAATACCCTAAAGAGGAAAGTGTAAAGAAAAATGGATTAATTTAGAGCAGTTGTAAACTTGCCAAAACACTTCCAAGCCAAATGCAAGCAAAGTGAATTATCATATGCAAGTACGATTTTACAAACTGATCTATTGGTAGTCAATCTGCATCCTGCTGTTGGCTGTTAGTTCTGACATTAGTACTAGATAATAGTAAATACATCACAAACTGTCCGGTTCTAACAAACGGAAATGACAATGACATTCTAAAATCAGTACTGTAGTAGGACCCTCAGACAACATATTAGGCATGGATAAATCTGTTGTATAATATAAAATATATGGATCCAATAGTAGTCGTCAAGTTCAGTATATCATTTCAAACAATCAGTTTTGATACTAGGAATCCAGATATTACAATCAGATAATTTGTTATTCAAAAAGATTAGGGGTAAGGCCAATTGGATATAATCAGAAGAATGAAGCCATCTGGAGTGTCCAGGCTAGGACACACTTTCAGACAGTCAGTTATCATAGTAATTTGTCACAGACTGTATGACCGTCAAATCAAACAATTTTTTCATATGATGAGATAAGATAGTGAAAAATAGGAGACTGGTTGTCGAAATATATTTATTAGTTGTAATTTGCATTTAGGTTCCAAATCAAAAATCTATTGCGTGATCCAGTAGGAGGGTAAGTGCAGTAATAATTTTGTCTGAAAGTTCCAGTAATCCATTCCAGACAGCCGGGTCAGAAAGTAGGAAATGTGTCACAAGTTGCCAGATTCGACTGTCATTTCATACAATAAGATCCAGACAGTAGGAATCATGTACTGAGTCGTGTGAATGTCAGATCTGACAATCAGTTGAGAAATACAGCAGGTCTTCTAGTTGTCGGATTCAGAACTGATAGTAGAAAATGTGACACAAGTTGTCTGCCTCCCAAATAAAACAAAAGTTTCATACAAACATGTGCGTGGCCACCGAAATGGTAGATCCATAAAATTATTTCAGGATGCAATAATAGAATATGTGCAGATAGATATTTGTCTGTCAGTTTCAGTATTCATTCAAGACATTTGGTTCGGATAGTAGAAAATATGAAACAAGTTGTCAACTCAGATCCAACTAGTCATTTCGTACAATCGGATCACTCAGTAGGAATCATGTAGACAGTCATATGAATGACAGATCTGACAATCAGCTATGAAATCTAGTAGTCGGTTTCAGAACTTTACTTCTATCAATATGAAATGTGTCATAAGTTGTTTGTCTGCGAAATAAAACAACAGTTTTGCGCAATTAGATCAGATCCAAGGAAACATGTGACTGGCCATCAGAACAGCAGGTCCACAGAATTATTTCAGAATGCAGTAGTAGAATATGGGCAGACATTTCCCGTAATTCATTCCAGACAATCTCTGGATGCAATAGTAGAAAATGTGCAGACCGTTCCAGTAATTCAATCCAGACAATTGGTTCTGATAGATAGGAAGGGTGTCACAAGAGGTCAGCTAGATCCGACTATCATACAATAAGATCAGATAGAGGGAATTAAGTGCACAGTCATGTGAATGATTATTTGGAGGTCGTGAGATCTGACAATCAGCTGTAAAATACAGCAGGTCACCTAGCTGTCGGTTTCAGAACTTTATTTCTCTCAATATGTGTGGCAAGTTGTTCATCGGCCAAAAAAAAACTATAGTTTCGCAGAATTAAATCAGATCCAAGGAAACATGCGACTGGTCATCAAAACAGCAGATTCCAGTATGATTATTTCAGAATGTAATAGTAGAATATGTGCAGACAGTTTCAGTAATTCATTTCAATTGGTTCTGATAGTAGGAATCATACACACTGTCATGTGAATGTCAGATCTTACAATCAGCTGTGAGATACAGCAGGCCATCCAGCTACTCTTTTAGAACTTTCTTCTCACACTGGAAAATGTGGAACAAGTCAGCCTCCCAAACAGACTAATTATTTCAACAATCATATCAGATCGAAGGAAATATGTCACCGGCCACTGTAAAGGCCGATCCTGACAATTACTGTAGAAAACATATAGATCAGTGGTTCCCAAACTTTTTTGACCTTTTTATAGTCAAAAATTTCCCATGGACCACCAAGTGAAAAAGCCAGATAAATGCATAATATAAAAATTACAAATTAAAAAAAGTTTTGTTGAAGAAATATTTTTGAAATTATAAATATATAAAAATTATAATATTAATTACTTTTATTTAAAATAAAATGTAACTTGGATGAATGGGATGAGATGTTATGAGTGTATAATTTCTAATTAGTTTCTTTCTTTTGTGATGAGGTTCATAACGTCAAGAAATGGATCAAGAAAGCAGTCAACAACGTCTGTACATTAGCCCATAATGCAGGATATAAAATTGGGATCTGTTTTTGTAACTAGAATTTGAGGTATCCTTGTTCAAACATTGGTTTAAGTTCCTCATTTGTGGATATTTAAATAAGCTGCTCCTGTATTAGTATGGATTCATCTGTGTTTTAGATCTGAGTTTGTCCACGTGCAAAAGGGTTCAACACCCAATCGGGAATATCCAAATGAAGAATGTCTTCAAATCTTTGTTTTAGGTCTGTGTGAAGAGCCATTAAGTGTTGAAGTAAGCAAGCAATCTTCATCTCTAATTTGCAATTTTGAAAGATTTGGAAACTGAGAGCATTCTCCTCTTCCCAAGTTTTGTTTGTAAAGAAAAAGTCTCGCAACAAATGCAGATATTACACTTTTAGTTTTGATTAAATTTAATTGGTCACCTTGTAGTTTCAAATTAGTTTCGTTAAATTTGGCAAATAAATCAGACAAAGGCTATGTCATTTTTTGAGTTAATTAAATTGTGTCGCAAATCATTGTCTTTGGTTGCCAAACTGAATCAAAGAGTGCATAAAATCGATTTAAACATGCACTTTTAGATAACCAACGTACTTCTGTTTTATATTATATTATTTTATATTATTATTCATATTATATTATTTTATATTAAACCTTGCGCGGACCCCCTGACGTTGTTCAGAGACCCCCAAATAAATTTTAATTTTTCACGAACACTGAATGATACCAGGAATCCCTGGGGGTCCGTAGGGACACTTTGGGCACCACTGATATAGATGGTCATCTGAATGTCAGATCTGACAATCAGCTGTGAAATGCAGCTGGCTGTCTGTTGATAAATCAAAAAATCCATTTCAAAATCCAATAGTACGATATGGGTAGCCAGCCATTTAACTGTTGGCTCTTCTAATACTTCACTTCAACCAGTCAGTAATGGCAGTAGAAAATGTGTCACCAGCTGTCAGCCAGATCCGACTGTCATATCACATAGTAGGAAACATGTAGCTGACCATCTGACAGTTAGATCCAACCAATCGCTAACAATCGTAGGTCATAGTATTGTTCTTAAGAATAAATGTAAGATATTTATAAACTAGAAAGAATGCAACAGGCGTATTACCTCGAACTTGTACCATTCCGAATTCCATTGGGGGTTGAGGGATTTCCTGCATATCTCAGTCTTGTAGGAAGTCGCACCGAGTTTAATTTCAACGAAAGCGTCCGTCGTGTCCGAAGACCTGTCCATAACAGGGAGATTCCTCCCGGCGATGATCTTCACTTTTAACTTGCCGGGCATTTTAACGCGATTTCAGACTTAATGTCAGAGGCAACGGGCATGGAAATCGGACTGGAAGGACAGACAAGAAAACAAACCACCCACTTTTATGTACACCGTGTTATGCACAGACCTATAAACACTTGGACTATTTACAAATGACAACCATACTCAACCTGTTCAACAGATAAAAAGGCATTTCTCGAATCAAAAGTAAATATTGAATCGATATGTAATAAACCAAATTGAAATATTAAATGGTTATTTTTTTTATAAATTACATTTATAAAATTAAATTATTTTAAATTTATTAAATTTTTATAAATTAAATGGTTAAACTCTTTAATAACATAAATTTCGATAATTACGTGTTTGAATGAAAAAAGCGAGAGAATAAGTGACAAAACTTATAAGGGAAATTCAATCAGAAATAAATCTTATTGTTTTCCAACAAACTTTTACAACCGCGTGCAATAATTTTAACCAGATTTATAAATTCAAAAAACAATTTTTCTTGTTGTATTTCTAAGTAATTATAGCAAAAAATTAATAAATTTCAGGTGAAAAGTATATTTTAGGAATGTCGGATTGAAATGTAAAACGATACTGTTCTTGGGTTCGGCCCAAAACCGTGAGGTAGCCCAGTCTGGAGGTTATATATCAACGTCAAAATTTAGAATTATAACTTATTTTCCACAAACATTAATTTATTATATTTATCCCTGATAAGTTTGTTTTTCATATTATTATTGTAGTGATGTCGGGAGCGGAGGATACAGATGCAAAAGGTAAGGGAACCTAGCATAAAGAGAAAAAAAATCTATTTGTATTGATAAATTTTAAAAGTTTTTATTGTTTGTTCAGCATGCGATCCTGGTTGGAACGACCCACCTTACTTCAGTTACGAGCACACGAGTTACGAGCAAAAGAACAAGTCTGGAAAGTCACATTTGAATAAGAGGGTTGTTCATACGTTTTCGATGCCCATGGAGCGTTCCCAGTTCTCGGGGGATGGCCCTCCGACTAGCCCGGTCTTGCCCGATAAACCTCCTAAAGGAAAGTCAACTACACCACCTACCGAACAACCGGTCGACACCTTTGACGATGAAAAAGAAGACATAGAAGTTTCTCTGTCCGATACTTTATACAATTTCCTAGCGGTTTTGGAAGACATTAGACAACAAAATGAGGTAAAGTTAGGATAACAATACAACCAGAGAAATTACCATAAAATAGAAACCCATACAAATCATAAAAGTTATTAGAAATAAACTACACTGAGGGACAAGAAAACTGGCCACCCTTATTTTTTTAAATGTACACTATGTTCATTTCCATTGTAAAACATTGTAATGAGGTCTGCGAGGTGATAAAACTACAGCTTTATCATCACCGATGATCTTAGTTTGAAGTTTCTCGCTGGTTTTGCCTGTAACCATCTTTGCTTATTCATCTGTGACATTTCATCCTGTGTTATGTCCTTTTATAAGCTTTTAAGTGTTAAGAAGTACAAGGGGCGTGTCAGCCTGCTGTTGTTACAGTTGGTCATTATGTTCAGGCTGGCAAGCAAATAATGGACAAATGTGACTGATACATAAATCCAATGGGACAAATGATGAAAATTCCAAAAGAACCATTAACTATCAACAGTTCATCAGACCTCCATGATCCGGGATAGGTGTGGATAGCTGGCACCCCTTGCACACCTCTCCTAGGTATCTACCCTGGTACCTAGAATACTAATTTGGGAAGGATGTTATAACTGGTGGCTCTTTTCATGACATTGGGCACTATGGGACCTCCCACTCAGTGTCATGGCTATGTCTTATAGGTGGATACCAAGAAAAGGGGGGAAAACTATCAACTGTTTTCCTCACAAGGAAACTAATAAACCTTATGCCTACCTTTTGGTAGTGCTAGCTTTTTTGCAACTCCTCAGATGGCTCTATGTTTTGCTACCCTATGTCATCTACTACCCTATGGCCTTACCATTTTGCATTTCTTGAGTTTTTCTTTGGAGGGAATTCTTGAGCATCCAAGGAAGACATGGAATAAGTTGCTTTGACTTATCTTTATTAGTACAAAAAGTTTAAAATTAATAAAAAACGAATACAATAAATTAAAAAAATTAATACAAAAACTAGTATATACTAAAATCTTTACACAATTTATTAATTACTTACATAACTAACTAGCTATAAAAAAGTCTTCTCCCGACATATGTATACTGTACTGTTATACACAAAGATTATTTGAATATTGTGAAATGCGCAGTCTCAACACGACACACAGCAATGACAGATCTACTCAGAAAACACACACTTTGAGCCCTGAAGATGATCTCAATAAAGACACTGGCACAATAAAGAAAGTTCTCCAAATAATCATTAATTAACGGTCACTAAATAACATACATTATATACTATATAAAAAATACATATTTGAGAGAAAATGCTGTAGTTATATATATTACACAGGGCGGGCGACCAGGACCCGAGGGGTTAAAAGCCTGAGTAGGCCCGTACCCCATCCCTAGAAGGTCCGGGACCTGGTCGGCTCACGAGTCCTGTATAAACCTATTGGACCTATTCACAAACCCCAGGATTGTGGACCATTTTATCCTGGGGAGTGTTTTGGTTATGTCCTCTCCTTCGAAAGTATTAAATCTTTCCCTAGCATACCTATCGCATTCTGCGAGGTAGTGTCGGGCCGTTTCTTCTTTTGTTTCGCAGAAGCGGCAGAAGGGGTCTGGTAGAGTACCCATTATGAAGAGGTGTCTTCTCAAGGGGCAATGGCCCGTTAGGATACCTATCAGCCTCCTTATTCCCCTCCTAGAGTTAGAGAATAGCCATTTCGATTCTTTAGGTTTGATTTCCTTCAGAAACTCCTTCGATTGTCTGCATCCTGGGGACATATTCCATTCCTTAAGGAATTGTTTCATGCCCCAGCTACCTATATTCTCTTTTGCTGTGCTTAAAGAGTGGGGTAATACCGGTTGTGGTCCGACGAACTCAGTATTTGAACCTTCCTTGGCCAGGCTGTCCGCCTCCTCATTGCCATATGCTGTAGTTATAGTGTCAAAGAAATTGAACTGGGAGAACAACTAGTAAACTAGATTTACTATTGGAAAATTAAGACGTCCTTTTTGCGCAATGGTGATGAGACTTCATAGTTATAAAAATAAAGATATGAGAAAAAATGTGAGTTCTACAGTAAAAGAAAATTGCAAGACTCACAATCCTGATTTGAAGAACAAAATTAAGACTGTTGGAACCGTGTAAAAGATATTCAATAGTATGCAAATCAAAACTTCATCAGTTTCTATTGAAACATGTGAACAAAACTGAACAACTAAAATTGAACACATAAAAATTGAATTGAGAGAACGTGCCTTTACAGTGTTCAGGCGACATTTGCTTTTCTTTAGAACTGTGTAGTTGATTAGAGGAGGATTCATCACAATTGCTGATGACTGGAACCAGATTGTCTCAGTTGCCGACCTTTTTTCCATAATAGCTTTTCTGATAATTGTAATATTGATCCTGGCCACACACGGTTGACTTCCGATGCTAATTAGTGTAGCTAATTCTGTAGCATTTTGAAATTATTGTGGCACTAAAAATATAAAGTAATAATTGAAAGACAATTCATTAAGAAACATAGTGAAATAGTCTTTGCAAGGTGGTCTGCCAGACGTAATTTATCTCCTTGCCACATTTTTAAAATATCAATGTTAAGAAATAACCACACTCAATTACTCTACCCATATTAGACTAATAAGGACATAAAAATATTAAGGGTGGCCACTTCTTTACTACTAAGTGTATTAAAATATATATTTAAAATAGTTCCTTATTTTTTTTCCAATGACTGAATTAATTTAATTAAAAGGGACCGACAATTAAATTTTGACAGGTAAATAAAATATAGAATTTTTAAAAAACGTTTGACCAGTTCTAAATATTGTTTTATTAATAATTAAATGTTTTCTGTGCACCATGTTTTTCTTAGAAATAATTGTTATTAAGTGGTTGTAAGGAAGTTGCTGCGTTTTCTAAGGTGAAAAAAAAGAGGGTATTTATATGTTTTACTATATCAACATATTATTTGCCCCAAATGGCATTAATAACAAATTTGAAGCCTTCTTACCAAGGCTTTAAATACAAGAAAAGTCATAGATGATTAACACCAAATAATTAAAAATCAACCACGATACATTTTATCATACTTTATTACAAGTTTAAATTTGTAAAATAAAGACAACTTATACAATGAAAACCTGTTACATTGGCAGATTTTTATTGTTTTTTGCTTTTTATTGCACACACTGTAACAATTTTTTGCATTTAAACTGAAACAGTTCATGTACAAGAAGAACTACAAATGCAAAATAAAATATTTCTTCATTAAAAAAATGAAAATGACAAAATGTTTTCTGGTAGTAATTATTATTATTTTTTATTTACTTTTTAATGGTTTAAAATAACTGTTGTCACCTAGATCGATTCGTTATTAATCGTGTAACTCACCAATTTCAGAAAGACAGTATTGAAATAAAAAAACGACTGGACATATTAGAGAAGATGTGGATCGACGGAAGTTTTCCAAAAGACGTCCAGAAGAAAATCTATTCGATGTCAATAGGTGTTTATGTTTTCAGTATTTTATTTAGGATCAGATTTTAGGTCAAATCAAACAAGTTTGAGGGCAGAGTAATTCGTGCAAACATACGATAGAAATCAATGAAACGCAATAACATAACACGTAACATGATGAAACACGTAAATGTCCTTTTTTTTAAAATAGCATCACCACTTTTCAAACAAACAGAACGATTAGTGTAGTAGTATGACATAACAGGGGAACATAATTCAGTTTGTGGCTTGGAAGAAAGTCTGTAGCTGTAGAAAGCCCACATTGTAAAGTAAATATTAAAAAATGAAACAAGATTTTAAGTTATTTTCATAAAATAAGACCTGGAGCTCTTTTATGGTATACAGACAACTAAAAGATGGGAAATGGTATGGTCATGGGTGTAAAGGGGCCTAATTTTGAGCACAAGGGCCCTTGGCACCTTCTTTCAAGCTAGCCATAGAAATATGTGTACATGAAATAATAAAAATCTCATAGGTGCAACAATAATAATTATTTCAGACAGCGAGTCAGATTACCAGGCCTATGAGATCACCTCAAAAATTGTTTTAAACTGCCAACAGTCTCTGAAAAAACTGGGATATTCAAATAACCTAGTGTTAAAGAGGATCCATAGTCACCAGGGAATTAGAGGCAGCAGCAAATATATGTGCTAACAAGAACAACTCATAGGCACAATCTATTTTGTGGCATAAACCATAGCCATATTAAAAAAAATAATATGGAATAAGAATCTCGGGAAAATAAAGAACACAATAAATACTGGAAGTGCGAACTAGGTATGAAGCAAACAAAAAAACTGCTTGCACAAACAATCCAATGGAGAAAAGAGAAAATCCTACCTAACTAACAGAAAGAAATTAAAAACTCTGGTATATTTACTGGAAATGTTTCTGATAAATACCACCTTAAAAAATGGGACTATCAACAAATGACCAATCGATTATGTCTAGAAGACAGAAACTACTTGAGCCATACTGCTCTAGTTGCCATACCCCAGAGAAGAATTCTCTACCTCATAAAAGAAATGAAAATTTTACAGGAAATCCTTATGACACGTTGATTGCATCCTATTTGGCATGTTGGTTGCGCACGGTGGAACCAGATTTTTCATGTAAGCTCCCCGGTACTTAAAAATTTGGACTTTTTACAAATGTTTTTTACATTCTGAGCTATATAAATTTATATGACGCAACAGTCACGTTCCTACAGCGCTAAATAAATGAAGTAGGCACCCTCAGAACCTTTGTCAAGTAAGGGTGTTAAAGTCATTACATATTTCTACAATAACTTTTCCTTTATTTTACATGATCATACAAAATGGATAAATAATTAACTAAAATACACATACACAGAAAAGCAAATTAGTTTTCACAGAATAAATAAAAAATCACGGGGGGGGGGGACAGACCATGGCTAGTGATACTTTTGTCCTTCCTGAGGCACCCCTAGAATTTTTAATGGAATCGTTTAGAAGGTGAAGGTGAAGTGGGGGATAAGTTTAACGGGAGGGTGCAGTTCGTGCGGTCCACACAACCGGAATACACTTGGCATGATGCATTGCATCTTATACAGTCATGCTAAGTGCTAAAGGGAGAAATCTCTGCTATTCCAAATGAGGAATAAGAAAGGAATACTTTATTTGTTAAGGAACAGTAGAATAAGAGCAAAAATAAGAAAAGGTACATACTCTGCTCTCAAGTTACACCCTTGTAGGTTTTGGCCTAAATCTGATCCTAATTTAACATCCTCATACATTTTTTAAGCTGAGATTTAACCAACCATTTCAGCCTTAACCGAAAAAAACGAAGAAGAAGTCAACAGGCTTCAAAGGGTTCTGATGGTCAATCACTCGAGGCTGTGCAGCAGTTGGATGGCTGGTATAAGAAAACTTATAAATGCAAATTTGAATCCTTAATGCTTGAAATATTACAACTTTCTTCTTTTTAAAAATAAGTAACTACCACTGTAAATATATTTAGTAGCTCTTATTTATTTTATTGCCTTAAGAAAGAAAAACAAAAAATAACGTAAGGTGTTTTTAAAATTGTTTTTTTGTACATTTTGATAAATTTGATTACAATGATTTAAGAGGATCTGAAATAAGAAATGTATGTTATAAAAATGTATTTATTGTGGGAGGTTAAAATTTGTCTACTATCAAAAAATAAAATAAAAGCTTGTAAACAACAAAAGAATTCTTATACAGGATTTCATTCTTGCTCCCCGTTTTCTTCTAAATCCTTTTCTTTATTCTTTTTCTTCTTTTTCTTTTTCTTTGTGGTTTCTCCTTCGGCAACTTCTTCTGTGTTTTCTATTTGACTCAAGTTCATACTGTTTTCATTAACACCTAAAAACAAAAATCAAAATATTAAGACAATCTTTAGAATCAGTAGAAAATAGTTAAGGATAGTAATTTAACCATTTTCTTTGTGTTTCCTCTTCTTGGCCTTCTTCTTTTCTTTTTTAATTGCAATAACAGCCTCAATCTCTTTAGCAGCTTCTTTCATAACATCTACATTCTTTTCGGGCTTTTCACCAGTAATATAAAATTTCAATCTGTCTTCCACTTGGGCTTTTAATTTCTCCCCGTAAATAGAAGTAGATACATCTGCAAGGCAAGTGCAATATTATTTCGCGGACATTATTCAATATTGATTTAAACGACATACCTGAGAAGCAATCTATTCTAGAAGCAATAGTGCATTTGTTTGCAAGAAATCGAGATATCCTTCCTTTATTTTTTAATTCAGCTTTTGATATGAAGCTGGAATGGTACAGAAGACCGTACTTGGGAGTTTTGGTACTCCGAGCTTTCAGCGCCCTGAACAGGGCCTTCTCGGCACCTAAGATCTGCACAGTACTGGCTGGAAACTTGGCTAAGTTTGTCAACGAGCCAGCATGAGAAATTAACCTTGCTCCGACCTGATCTCCAATCAGCGTGGCAAGGTTGGGCGCAATGCCTTCCATCTTTGTATGCAAGTAGTTACTCAGTTTTGTACGGTATTCAGAAAGTCCGATGACACGACTAGCAAACAATTCAATATTTAACAAGTCAACGGGTGATATGTCCATACCTGTTAAACAAAATAAATTATAATTCTATTTTTTTTTTTTTTAATGCATATTGGACAAAAAGTTGAAATAGTTTGTAATGATTATAATTGAACGAACCCATAGAAGATTTTGAAGCATCATAAATGGCCTCAGCTTTGCTACGGTCCATAACAATTTCTTCAAGCTGATCAACTTTGCTGTCATCCAGCTCTTTACGGTTTTTGATAAATTTGACACATTTGGCATACAAGTACATTTCTGGGACGAGTTTTGCAAGTTCTGGAAAATGGTAGGAATACCATTCGCGTATCCTCATGGCGAATATGTTAATGTCCTTGTCAAGCTGGTCCAAGAGGCAGATGCTCTGTATAATCATATTGTCATTTTTGTGAATATTGAACTTGACCTTCGCCCTGGAATAACTATGTCCGAGACCGAGTTGCGCTACGCTGGACGCTTCTTTCGAGAACCCTTTGACAAGGTTGGAGAAGTGGTAACGGATGCCTCTAAGCACTTCAGGTACTACGCCAGTCGTCACACATGATATGCCGAGTGTCTCGCTAATAGTCGCTGCTAACTTTGGATCAGCGACACCCAACTGAGTCTTCTTTTTTTTAGGCACATTCTGTTCAAGGAAAAGCTGTAAATTCTCCGTCAAAAGGCCTATTATCAACATTAAAGAAATAAATAAATGCACTGTACATAATCCATCACACAAATTTTAACATACCTTCAGAAACACTGTTGATATTTTCAAGTGCTACAAATGCAGACTTAAAGGCATGAAAACTGACGAGGCTAACAATCTGATTGAACCGTTTTAACTCTGTAACAGACTGCTCAACTTGCGGTAAAAGCATGCCGACTTCTTCAAATTCTTTTACGCAAAAGAGCCCGTAGCCAGCGGCATGCTCATACAAAACGTATAGCTCGCTCTGTGGATCAAACAAAATTTACAATTATACATTGTTAACATGTAAAATGAACAAAACAAAAGTAATAGCACAGTGTAAAAACAATTAAATAATAATAAAGATGTTATGTTTCAGAAATTAAAAAATACTTCAAATTTAATGTATATTTTTAATATACATATTATATTCCTGGATGAATATGTTCCTTTAAAAGTTTTAAAGGATTTACAAGACCATTACTAATATGAAATTGTATCAGACCATAAAATAACCACCTTTCATGTTAATGCTTCTTCAGCAAGCTTTAGTTTTCAGTACATCTCTTTTAGTTAAACTACAAACAATTTTTTTAAAATTCCAAATATGTTGAATTTTGTGCCAACGAAAATCAAATTCCAGGAAGCTTTATTTTCTGCTTCCATCAAAAGAAATAAGTTCAATTGAAGATAGGGACCACATTCTATCCATTTCATGTTGAGTACCGGTTTAGACGGTTGAAAGAGGTAATTTAAGTTCCTTTAATTTCCTATTTGGTCACTGGACATGAAAAAATGGGCCCTTTACAAAATGTTAAAAACTGAAGGATCGTTCGCAAGAATGAAACGCTTCCATCGACATCAAGGGCAGTATTGTCCCTGCGTAAATTCCTAAAAACTGGGGGGGGGGGGAAACGCACACCCAATATATATCAGACTTTTACAAAGAAAATGGGATATTAATGTTGGCAATGTGTTAAAGAAAACTAAGGAAATTATTTTAATTAATTATAATTTTTCATCAGAACAAGCCCTTAGATAATAAGTATAATTAATCAAAATAATTAATACTGTCAATTAAGACTACTAAACATACATGCATTTGAATTTAAAAAAATAAAATCTCCCCCACAGACATGAGGAAATCTTAACAATTTAAAAATAAAAAACTTTTATATTTTGAAAATTGTCGAATTTTATGAAAACTGAAAAAAAAACAAAAAAAACATGCGCACACCCAAAATAATAGGAAAATACGTAAAAGAAAAAATAACAGATACAAACAAATAATAATCCTATAAACTTGTAAACATCACATTTAACAATGGAAAAACTGGCAATATTAGAATTAAAATCATTTTAATGCAGAGTACTCGCAATATGTATTATTACGAAAATAATATAAATAATAATTCTAAGTTGAAATAAAATGAAAGAAATTGAATCGTTAGCATAGTGAAACGCTGTTTTGTTATTACCCACCACGTGCCCACTAGGAATAATTTAAAACTAATAATTAACTAATTAATAACGTACCATTTTGAAACGGGTTTGGCTCCTCGGTTTATATTACAAATAATGTAATTAAACTCGTCGGATAATTTTTCATTAAGTTCAAAAACTAATTACTCGTAGAAACGTGGAATGCTAACATAGCCTCGCTGTGAAAGGAGCCAAGCTAAGTATTAAGTCGAAGACCAACTACCACGCTGAACTCTGCATTGGGAAGTTGAAAACTCCTGAAAATAGCTTTTTTCCATAATGAGTTTTATTTTTCATAAACCAAATATTAAAAGATAAAATATAAGATTGAAAACGAGATTTTTTTGCATTTTGTTTTTATATTTGTACAATTTATAATAATTACGTCTTAATTAGTTCAAATATAATGTTTGTGATGGTTAAATCGATCATCGATGGTAAGCGAGGTTCCGATATAACGAGGTTACTGAAACCTTGTGATGTCCATGCACCATTTAACTAGCATTTCAAAAAAATGAATTTACAACTGTAATACAGATAAATTAAACATGGTATTCCTTTCGATGTGTTTGTTGTCTGAAGTAAGTTTAATGTATGAACTAAATTAACATTTTAATTATTTTCTTGACGTAAATTTATTGTATTGAAACATGTCTGCTAAGGGTCAACTTAACTGTTTATTCTCCTACAACTGCTGAATAAATATAACCCTTTTATTAATTTATCTTTTTACTTATCAAAACATGAGACCCAAAAACCCACTCGTGCCATGCTTTCTCGCTCCCTGTAAGGGGCCGAGGCATGGCACTCGACCAAGTGTGTCACGCTGAGCTTTCTACAAGCAGGAAACGTGTCTGGAGTGTTGTGGAAGACATGATTCAATGTTGTATAAAATTTGGCAGTGGCAGGAAACGTGTGTAGAGTTTGCTCCAGAATCAGGGATCTGTGTGTCAATTGGGTATGTCCTATCCTCAAATGGGTGAATACGATCCCTTTCTTACATTTCAGACCTTCGGTAGGCCATTTTTGTTCTTAACTTGCAAGAGTTTCTCGGTTGATCCACCCCTTGATATTTTCAACGTTCTTTTGCGTTTTTTAATGCAAGTACAGTGTACTGGGGTGGAACATGGTGGTTCTTTTTGGATTATTGTGGAAAACATGAATCAATGTTGTGTAAAATTTGTCAGTGAAGGCATATTTGGAAGCAGACACTAAAGAAACTCTCTTAACAAGTGTCTACCACGTGGAGAGAGAAAACTGAATAATTTAAGAATTACACTCAGCTGTTCGTTTGTGGGATATTGAGTGCTGTATAAAGACAGAAATAAAAATATTCCATCTTGGACCATTTGTCCAAAAAATTCAAAATACTAGGTAACCAGAAATGTTTATGTGGTTTTTCATTTGTTATTGTTTTAATATCATCCATCAACCTTTATATTTATATAGGTGGACATGTGTGTTGCTCACATAATGCCAAGAGGATAATGGTCAGTTCATAAAGAAAAAATGTCTTGAAAAGTTCTCTATAACTTTTGTTTATGTTTTCAAAACCCATAATTTGTGCAAGCTTATTGTGTGAATTTTAGGTTGGTACTAGACTGGCTCTAGTATAGATTCTCACTCAGCTCATAAAATTTGCATTGCGTGTGGTGATGAAACAATAAGTGAATGCACTGCCCAAAAGTGGTTCAAATGGATGGTGTTCCTAGCTTATAATTAGATTTATTGCTTGGTGTAGTCTTCATGTAAGGGAGGAAAGTTGTCAGGTTGGTCATAGGTCTTGAAATAGATGGTGGAAATCTGTAGGCAATTCTTCTGATTACAAATTCTTTAGGAAGAAGACTTCTGGACTCTGGACTTAGGTGAATAAGTCAATGAATTCTCACTGTCAGACTCTTATCATTCAGTTCTTCACTTTAACTCAGGTCCTGACTCTGACTCTCAGATCACTCAGATTCTCACTCATACTCTTACTCAGGTCCTGATTCTAACACTGTTTACCTCTCTATTTCTGACTGTAACTAATGGTCTCTATGTGTGACTCCATCTCAACTGAAACTCGGACTTTGGTACCACCCAGTGTTATACTCTGGCTTGGCCAGTAATGGGATCTGGTTATGAACCTTGTAAGCCATGGGTTAAGCAGCTGTTTACGAAGCTGTAGGCCCCTGGGTATAGCCAGGCCTTGGGTGCAGGCACCAATATTATTTTCTTTTATATCAGCCAAATGATGTGTATTAGCTGCCCAAAACATAACAATGAAATGTTCTAAAAAAGATAGCTGCCTTTTTATGCGTGTCTTTGAAATGGATAAAACACCACTTTAAAAAGAGTCTAATTGCTGAAATGTTTAATATTTTAATGTTGCATTGTCTTATTAATGGAACTGATACAATTGTTATTTTGTTAAATTATCACAAAATTAATATAAATAATGTTGGATAACGTTGCAGAAAGAAAGTTTAAATATTTTATGTAAGCCTTGTATTTCATAAATTTGAGTCAAATAACCAATTACATAACTTTTATTTTAAATATTTCAATTAAAACATGGCTGAAGGAATTTCTAAAAAATCAATTATATAAGTATATATGTTTATGATTAATAATTATGATTATTTGGAGATCATGAGATGTGGTCTGGTGTGACCACACATTAATAATAATTTAAATTTAATTTCACGATATTTTTGCATACAAATAAATTTAATACATGTAAAAAGCAATGAAGGTAAGTTAAGTAATTAATGAATTTTATTCTTATTAAAGAAGCTGATTAGAAAGAGTAAACGAAAAATATTGGACAGCCTAAGAATATACGTTAAAGGCGGTTCTGGAGGATTTGGATTAAAAAAATATGGTGGAATTGGAGGGGCTGGAGGAGATGTAATTGCTAACGGTTTAAAAGGTAAATTATTTTCTGAAGATTGTTTGAATTTCAGTAATTAATGAATTGTAATTTAATTTGTTAAGATGCAACGTTTAAAGATATTCTTAAAAAAAACCGTTCCAAAAGATTTATTGCGGGACATGGTGAGAATTCAAGTAGCAAACGGATCTTAGGAAAGAAAGGAAGTGATTTGACAATCCAAATTCCACTCGGTGTTACAGTTTATGATGAAGCAGGATCTAAAATTGGTAAATTTTACTACCCATTACATAAGTCCATCAGTATATGTAGTGATGGTTGTTTATATCTAATTTTGATCCATCTAGGGGAAGTAAATAAAGAAGGTGAAAAAGTGCTTCTATCTGAAGGAGGTATCGGAGGTTGTCAGGATACTGATTACTGCGGTAGGACTGTTGAAGGAAAAGTAGTGACGTTGGACCTCAAATTGATTGCTGACATAGGGCTTGTTGGTTTCCCTAATGCTGGGAAATCAACACTTCTTTCAATCTTGTCAAATTCAAAACCAAAAATTGCATCTTACCCTTGTAAGTTGTATGATTTTTTTTTTTTCATCTAGGATTTCATTTTTGTAATGTTTGGTTTTAGTTACAACAATAGAACCAAACATAGGAGTAATGCAATACAACGATTTAAGAACAATAACTATGGCAGATCTTCCAGGACTTATTGAAGGTGCTCATGTAAATATTGGGATGGGATTTAAGTATGAACTTTTGTTCTTTATTTTGTTTATTTTATTTTTATTTATTTTTAACTAAATATATTTAATTTTTTAGGTTTTTAAAACATGTTGAACGAACAAAAATTCTATTGGTTGTCGTTGATGTATCAGGCTTTAGACTTAGTGTGCGTCATAATATTAGATCATGTTTAGAAACAATTGTAATTTTAAACAAAGTAATGAGTAAAAGAAATTTATTTTTTATTTAGATATAACTGGCCATTAGTAAACAAGAGACTTTTTTATTTTTAGGAACTGGAATTATACAGGGAGGAGCTTCTGACGAAACCTGCTGTCCTTGTAGTGAACAAAATGGATCTTCCCCGAGCCAAGGAAACATTTTACACAATTGAAAAAAGCATTGGAAATTTAAAAGGTAAAAATTGTAATTTTTTAATTTAATTTATTTATTTGTTTTTTTATCAGGTTGATTTTTTTTTTTTTTTCAGATTGTTTCAATACTGTACCTGAAGAGCTGAGGCCAAAAGTGCCCTTCAAATTCCGCGATATAATCGGAATACAGGCTATTAACAAAGATGAAACTGAAATAAAAAAACTCAAAGATATCCTTAGGAGGGCAGTCGATGAAACTGAATTAGACAAAGAGTTAGATAAAGAATCCCAGTTATTCGAATTTATTGACAATAGATTGAAAATACACGGGCCAAAACTTATATAATATCTATAATTTTTATTATTGTAAATAATAAATATTCTCATTTATTGTAAATAAATAAATATTCTTTATAAGTACATTAGTTCGTTTACAAACCTAAATTGATATTAATTGAAAACAAATACTGTGTTCTTAAAATAGGGTATGAGTTTAGAGAAAAATATTTTCTCTTAAGTTTTTGACAAAGACAATTTTATTTTTAAAAATACCCTTCCAACTTATTAAACTTAATTATTAAAAACTCATTTAATGTTTACTGCTTGCTGATTTATAAAAGCTCAAATCTGCACATGCATGTACATATAACACACTCGCAATCTACCAGCAACTCTTGCTTTTGATATTGACAATAAATTACCGAAGGACTCGAGAAAAAACTACCCCAAGCATTGGCAATCCAGGGACAGACCTCAGTCTTAGCCATCCAGCTGCCAAGCTTGGGTCCAACTGCTAGATCATTTAAGTCCTCAACACAATCAGTTCCAAAATCCAGACCCATTTACATTCTCACTTACTCTTCAATTCTTTCTTATTTACATACATTGGTTAAGGGTGGTGGAGTACTCAATATTCTGCCATCTGCCCTGTCATAAAATACATTCACTCAACAAACTAGACATTAAACTGTCTATAAAACAGTACTGTTTCTTCCAAGATTTGAAGCAAGGGACACATACTCACTGCCGTGCTCAAGTACCATAATCATATGGGGTGGCATTCCTATGAGTCAAGGAATTGCACCCTTCAATTAGACGGGACACATCAGGCAACTTTTCTCTGCATGCCAAACTTTCTGTGCATGAACATCCCAAGGTTGCAGTAACCCCGTTGTATCAGAACCTCGCTTGCCATTGATGATCAATTTAACCATTAAAAAAAAAAAAATACTTTGGCCCAAAAATAAATTGGGCTTATCATCGGGTGAGGATGATCCTTCTTCAAGTCAGGTCCTCCAAAGGCCACCTATGAATAGTGAACTGACTCACTAACACTGCCAGTTCTTTTATCATGTTTTTTTTTATTGCATTTATAATTATCATTTATAAATGTGTTCTTTTGAGAACTAAATGCACAATTAAAGCTTGAAATTAATTTTATTTATGACATAGTTATTTTAAGCTCCTTAAAAAATATTGTCATTTATAATTATTTTAATATTATCATCCTGGACTGGTTATCCGTGCTTGTTTGGTTTCTTCAGTGATCGGCCAAATGTTACACCGTTGTCACAAAAAAATCAAAAATGGTGAAATGCTAAAATTTGCCAAATCAGACCAAGATGAGATCGGTAATGACTAAACTTCAATATCTAACTTTATTGATCATTAGATAATAGATGACTGATTAATAAACATGACACTCAGTATTAAGAAACTAAATCTGTACAGGGTGGTCTAATGAAACAAGTACACAAAAATTTTGTTCTATTAAATGAATAATTAATTTAAATAAAAGAAAATGCGGTATTCTCTATAATGTATAATTAATTAAAGTTTTAAAATTTGTTTTATTATTAAATTATACAAAACAAATTCACTTTTAAAAGAGTTATATTTCATCCCCTAATAATTATTGTAACATTTTATGATTATTTGGAGGTCGTGAGGTGTGACGTAGGTTCTAGAAAAATATTGTCTTTATTGTGCCAACAATGACCTCCAAATAATCATCAAGTAACAGTCACTAAACACAACACGTAACATTTTATATTTTAAAAAATCTATATGTATCATATAAAATTCATTCAATTAATTATTAATGCGTTACATTATACAATTATGTTAATTATTAAAAAAATTCAAATAGAAAATTTATCATATATTTAAGTTAAGAAACATAAAAGAAATTTCTCCTCCATTAGCCCATTAACCAAGTGGTTGAGTAAAAGATTAGTGAAAGTCTTTATTAAATATAGTTCATAGACAATAATGCTTTCACTTTCAACTATCCTAGGAATTTTCTTTCACCCAACATCATATCACACTTAATCCCTACTCCTTAATATTTCCAAAGCCGGCCAACCATCAATAGGTCAGCCACCTGCTCTTCCTTCTCCCTCCTTGCATTTTTCAATCATCAATAGCAGCTTACTTACGGATTTCATTCTCCCTTCCAAGAGGCTTAAACATAAGAACACCTTCACTAAGCCATAATCAGTCTTAAGATCCTTCTCTATTGTCTATTCTTCTCACAGTAGCAAAACAAAGAATTGTGAGTACCTGTTAATTATTGTCATTGTTTACCAATTATATTTATCTATTACTTGTTTGTGTAAGACACAAATTCATATTTTATATAATCCAGACATGTGTATTATACTCATATCTCTTTTAGGATTTTATGTATTGTAGAAGCTTAAAAAATATTTATATTTGTTTATTTATTTGATCCTTTGTCTTTATTCCACAACAACTATATTGAAAAATAACATTATTCTAAAATAAGGGCTGCTTAAATATATAATTTAATATAACACTAATTGTGTATACCAGTAGTGGGTTTTTCTGTTTTATTTTTCACAAAAATATTTTAAGTTTAATAAAGATTATTAAATAATTATGTTGAATGACATGTCCATTGCACATAATCACGCAAGCCATTCATTGAATATTCTCAAATGCATCTGATAGATCAAAACTATGGCAGTAGGGAAATAGGATGATCAGAAATGATCAAAGTACACGTTTACTTTTTGTAAGTGTAGCATATAAGTTTGGAGTCAAAATAAAACATCCCTTGCTTTGTGAGAAGAGAGTTGATACTTTTTATGTTTTATAATATCTATAAAAATAGAATAGGAGCAGTTCTGTGTCTTTAATATGTACATGTTATATTGTTGACTTTACAGATAGATTAGAATGTTCAAATTATTGAATTTTATTTTTTTATGGTGTAAAATTCAACAATGGAAAGTTCTAATATTTTATTTTCTAATTATTCAGAAATCGTGATATGCGGTCTGGTGTGATGTAGGTTTCAGAAAAATATTTTCTTTATCGTGCCAACATTTCAATCTTTATTGAGATCATCTTCAGGGCTCAAAGCGTTTGTCTTCTATGTAATTGTGCCATTCTTGCGTGTCGTGTTGAGAGTGCCAGTGAGATTTTGCTGTTTTATGTTTATATATGTTGGATTTTGAAGAACGTATATAAACATAAAACAGCAATATCTCACTGGCACTCTCAACACGACACGCAAGAATGACACAATTACACAGAAGACTAACACTTTGAGTGAGTAGAAATACTTTGATTGAATATAAAAACAATATATTTTGCATTGTATAAATTCCCTTTTTTCCACATCCTACATGTATTTGTTAAATGTAAACAATGTTTGTAAATCCCAGGCCCTGAAGATGATCTCAATAAAGATCGAAATGTTGGCACGATAAAAAAAATGTTTTTCTGAAACCTACATCACACCAGACCGCATATCATGATTTCTGAATAATTATCGACTAACAGTCACTACTCACCACATATTTTATTTTTTATTCATTTTTGCCACAGAATAAAGACAATGTTTACACACTCCTTCTCATTTTAAAAAATATAAAAACGACACAACCAACAAAATAGGGCAGGCCAACCACTGAAGCTGGGAAAACACACCAGAAAGAAATTAAACAAAAATAGGCTAAGGTGATCAATATTTCTCAATTTAATATAAGTCTATTGTAAAATACTCCTGTTCCGACGACTTGTAAAATCTGCAAAATCAAACATTAGTGGTATTAAAACTTTGTGGAATAGAAGTTTATTGCAAAATTCACAATTACTGAACATTGTATTTATGCGACAATTATGAGTAATATGTTTCCGTCCCTCCAAAATAGTACGGTTTATTTAGCTTTCGATTATATTTTAGATTTTAATTGTGTAAATTATTACAGTATTAAAACAAAAACACTTAATGGGGACCTCAGTGGCCAAGTGGTTAGAGCATCCAACTTGTCACGCTAGCAGTTCTGAATCCCGGCAGAGCCCATGGCTTTTTAATTAATTATTAAATTATTATTATTATACTATAAAAAATGTATTGTAAAATGGTGTGACCCTCCTGTATGGCAGGAAACACTTTTTTTACTTTTTAAATTTCTTATTTAGTTATATCCATTATGTAATAAAGTTTTTGCAACTCTCTTTCAACTACTTATGTTAGTTCTTCATAGAAAAATTCATTTGAAAATACTTGTTTATTTTTAAATAACCTGAATATAAATATATTTTTCTTTTTAAAAATTCATTTTTTGGCTATTTTAAGTTGTATCATACTTTTTATTAATATTCTTTCTTGACAACTACGTTTTATTTGACAAAAAAAAAAGAGACGGTGGGAAAAGAGAATTTTAATTGCATTCACTAATTCTCAGCAAACTTTCTATTGGCCTCTGCCCTAAGACCAAACAATTGAAAAATTACTTAATTACTATTACAACAGACAATAATGAAATTATACTTTTCTAAAGTAACTACAAGAAAAAAAAAATTAAATGGAATAAATGTTTGTCAAATATTATTGCTCTTGTATGCCTAATGTTGTTGAAATATTTTGAACTTTTATTAATTTTATAAAAGGAACAAATATATGTCCTGTAAAACCAAAGTATAACATAGAAAATATTACTTCAAAATTATAAATAATTTGCTATTTTAGCTTAGTACTATCTAACACTAGGAAAAAAATATCACAAATAAATTATTGATTTTTGTTCAACTGAAAAAAAAACCAAAAAAAAACAACCACAATTATATTAAAGTACTTTGCAATGCTTGTAAAAGACAAATTAAGCTACTGACACCATGGCCTAAGCCGTTGGTGGATGAAATATAATATTGAACAAAAATTGATTGTGAAATATTGGTAAAAGGTTGGTGACCTCTAGTTTGGCCATTACTGACCATCCCAGGCGAAGGCAGTACGAATAGGAAAATCAGGGTGATCAGAGATGAAGCTATAAACATGCTTAGTGCTTTTATTTTATGAACATTAACATTTAAAAACATAAATTAGTGGCTACAATGGTTTAGGCATTGACACAGTACTCATCACTGTAAGTTTAATGTTCCAGGTTCGACAAAACTTAAACAGGCTTTTTTTCAAAAACCAACATCCCGAGGATTTATATGACCTCTGCTGTTGCGACCCCTCGTAAAAAAATTTATTAAAATATATCAATTTTTCAAAATGGTTCCAAAAATAGCATTTCATTAAAGTCAATATAAGGAAATATTTAATTGAAGTCTATCACAAAATTATAATATAAAAGTTTGAAAATATTTGTATTTTTAATTAAATTTGGCATAAATAAAGCACTTGACTTAATAATTAATGTAACTAGCAAAGTGAAATACTGATTTTATTGTTTCCATAAAAAAATAAATAAATAAAAATAATACTATAAATTGGGTTTATTTTCATTGTAGATGTTCATGCACATAAAAAATGAACATTTCATAATATATATTGTATATAAATACAGTCTTTACTTAATTTTAATTTGAGAAAGTAAATTTATTTCTTAAGCAATATAATGTTTTGGAAGTTTAAAGTTAAATATAAAGTATATTTTTGAAATAAACACAGTGAGATTTAGGGAAGTAAAAACAAATTAAAAAATTCTTCCGATGTTGCAAGTTTGGTTCTTGGTGACCTTGGTGATACCCCGCTACTTGAAAAACAGATTTTCTCCTCATGCTCCAACTCCCACCATAAAAAATTCAGGCTCTCCGTCTGTTAACAGTGCATGACCTTACTATACCCTCTCTCTTCAACCTTTTCTAGGGTATGTCACAGACTAGTCTATTATCAGAGCTCTTGCAGTCTACTGTACTCATTCAGCTTCTTGGAGGACTGGTCGCGCTGCTCCTGTTTCTGCTTGCGGCGCTTAAATTCTATGTGCAATACACGACAGGGGTTTGTAACAGTAATGCTAAAATGATTGGAAAGACAGTCATAGTCACTGGTGCGAATGGAGGTAAATTTTTTACAAATTTTGAAATATTGGAATTTGAAATTATTTTTAAGTACATAATATACAAAATCAGCAAGCATTTTAAATTAAATCTAATAATTATTTGCTGTTAAATTTTTTTTTTTTTTTTTTGCTGACCTTGAGTTTGTTATGTATACTTAAAATATTTACGACATTCTAAACAGCCAATATTATAATTTTTTAAGTTATTTTTACATATTTACTTTTTATCTAATAATACAAATTCAATTTTAAAACATTTCAATAATTTTCCATTATACTTTAACATCTGAAATATATGACAAAGTAGGAAACTAAGTTTCCCTTTAATTTTTCCTAAATATTTTCATTCTGGAGTTTACAGTTTATTTTAGTATTAATAATATTATTAAAAGATTAAATAATTGTATTTATTTTTAAAAAAATTAGGTATTGGATATGAGACAACGCTTGATTTGGCAAAACGAGGTGCAAGGGTTATAATGGCCTGTCGGAATTTAGAGGTTGCAGTTGTAGCTCGAGGTAAATTAATAAATAATTTATTTATACATACATATTTTAAATATTAAAATTGACTGTATTCTTAAATTGTTTTCCAAGTCACTGCTGACAATTATTATTACCCAAGTGCTTGTGATGGTAGATGTATCCCTCAACCCAAGAAATGGATGAATTAAATGGAAATGAATGAATGGAGAATATTTTTTTTAAATATTTTAATGTTCTGACTAGTTTTGGCCATGTTCAAGAATATTACTGATTACTAGCTGTAATTAGCTCAAATCTGCATATGCATGTTCATGCAAACACAAGTGTGCAGAGTTAAGCCTATCACTTCTTGCAGCTTGTCGGCAATTCTAGCTTTTGTGTAATTTACACCGGATTGTTGGCAGTTCTCTTATCCGTTCAGCTACCGAGGTTGGGATCCAGTGGTCCTACATGCTCTCTATATGGAGCCAAAGAATAGAACGTTTCAATTAAGTGCGTAACATTGAGCAATTTTCTCCACTTGCCAGACACATAAGCGGACTTTGTCACAAAATTGTCATGTGTCAACCTTGCATGGTCTATCCTTCATCGGGTGAAGATTACACTTCTTCTACGAGTCAAATCCTCAAGGGCCACCTATCAACAGGGAGCTCCTCAGCCAATCTGGCCCAACAACAGTGCCACTTTTTTTGTAATCATGTTTTTCAATTAATATTTAGTCTCAGAGAACTGGATTGCAGTGATTTCGTTCTTCAAGGAAATTTAAAATATATAACCAATATAAAATATTGAACTACAATGTGGTGTACAAATAAAATCTAACATAATTTTAACTTATTTTTAGGAGAAAAATAATAAGCATAACAAATTATAATAAACATTAATTTACAGGCCAGTTTGCTTCTTTTTTCAGATGAAATTGCAAGGAAGGCAAAAAATCAAAATATTGTTGTACGGAAACTGGATTTGAGTAGTCTCAAATCAGTCAGGGAGTTTGCAGAAGAGATAAACAAGACTGAAGAGAGGCTCGATGTATTAATTCACAATGCAGGAATGGCAAACACATTTTCTAAACATGTCACAGACGAAGGTCTTGAAGTGACAATGGCCACAAATCAATACGGGCCGTTTTTGCTTACACACCTTTTAATAGGTAACACCATCATGCATGATTTCCATTACATATTTATAAACTATTGGCTTTTAGATCTGTTGAAGAAATCCAAACCGAGCCGCATAATTGTAGTGGCGTCTGAATTGTACCGGCTGGCATCTGTCAACTTAGAAAATCCTAATCCTGTAAATAGCCTTCCAGCATATCTGTACTACGTCTCAAAGTATGCAAACATTTGGTTTACTCTCGAACTTGCAAGACGCTTGGAAGGCACTGGTAAAGCACATTAAATTTGTAAATAGATTTAATATATTAAACTAATACGTTGTTTTTAAGGAGTTTCAGCTAATTGCCTCCATCCGGGGATGATTGATTCAGGAATTTGGAGGAATGTCCCTTTCCCGCTCAATTTGCCAATCAAACTAATCGCTAAATTATTTTTCAAGGTTAGTTTATTAAGTTTAAAACTAACATAAAAAAATTCATACTGCAATAATTTCTTTAGAATCCTGAACAAGGCGCACAGACTTCAGTCCATTTGGCAGTTTCCGATGAAGTCGACGGCATGAACGGCAAATACTTTATGGACTGCAGAGTAAGTGTGAAATTTTAAACCAATCAATAACTGACAGCAATAACAATTATTATTTTTAGGAGCACAATCTTTCATCGGGTGCAAAGGACATGGAAAAAGCGAAAAAATATTGGGAAATCTGTGAAGAGTTAGTTCAGCTGAAGCCTACAGACCCAAGAATTTAACATATAAAATGGTGATTGAAATTTTAAAGATAAATTTATAACTACATGTAAGTTAATTTTAAATTTTTTTTGTTAAAACCAAGTTTTATATTTATATTTTTTTGGTGTGAATTAGAGGCTTTCAAAACTAGAACCTTCTACATGTGATATTTAAATGTGTTAATATTTATATGAATTTATTTAATGTCACAACCATTTCAAAAGAGTTCTATTTTTTAAATAAGTAATAATAGTATAATTGAAAAAGCAAAATTGATTTTCTTTGAGATCTTTTATATTTCTAAGTGAATTTTAATATGAATGATTGTAAATTTTATTTGTGCAATATTAAGATGTATAGTGTTAAGTAAAATTTAATAAGTTTGGACTTTTTTAATAATTATTTTATTACCTTAATTTATTAGTAGGTAAATCTAATAATATAATTTTATGGAGATGCTTTTGTCTGAGAAAAACTAAATTAATCTAGTGTTTGCTACTGTTCAAGAAAAAAAAATCTATTTTACCATATCCGACACAAAAATTTTCTAGTACAAATACTTTATGGTGAGTGAAGGTCTTCAAGGTGATAAACCTGTAGTTTGATTATCTTCAAAGCTTCTTTTTCTTTCTTTGGATGTGAAAAAAAAAGTGTGAATTTAAGCTATCAGCACTAGGCATCCTCTTTGACTGCACGACAAGCACTCGATGGATGGATTTATGTGCACGGTTGATCACAAGGCCTACAACCCTTCAACCTCCTTAGAAAATCGGTTTGGTAGGGAGGATATGAATAGAAAGATCATGGATGAGGGTATTCAATGGTCTGAGAGTACTAACAAAGAGCAGAGTATTATTGTTAGTGAGGAGCATTTTTAACAGGATAGGATTCTGTTGATTTGATTTTTTAACCGTACCAACTTTTATTTGTCTTGCACCCTGTAGTTTCATTAGCATAAATCTGGTTGTTACCATTACTAATATGTAATAGAGAAACATGATTTAAAAAATGTGGCAGTATTGGTGGAATCCTGTGCTATAGAAGCAAGATCCTCAGAGGATCTGACTTGTACATCCTCACCTAGTTAAGAATAGGCCAGACAAAGTTGACACTTGGTTGACTTACTTTTGGGCCAAAGCCTGCATATGTATCCGGCATGCAGAGAATGGTTGCTTGATGTGTCACACCTAAATGAAGGGTGCAATTCCTTGGCTACATACAGAGAGCATGCAGGAATGCTGTCTGGATTGATAATTGTGCTTGAGCACAAGCATTTTCCCTGTTCCGATTCTTAGTGGAAACAGGGTTGTTCTATTGTATACAGTAATAATAGTTGTATATACCTAGTTTGTCTTCAGAGTGAATGTATTTATTAGCGGGAATGCCCATCATCCTAATTGAATGAATGGTATGTGAATAGGAAAGAATGTATTTAAGAATGGATTTGAGTATGAATGGGTTTGTAAATGCATGAATTGGTTGCTGAATTGACCTAGCTGCTGACACCCCCCAACCTCGATGGCTGGACGGATAAGACTGTGGTCTACCCCATACTGCCATCATTCTCTGCTGGCAAATTACTGTAAATAGCAAAAGCTGGAATTGCTGGTGGAGTACAAGAAGCGAATAGGCTCAACTCGGTACATGTGCAGATTTGAGCATATATAAATCCAAATCTAAAATCTTCTCATAAAGCAAACAATGTTGAGTTAATTTTAATTTATAAGACTCAAAACTTATGGTGTTTTTAAGTAAATTATACTTTGATCCTATCTGCCTTTTGCAGGTTTTGTCTTCAGAAGAGTTTCGATATTTCACCATCTTTAGTGGTTGGTCTTCGTGTGATTTTGTCAATTGTGTTCTTTTTTAAGTTTCAAAAATGCGAAGGGATTAAAAGGAATTAAACAAATACCAAGAAAACAGATTAAATTAAACACTGACAAGATAGATAGATACTTTCACTTACAACAAAAGATGAAGTACTAAATCAAAGAAATAAATTTATAAGTATACAAGCATTGATTAGAACCATCTGATGGAGGTTGTTGCTGGTATCATAAAAAACAATATGAAAGTTTAAAAAGAAAATATATTAAGAAAAGAAAAAACTAAAAAAAATAAAAAAATATTAATTAAAAAACTAAAAAAACAAAACGAAGCAACACAAACTACACAATAGTAAATAAGTAAAATAAAACAAACAAAAAATACAAAGTAGAGACTGACTTTGGAGAGCAAACCTGAGATGTAGTGGGCCATATCAGTAATGATAATTAAATTGCTGGTTCTTTAAAATTACCTTTGTTAAAGTGAAATAATGCCGAAAAAGGATTAATTTATTTGCAAGGGATAGGTACAAAGAAGATCGAACGCGAAGAAGGCATTTGTTTCTCTTATATTGACATATTTTTTGCAGAAACCTATGAAGATTGTCTTTCAACTCTGAGTAATTTTCCCATGAAGGAGAAAATCGAAATCATTATCCTTTTTATTAAGTATTAAACATTGACAAAAGCATGTTGTAAATTTAAATAAAATTATATATATGTTAAATTGTATATAAAGAAGTGCCTCTTTGTTAAGTTCTTCATTTCACTTTTGGAGCGTTGTTGTATGTCACAGATCGATACCTCGAAGTACGAACTATGGCACAGAAATACAAAATTAGGAATGTAACCTCGTGCGACTAGAACTTAGCGTTTAGGTCTCAGCGACTCAGCCTCTGGCTGAGTTTTATATTTTAAATGGTTTGACGTTGAAAAATCCACAATGAAGTGTTATTACGAAGTCCTCGAAGTGGACGAAGATGCCAGCGACGAGGACATAAAGAAGTCATACAGGCGACTTGCCCTCAGATGGCACCCGGACAAAAATCTGGAGACGGCGGATGAGGCGAAAGAGATGTTCCAGCTGGTGCAGCAGGCGTACGACGTCCTCAGCGACCCCCAGGAACGTTCTTGGTACGACAGGCACAAAGATTCAATACTTAAAGGTGGTCTGGGAGAGAATTACCAAGACGACAGCTTGAACGTGTACGCCTATTTCACCACTTCTTGCTACAAAGGGTTCAACGACGACGAGAACGGTTTTTACTCGGTGTACAACGAGGTGTTTAAGACTATCGCAGCTGAAGACTCGGAGTTCTGCACAGACGACGTCGAAATCCCTGAATTCGGCGATTCGAAAAGCCCCTACTTGGAAGTTGTTCACCTCTTCTATTCCCACTGGCAGAGTTACTCGACCAAAAAGACATTTTCCTGGCTGGACGAGTATGACATAAGGCAAGCCCCGAACCGGCGGGTCGTAAGGCTTATGGAAAAAGAAAACAAAAAGATTAGAGATAAAGCGAGAAAAGAGCGTAATGAAGAGGTGAGAGCATTGGTAAACTTCGTACGCAAAAGGGATAAAAGAGTACAAGAATATTCCAAACTGCTTGAACAGAAGTCCCTAGAAAACGAGAAAAAAGCAAATGAAATGAGAAAAAAGCAAATATTAGAAAAAAACGAAAAAATGAAGAGCTATGTCGAATCGGATTGGTCCAAGTTTACGAATGTTCTTGATGAGTTGGAGCAGATCGAATCGCAGTTGACAGTAGAGGATGAAGAAGAAGAATCCCTTTATTGCACCGCTTGCAATAAACTTTTTAAAACTACAAAAGCTTTTCACAATCATGAAAAATCAAAGAAACATCAGGAAAACTCAAAATTGTTAATGCAAAATGGAGACGAGGATGAAGACGAGAACGATGATGATCTTCTTGACGGGGAAGAAGATTTAGACGATATTTCCATTTCTACAGAGGATGAGGAAATAAAAACGAAAAAGAAGAAGGAAAAGAAAAAGAAAGCGTTTATGCCTGAACTTGACAACTCGGATGTCGATTTATCCCTCGAAGAAATAGAAAGGCAAAGGAATGAGAAAAAAACAGTAGAACCTGTTAAAAAACCTGCAAAAGTGAAGAAAAAAGACAAGGAAAAGAAGAAGGCAAAAGAAGAGAATCCCGAAGAGGAGGTGAAAAAAAACCTGTGTGTGACGTGCAATGAAGAGTTCCCCTCGAAAAACGCCCTTTTTAAACATTTAAAATCATCTGGGCACGCTGTGTATTTACCGGAAGCAACTGATAACAAGAAATCAAGCAAAAGTAAAAAGAAATAATTCGATTAGCCAATTTTTATTTAATTTCAAGTGACTGTGATGTGTAAAATATTAATATTAATAAATTGGAATGGAGAAACAGAAAATATCTCTTTTTCTGGCCTCATTATATCTTAATTTTGATAGAAAATGCCTCTGCTTTTTCTGACATTTAAAAAAAACAAGTTTAAATCATACATCATAGCCTAGAAGATCTGAAAAGTAAAAAATGACCAATTAAAAACCCTATATTATCAAAATAAAATAAGTACTTATTGAAATTAATCTTTAAGACAATTTAAGAAAGATCAGCCCAGCAAGAGTAGGCAGACCAGGATGATTGTTAACAACCGTATTACTGCAATTAATTACCAAAAGAATACAACTGAATACATATAATCTGTAAAGTCTAACTTGTATTTGCCAGCTATGTACTGCTAGTGGTTCTAGGTTCGAATCCTAGCAGAGCCCATGGTTTTTTAATGGATTATATTGTAAAATTGTTTGACCCGCATCTGTGACACCACAGAGTTGGACAAGCCCTCCTATATGACTAGAATTACAATAAGTGTAATATTATATGTAAATATTATAAGTAATTAACTTACCTTTACAGAATAAAAGTCAAGGGTATTTGCCTGATTTATGTTAATAGCAGATCGATTTTTGTGCACCAGTTGATGGGATCAACAAAATCATTGATAATAACACGTTTTTCAAGTTAAATTCTAAGATTCAATCTCTCATATTTATTCTAGATCATACTACTAATTACTTTGTTCCAGTGAAACCATCTATGGTTTTAATATCTGACTGTATAATAATACAAAAATTTCATATACACCAGAACATTTTCTTTTCGGAAGATAATTTATATATTTAACAGAAAAAGTGCACTCCTGATGCCAGTGGTGTTTGGTAGTTATTTGTTTTGTTTATATTTTAATTTTTATTAATAAGGCTAAAAAGATTAAAAATAGCAGTGAGGTATGTTATGTGATGAACTAGTACCTTATAGCTGTATCCTACTTTGCTTGCTATCACTGGTTTTATCTGCCAGACCTATTCTAGACAAAAAAAGGAGCCAATATGAATTCTCTACGCCCTGAACCCTAGTGTGGCGGGTGGCCTAGCATCTTGCCACAAAAAAAGGAGACACCGAAAAATGGATTTTTTCTCCAAAATCCAAGAAGTGCCAAAGCAATACTTACAAAGTTATTACTGGAGGGTAGCTGCAACTGAATCAAGATTCTAGTTGAACTCCTGAGAGGGCACTGTCGCCTAAGAAGGCGCATGCACCACATAGGAATACAGACAGAAGAAATACTGTGCAAGTATTGCCAGAAAGAAGAGGAGACTGCAGAACATGTTTTGCGTTTTTGTGAAAGTATAGGCAGATTCTTGCAACTAGGAGAGGAACTAAGGAGCAACTGGCAAGGCTATGTTATCGAGGATCTAACAGCAAGAATAAATATAATAAGCTGTTTTGCAACATCCAAACTACTGGTTCATCCTAGGCCTAGAAAATAGAATGAAGATTTTGACAAAACCTTGTTTCATAAATTATAAAAAGAACGCATATGATAAAATAACAGACAAACTACTGAAGTTGACCAAACTCTGAAACACATCTTACAGATCAAACCTGCAAGAATAGCCATAATGAAAATGGTATAATGGTGAAATGTGTATGAAGAACTTAACAGTAAGGATAAGTAGACCAAGACAAACTATAAAAAGGAACATGATAAAATAATACAGGCCAACCACCGAAGATGGCCAACGTTGAAATATGTCTGAAGAACTAAAACAATAATGATAAGAAAACTAGGATTGGATTGGAAACCATAGTTCATCACCCTATATACCTTAAAGAGAAATCTATGTGAAAAAAATTCTGGAAAATTTCAATCTCCAAGCGACGCATACAGATTACACCAGTCAATCTTAACACTTTTGTTACGGATGTCGTTAAGACATCCTCACATACGGGTGTTGTTCCAGAATGACACGTTTTATTCCTGACAGTGCACTGCTGCCTATGCCTTGAATCGTCATACAGACAAGAAACACTGTGCAGATACTGCCAGGAAGACCACATAACACATTTTAAGTTTCTGTGAAGGTTTCCTAGGTGAGGATTCATGCCTTTAAAGAACCGTGTTAAGGTGGTTAATAAAAAGCATAATTTATAGATAAGTCTTTGGCTGTTATGACTTAAAGATATTCTAGAGCTTTCGAGGTGAATAAAAATTATAACAGGGATAATTGTCAACTACATAACCATTTTATTTAATAACAAATATTGTACAGAGGAGAAAACTAAATAAATACAAAAGGAAAGATAGGCGGTTCACCTCTCCGAACTAGTTCTCGGTGTTTCCTTCACTTGAGTTTGGTGAATAGAGTTTTGGCGACGCAATGGTCAACGCAGTGGACGAAGTCCATCAGTTCTTCGACGCAGGTCTCCGTCGTCTGTGATTTCGAGCTGACCCTGGCTGAGCATTCGTTCAATCTGTCTTTAAACGATTTGCAGTTCGGTTCGCAACTTTCCTTGAGAGTCACCTGAGGGTCGACCAACTCCTCGTCGTCGTCAGACTGGGCGCTGATCTTCGGCACGACTTTACCGAACATACTGAAGCCGAACAGGGGCATTTTTTCGACTAGTTTTATGACTTTTATATTTTATTCTAATTCACTGAGGTGAATTGGTCAAAGGCCAGCCTCCAGAGGTTGGAAACGGAAATACAGATGTTATTTTAGGGTTTCACAGAAAAAAATGCTACCACCCGAACACCACAGTGCAGCCAAATGAAGCATAATTTTTTCCCATGTAACTTACTATTTTCATCCATTTTATATTTAATCTAAGCAAAGCTATAAGAAAACATTCTATCGGTAATTATCCATCACCATAAACGATCTTATATTTTATTTAAAAAAAGTATTTTTTATTGGTGTTTTTTTATAAATAAATATAAGCCTTTAGTTCCAGCAGGTTTATTTACATGGGAAGCTTTTCAATTATTTTATAATCATCTTCAGCCCCTTAACTCACAGCCTTGTTATTTATATTTTTTCGTATAACACTACTTATCAATTAATAATATGTTAACATTGAACATGAATGAGAATGTTAACATATTATTAATTTATAAAATATATATTTATTTATAAAAAAAACACCATTATGGAGTTCCACAGCAAGAACGGTGCCACACTCAACAACATCTTGAGTATTTTTTATCATAATTGTTTAACATATAATTGATTCCTTAAAAATATTTTTAAACATTTTTCATTCATATCTATAATTTAATGCATATAAGTCAAGCTGCTTGGTGAAAGAACTCAAAAGAAAGCAAGAACCACCCTGGTGGAATAAAGAACTGGGTAAACTAAGGGTCAATGCCAGTAGGGCATTTAACAAAGCAACAAGCAACTGGGGAGAGTATGAGGCTACTCATTTTATACAATCAAACCACCCACGGGACAAAAAAATAAAACTTTCGCAAATTATGCGGAGAAATATCTTCAGTATCAACAACATCTCGACTACATAAAACACTAGTAAAAGACAGAGTAGATAGATATAAACCCTGCCCTGAAGTAAACAAACAATTGATACACAGAAGATGCAAAGTAAAAAGTGATGCTATTTCTAAGTACACATTTTCCTCCTGGGATATGGATAGGGATAAAAGAGGTAGCAAAAGGTTTTTTGCAGTAGATTTGCTTTTTCGGTAGATCTATTGTGCACCTCTGTTTTTTTATGACTTACTGGCCAGCTTCAGGTTGTTAATCAACCAGCAGCTCCTTAGTGTAGGATCTTGCTTGTGGCTTTTCCTCTCCTGCAGAATCAACAAAGACCTTCAGAAAAACATAAAATGGTGTTTTCCCCTCTTCCTGGCAGTATCTGCACAGTGTTTCTTCTGTTTGTACTTCTAATCGGTGTACGTGCCTTCTTAGGTGGCAGAGCCATCAGGAGTCCAACCAGAATCCTGGTTCAGTTGCTGTTGCCTTCCAGTGCTTTCCTTTGTAAGTTTTGTATATACCCTTCTATGAATCTCTTCACGTCCCTCATGTCTGTTCCAGCAGGTTTTGGACTCATTAAGGATACATTTTTTGTGGCAAGATGCTAGGTCACAGTAGGGTTCAGGACTTAGAGAGACCATGCTGGCTCCCTCTTTGGCCAACATGCCAAGTTCAGACCATTGGTGATACCTACTTCAACCAAGGTGTACCTAGTACCTACAACCCATCCCTAGGAAATACGAGAACACACAAACATTGGAAGATAGCAGCTGAGATATGCACTGAGAAAAAGATTCTTTGGGAAATTAATTTTTTCAGCACATAGCGCCATGAGTAGACGGGATCCTTTCCATCTTGGTACAAAAAGGAGCAAAAATAATAACTCCTGGTAACTGGTGTTTATATAGATGCAACCTAGCACTAGGCTACATGCCGAACCTGACGTAGAGCAAAAGTAATGTTCATACCCAAAATATTAGAAAAAAACCCTATACTACCCAAATCTAGACAATCAGCCTAATATCTTTCTTAATAAAAGCATTTGAAAAGCTGATAGATAGCAATATAACAATGACAATGTTGGCAGACAAATCACTTCATCCCTTGCAAGGAAAGGGGCTGTTGTACTGCTTAAAGGACCTGAGCTTGGGAATTCACACTATCAAAGAGTACCTTAAACAAAAGGTTTGTTCTCATTGTTCTGGTGATGCTCAGACACTCTAGTCTCTGAGCAGAACCAAGAATTGATGGGTGTTGCATCTCATTCATTAAAATCAATTCTTAATTTCAATTTGCTTGAAACCATGAATTTTCAATATTGAAAATAGATGATAATCTGTTAATCTTATTATTAATAATAATTTCAGAGCTCAATGTATTCCTCAAAAACTTGACTAAGGAACTGAGTCTATATTTTCATATTGGTTTTATACATGAGTTTTAGTATTGAAGGTTGATATTAACTATTTTAAGTGTTACATGTGTCAACTACTTTTTTACTAAATCAGCAGTCGATTGAACTGACTTTAAGTTAATTTTAATAAGTTCTGTTATAGTTAATATCCATGAATAATCTGAATCATGGTATGGTCTTAATAAAAAAAAAAAATAAAAAAAAAAAAATAAATTTAAAAAAAATATTAAAAAAAATAAATTGTTATGTCAAGCTTTCTTTAGCGATGCTGGGACTTCAAAGAAATTTGAAATCGTATATTAAAAACTTGAAATTGTTTTGCCGTGATGATAAGCTTAAAATAGGTCAAAAGCTTGGCAGTAACAATATTGAATTTGCTTTTTCATCAAGACCATCCCGTGATCCAGATTATTTGTGGATATTACTATAACAGAGCTTACTAAAATTAACTCAAAGTCGGTTTCCACCACTGATTTAGTACTGGTACCAATAAAAATAAATAAATAAATAAGTAAAATAAAATAAAAAATAAAAAGTGAGGTGGTTATTAACTAAAAACAGTACTTTCGGCATAAATTTATTTGATTTTATTGAAAATTATCACTTCTAAAAATCTCTTTAATACTATTATAAATGAATTTAATTCAAAACAATGATTCTAGAATAAGCTTATGTACATTTCTCTTATAATAATTTGTAAATATTAGGAAGGATTATTTACAAAATAAATCTTTGGCTTAAATATTAACACTCACAAAAGTAACTGATTAATATTTTTAACTGTAAACAACAGATAACAAGGTATAAAAACTAAATAAAAAAAATTATTTTGCTGCTAATATGCAGAGAAAATAAAACATATACTTATTTAAAAAATAAAAATCAATTTTAAGAAGTGAATCTGATAATGAGAAAACAAATATTTTAAAGGCACAAATATAAAAACATTAAATTAAATATGTGAACTTTTCTCCTAACTTAATTATTCTAATGATAATATTTAAACTTCAAGGGTATCAATTTTTATTTATCTCGAAAGCTCTTGAGATGATTCTACAGGTTCATACAGTTGTGCCTCAGCAATGGAAGCTTCCATTGCTTTTATTATTGCTTGAATACGATTCTCATTTCCTCTCTCGAAGCTTTTTTCTTTGCTCTTTCCAGTCGATTTCTCTGTTTCACTAATTGTCTGGTAAATCTCTTCAGTCCGTCTAGGCACGAGATTGTAGTATGATGATTCAAGTTCTTCCTTTATATTTTCTTGCATCAAGTTTTTATACAGCACCTCCTGCAATATAAATTTTTACAGGAATAAAATATTATTAAATGCTCAAATTACACATACAAACATGTTGGTTTATTAAGTTTACCTGAGAAATCTTGTGATCAGGAATAATGTGATAAAATGAATCATTCATCGATTCGTATTCTTGTCTTGAATTCGGAGTGACTGGTCGGATTCTAGAATCTGGGGTGTCATAAAGTTCTTGAACCGGAGGTGGGGAAGACGGTAATGGTGGAGGGGGCGGTGGAAGCATACGCTTCCCACAATGCTCATTCACTGCTTCTATCCATGAGTTCAGTTCTTCTTTGTCTTGGACTACAAACTATATAAAACAATTAATCAAATAATAGCAACGGTTTAATACAAAACTTTACCTGATAAGTTTTATTTCCAGGTGAGAACAACTCTAAGACCAGGCCATTTTTACAGTTAGACTCTCTGGCTTGGTAGCCTTCTAATTTCAAAACAGAGTTGGGTCTTGTCTCACCCTGAGACGAGTAAAGTGAGAGCTTCTGCCCTATTAGAACTCCCCAACATTTCCTGGTCTGTCCCAACCATAGAAACCTTTCCTTTCGACCCAATTTACCACTTTTGGCAACGCACGAGGTTGATGTAGGTTCAGACATTGCTTCGTAACAATTTATATCTCCACCTGAATAATGAAAATATAAAAAATTAGTACTAATTAGCTCAAAGAATGATTAATTTATTATAATTTAATATTATCTATTAATTTTTTCTTTCACATGTAATGATACTCTTGAGTTATAAGTTGGTAAAATCAAACAAATTGTTTGTCAGTTTGAAATGAAAATTCTACTGGTGTAGTGTGAACCAGGCAGACGAGGGTGATCAGAAATGATCAAGCTAAAAGTTCAGTTACCTCACAACTGAATTTTTATTTTAAAGAATAAAACAAATTGAAATGATTTCTTCTTTTTTTTTTTTTTTTTCTACTTACTGGAATGTGTTGAGATAGAAGGTAATGTGGATGCTCGGCTCATGTCTAAGTAAGTCCCACTATTGTGCAATGTGCTCATAACTGGTTTCGCAGGCATGTTAGTCGTTTGACTCAGTCTTATAAAAAGTTTCTGCCGAATTTCCTCAGCATTTGGACTCAGTTTCTCACAGGATAGTGTTTCTCCCAGGTACACTCTCAACTCTAAATTAAAAAAAAAGAAGTTATTTTTGGTTCATTTTTAAAATGGATAATGAATAAAATCAAAATTGACAGTGGCAAATTTTTAAGATGATTTTCTTCTTCATTAAACTTATTACTGATTGCTGATTTATATGAGATCAACTCTGCATATACTTCACATACATACACTTGTGTACACAGATGAGTTTATCACTTCTCACAGTACGCTGGAAATTCAAGCTTTTGCCTAATTTACCTTAATTAATTTAATACATGAGCTTTGGCCCAAAACTAAGTGTCGACATGATAAGTTCGCTTGGCCTATTCTTAATCGGGTTAGGACGACCCGTTTTCTACTAGAAAGATCATCTGAGGGCTACCTATCAGCATTGCTCTTGATACTTGAAAGCTTCTCTGCCGATTCGGCCCACTGATGCTGCCACATACTTTTAATCATGTTTTTAAGCATTTTTAGTGACAGAGGGCTGGAATATGGTGGTCAGGTTGGACATCCTCGCCTTAGCCACCTTGCTCAATAAACGCACATAATATTTCTAAGTATATAAGTTAATAATTTTTATTTAAATATATGTATATTTTATGAATACATTTGAAGTGTTTATATTTTGTTAATACAAATAAAATAATTAATTATCAAATTATATAATTAACAAAATATAAATAAAAGCAGCTTAAGAAATTAATATTGTGATTAACCAACAAAAATCAGCATTGGCCGCTCTCTTATGTATAAATTTTCAATTTTTTTAAATTCAATTTTTCTGTGAGAATTTTCAAAATAAAAATAGAAAATAAATTATTTGTTGAAATGTTTATACAAGATTTTTCTGTTTAATAATCCAAGAACTAGGGGACTCAGGGTGACTAAGTGGTTAGGGTGTCCAACTCGTGTTATCCATGTTAGTGGTCCTGGGTTCAAATCCCATCTTAACCCATGATTTTTTAATCGATCATAATGTGTAGAAAGCATTGTAAAGCGGTTTGTTCCTTCGTCTGCAAAACCCAATATGTAGTTGGACATTAAGCATTCCTGTAAGACAGGAATTACTTTAGTTTTAAACCAAGATCTAGATTAAAATGGTGCATAAATGGACTAGAAAAAAATTGGTGTGCTTAGTTTCTTTAATTTCTTATTTGTTTTTAAAAAATCCATAAAGTATATTTATAAAAAATTGATTTTGTGTTTGTTGTTGTTCATGTTTATGAGTGACTATTAATTTGAGTGAACGAATTTTTTGTATTTTGGATATTGAATTTTAATAAAAGCCTGAATTTGTCATTCAATTATGTTTGCATATATTTATCAATACCAGTTTTATACAATCAAGAGACCCATATAATAATAAAAAAAGAGAAAATGTATAAAAAGATTATGAAGAAATAGCAACATAATGGAACAAATTTTGGCGTTACCACAATTTTAAACATTCAAAGAGTTCAAATTTATAAAAGTTAGTAGTTAAAAACAAAAATAATATTGGGAAAAATCGAAATTTTGTATTAAAACTTTTAAAACCGTTTATAACAAGGTTATTTGTCAAAACTGCGTATTTTTCGGTACAACGCGAAGGTAAATGGGCTGAAACGAAAATGCTCAACGAAAATATTCAACATTGTATAAATAATAGTATTTTAAAGTAGTGTGCAACCCCATTAGTTGGGACGCCATTGCGACAGAAGAGAAACATGGTACATAACGGTAGTTAGTGGCATGGGTTAGTTCGTTGCTAACTAAGAGAAAAACTAATGTTGCATTCCTAATTTCAACCACTATGCTTTCAATTGGTCGTTGACCGCAAGTTTCAAAAACAATAACAAATTATTATATAAAGTTCTTTTTATCGGTTACACGAAGTAACAATTACAAACGTTTGAAACATTCTCAACTGTTTGTTATAACAGAAACATAGTTGTTTGAAAGCGAACCCTGATAAAAATATATTCGTATTCGTAAAATAATACAGTTTGGAATATCAAGAATTAGGAGGAATGGAAGAACCTTAAACATCTCCCACGGTTTAAATCATTTGACCTTCTCCATTTTAGAACAAAAGTGTTTTCCTCGGTTAATTAATAAAGGCCATAGAAGAATAAACTCTTGCACGGGTCATTGTACTTTTACCTGCATAAAATTTTTACTCGGCGAATTTGTTCCAAATAAAAATTGTAGTTAAACAAGACAAAAAAGTCAAACGACGTTTCTGTGCTGAGTTCGATAACCGAAAAAGGAAAGTTTTAATAAAACTGACGTTCTTCATGTAACTCGTATTTCTTCTTCTTTCATGGAGCCACTTTCACTGATCTCGGTCTTTTTCACACCTATTACTTCCTACTCTTTTTTTTTTTTTTTTAATTTTTAAGGCCAAAACTTTTTTTATTACTACTAGGATTTACAAAGTGGATTTTGAGAAGGTCTTAAAGACGGAACCCCATAAAACGCACGTGGAAAAACAATGGGATAATTTTATTTCGAAACAGCCGAACAATGGGCCTAGACAAATCTTTTGAAACAGGAAGGGAACGATTGTAAAATTTAATTTAAAAATTATTCGATAGATGGCAGACAATTTTATTATTTTAATAATAAACAATACAAATATTTTTTTACCTTGGGAGCGACTTCAAAACTTATTTTACAATTGCCTTGATCTTCAGCGCGTCCTAGTCTTTTGTAACGTAGAGGTCCTAAGCTCTATTCCAGGATTCCTTTTGAATTTGAACGAATCAAAATTTGAAAAAGCACGATCTAAACCTGACGTTGAACCTAAAGCTCTCCATTCAACCTGATGAGCTAAAAGCTCGAAATCCTGATCGTTGCTAAACAACTTACTGTGAGAAGGAACTATCTTTTAAAAAAAGGATCTTGTACTTTGGTCGATCCAGATCATTTTGGTCTGCATAGCATCGCCGTATTGACAGGCCGAACAACAGGTTCATCATCCCGCAAAACCCCACAAGGAACTACTTTACTCACCTACTTTTTAAATAGACGATGAGAAAGTTATAGCGTGCATTCTGTACGATGTTAACAAGTAATAATGCAAAATTATTTGTCCGATGTGTTGTTGAAAGCTGTTTTCTTGCATGACAGGAATTGCTTTACTTTTACTTTTCACTGCACAATTAATCTGTTGTACGATACCAGTATGCATAATGCTTTATCTTTAATAGGAAGATATGGAAAATATAGAACGACGGGCTCTTTTTATTCTATAAAGTCTATAAAATATAGTACAAAACAAACACTCCATTAATGCGTAAAATAAAAAGGTTCAAACTTTTTAGAAAAATCAATCAATGATCAAATGATAACACTGTATAATTATGATAGAAAACATAAACTGCATCATTTTCATAGAGACAAATTTTGTAAGTGCCCAAAGACAAAGGTTGTGAATTATTGTGGACTTTCTTAGTCCTGGGGCAGATATGTAGACTGGAAGTAAACCCCCGTTCTCTCCATTTCCTCCATTTGGTCCTAATTGAAAGGGTCAATCGTCCCCGACACCGTTAATTCGACCAATTTGTGAAAGGAGAAGAAAGAAGTGGTGTAAAAAGAGTGAGCTTTTTTTCTTTTTTTATTCTTCTTAAACCGTCTACCAACTTCGGGCTTATTACTGAAACGGAAAAGAATTCGATGAACGGACCGGGTGACGTTAGCTTAGGTAAGGCCGAGCGGATTATAAACAAAAACAATGAGTCAACCCAGCATAATGGAGGCACAATCAACTCCCCGGATTATCGCTGTATATCCTGAATTGTAAGATTTGCTGAAGTACAAGGAGAAATTCTCGATAAAGGTGATATTCAACCGAGAATACCAACCATTACTTGTTTATTGCGTTGATAATTGCTGAATTCAAGCACTCAACCAACAGTATAACTTCTAAAAAGCTAAAAGGTTTTTTGTATAAAAGTTCAAACTTTTTGTGATGACGTTTTGACTTTTTCATTATTTTATATTTTATGCATACTATATTATTTTTTTATGATTATTCAGAGATTGTGAGATGCGGTATGGTGTGGCGTAGGTTTTAGAAAAACATTTTCTTTATCGTGCCAACGTTTCGATCTTTATTGAGATCATCTTCAGGGCCTTGTGTTGTCTGCATTTCAACAAAAAAGTTCTCTGGTTGATAGCCGATGCAAGTTTCTTCTCATTGTTGGCAATGTCCTTCGAATACTCTTTGCTTAGTGTCTATGTAGTTGAAATTGTTTCATAGAATCCCATGTTCTGTTTTTTATTATGATTTTTACATCTGCGATTTTTAGTGGTAACAAGAAAATGAGAAAACATACATATATAAAGTGACAATCTAATATGTTAGACTTGATAGAAGTCACCCATTTAGTGACATTCCCTTACATTGAGTCACTCAATCTCTCAAAAGATCTCTCGGCCGAGACAACAGCTGTTGGGCTAGTATCCACTAGGGTAAAGGTTTAAATTTTTGTGAAAGTTTTTGTTTCGGGATTTAATAATGTCAATTACAAATGGGATTAGAAGGACATTTAGGAACTTAGGTTAGGAATAGGAACTTTCGAGTGGATGTATTGAGTTTTTGTAGAATTAGATATTGTAGTTGAGTAGTCATTTAAATGGTGAGTTAAAGTTAGATCTGTGGCCAAGTAATCTAAGGAGAAATTTGTAGCGTCGGTTTCTCTGTCTTTTCACTCCTGTGGATTCCACGCCAGTCTTTTGTCAATAGCCCCAGATAGTGCACAATATCTGAGGGTGGAATGGGTTTGATTGAAATAAACCGTAGGACAGGTGGATTTTCCGAGTTTTAATTTCGTTAATTTGCGAAACCAAGACTGGAGTTAAATGGAAATGGGAGTCTTGTTTAGCCAGAGGAGGATCAGGATTAGGTAAAAGGATCGCCAGCAAAAAAAGCATATTGCATTGTTAAGGAAAACAGGCATGTCGGCTGTGAATATTGTGAATAAGAAGGGTCCGTGGATGCTGCCCTGAGAAACACCCGCTTTAATGGAAATATAAGAAGAAAAGATAGCCCTCTGAGGGATGCGGCGGTACCGGTCTGTCAAAAGGATTTTAATATTAAATCCATTAGATTTCGTGATCCGATTGACCAAATAACACCTTTCAGTTAATTAATCTTTATGTAAGGTACTGGTTGAGATAAAAAAATGGCAAAAAGGAGGGAAAATTCGAAAGGTTGGGTTGAGATGGGAAGTTAGTGTCCGAGTGAATCGAAGCCACGATAGCTCAAGTGGTAGAGCAGCGGCGTATTTAGCCAAAGGTCGTGGGTTCGAATCCCGCTCGTGACACTGACTTTTTTATCTCAATCAATACGTTACAAAAGATTAATTAAATATATTTTTAATCAAATTAACCAAAGGTGTATAAAAGAAAGGAAGCATTTGTGCTTTAACAGCAAACCAGAGTTGAAAGCACCAAACAACCCCAATGAACGAAGTTTTTAAATCGAATTTATATTTATATTTAAATCGAATCGAATAATTTAATAATCAAGAACACCAAACACGTTGTCTAATCATAAAGACTGATGTATCTTTAATCCAAATGTATGAATACTTTTATATTAGAAATTTTAGCATATAATTTTATTGTGTATTAAAAAAAAGTTTCAGTCTTGCATATACATGTGTGGAATATTGCAGTTGTAGGTTTTGTGTATTCACGTGTTCTTCTATATTCAATCATTTTTCAAATATTAAAGGAAAAGAACGATCCTAGAAATGATGAAGGTGGGGTGAATATGTAGATTCACTTTTTGTAAATGTATTTTTTTGAAAAGTATAAACCATCATTTACACAAATGAAAAACATTCCTTTTCTTAAAACAATAGTCATTATAATTTACACATTGCGTAATGTTTATCCATTGGTTGATTATCAATGTTTTGTTCCATTTTTGTTCAATCTTTCGATACAAACGGAAAAGGATAAACTTAACAACTTTATGGCCTAATATGGTCCATTTACACACACTCTACCCGTTGCCCAGCTTTCTTCTCTTTTCTCTCTTTCTCTTTCAGTATATTTTATATCTTTTAAGATTATTATTGTTTGTTTCTTTGCCGTCTTAACTCGAGAAAAAAAAGTCCCCGAATAGGACATACGCTTCGACACGAAGTCGTCCCATTTGAGTACGACGAGGTCAAGGAAAGTAAGCGACGAGTGAGCAAAAGGAATGAAAATTAATCGTATGCATGTCAAGGATTTGAAACTTGTTGTATTTGACAAGCTTTGCCCGTTTGGTAAAATCCACCAGGGCAGAAGAAACCGCATGACTTGAGTGGAAGCCAAAAGGGTGTTTTACTGAGTCAAATTTTATTTTCGGTTGAGACCAGAAAAAGAACCTCGGTAGTTTAAGCTAGCAAATTTATAATTTTTAAAAACGAATTTGTAGGTTTAAACATGTTTGTAGCAAGAGTACAGACAAAATGAAACTTAAAAAAAATTAGTCTTTTATTATAGTTATATATGTATATGTTAGTAAAAAAGCCAAGTATCATACAAAACATACGTTGTTCCAAATCCACACCCAACAAGATCAAATTCCATTCCGTATTAAAACTTCTACATAGACATTTTATTTTATAATTTTACTAAAATTGTTGTTTTATTACGTAATATTTTGTTATTGACAGTCTAATGAATTACATTTTTAATCGTTGGATCCAAAAAATTGAAAAGGTTTTGAAAAAGAGCGATTCCAATTCAGTGACAATCTTTCTTCCATAAGAGCACTAATGGATGGGTTTGGTATCTTCCCTGCTCGTTCAACTTTTATGCATATGCACAAATTATTTTTTGTGTCTTGGGACCGCGTCGCATTTGTACCGTCCACGGGGCAAGGTTCTGTATGTAAATTTTGTTTGGGTTTACAAATTCCAAACAATCGAAAATAGACGAATGTCTGAATGTCGACGTGTTGGTCCCTTCGTTTCCTTTTTACCGGGGCACTACCGCTTCAATCGTAATTATAGTTCACATCGGGAAGAAGAAAAAAAAAGGACTCAACGTTGGTCTTCTGATTTTCCAAAAATAGACGGACGTTAGGTCAATGGTTAAAAGGGGTTTTAAACGGGTTTAAAAGGCTAATTTGGATAAACGCCAATTTCAACCTTAGATGATAATTTTGGAATATTATGGATATCAACTGATTCAGTACTACATTAAAACACGCACGCGCCACCATAACACACAACAAACACGCACTCAGAAGTTAAAGGAAGTGGGACCTGGTAAATTTGATAATTTCCTACTTATTTTCGAATTGAAAAAAAAAATTATTTATTCATTGAAGTTATATTTGTGTATTCATTCATGAATCGTTCACAAGATATCTCTCTCTCTCTCTCTTTCTCACTTTTTTCTTTCTCTCACTCGCTCTCTTACACATTCACTCAGGCATTAATTCATCGCTCACAAAATCTCTCTTTTTCACATACTTTCTTACACACTCATTCATTCATTCATCACTCAAAATCTCTCGCACTCACTCTCTTACACATTCACTCATTCATCGTTCATAAGATCTCTCTCTCTCTCTCTCTCTGTCTCTCTCTCTTCTCTCTCTGACTCTCTTTCCTCTTTCTCTCTCACTCGCTAATTCGCTCACTCTCTTACTATTCAATACTTCACCCACTCACAATTAACTCACTATTTCACACACACACACACACACACACACACACACACACACACACACACACACACACACACACACACACACACANATCTGTACGCACAAACAAACAAATACAAATAATAAGTATACACAAATTATATGGCAGGCAATTTTGATATTCGATTGATCTTTCTCTCCTTTCTCTCTCTCTCTCTCTCTCTCTCTCTCTCTCTCTCTCTCTCTCTCTCTCTCTCTCTCTCTCTCTCTCCCTTTATTCAACACACACTACGGCGACCTGTGGTTTACTAAGTGTTGCTTGGACGCTTTCTCTATGTGGAACAGTCTGTTGATCGACATCAGGATTTATTCTGTAAAGTCAAGGACATCCTGTTCATTACACACTTTTTAATCCGCAAATCCTGTATAGATAATAGATATTTTAAGAGCTAGGGTTGGATATGCTTCCTCTCCTTTGCGTAGGATCGATTCAGGCGTTCGATGGAGTAGCGTCCTATGCCCGTTCCTAAACACGGTATACACCTTTCCCTTTTATCCCTTTTCATTCTGACACTACAATTCTCACAATTCCTGATGGCACTGCCATATCATCATCAAATCCCGACAAAGCTCAACGAAACCAACATGCTCATCTCTATTCCTTAGGGCAGTACAAGTGGTTTTAAACACCTCTAAATCCAAAAGGAATTTATCTTTGGCGCATCATTCTCTGTCCAGGGTATTACAATTGTAATGCTTTCCAATGGAAACTTCGTCCTTTACCTTGGGATGAATCAAGGGACTCACCTGGAACCCTCATACTACTAATTAAACCTCTTACTTGACAAGAGAAATCCGAATTGTCCCTAAACAACAAAAGACATCTATACCACCATGCTAAAACCTATAAGGACTTATGGAATTGAAATGTGGGATTCAACTAAACCTTTCAAACTCAATCCTTGCTAATCATATACGCTGAGATCTATTGTTAATGTACCATTTCGTTTCTAACAGTACTCAAAAATCCCTTTTATTAAAGACGTTGCGAGATGGTTAAAAAAAATTCACCCAAAATTGTAATCACACTGTAATCCTCATACAATGCAACTTTCCTCCCGGCCACTTTCTGACAATATTCGCTACTTCCTCATAAGACCCGCGATCTTTTTTTGAGAGATTGACTAAAAGAGTTTACTTCTAAAACGTCCGCTTCTCGACTCGTCTATGTTTGGTGGTTTTTGTCATTAATGTTACTAATTGCGCTAAGATGTTGGATGTTTTTTAATAATGTAGCCCCCACCCCATCTGGAATGTCAGATAAATTTGTCTCGTCGTGTATTGGCAAATGAAAGTATCAGTTTGATAAAATTCTGGAATTTCAAATTGAAGGTCTGAAGTTCTGAAAGAAAGAAGACTTAGAGTCTTATTTCTTATAGAATCTTATAGAATTTCCCATCAGACAATCGGAATCCCTTCACTCACCCGTCCCCCGTCGGTATAATTTGAATCGAATGAAAGTGAAAATCTCTGTGAATCTTCTATTGTTGTATTTGTTTTTTACTTGAAATCCAAGTGAAAAAGAAAGTGAAGGGCGACTTTCCTCTTCCTCAAACATATAATCCACACCGGGCAGTTCATTTCACAACCAATAATCAGTAGCAGAGAATTTTTTTTCTCTATTCCCCCGTTGAAAATTGGGGAAAGCTACACGGGCGCAGTACCATCACTTTTGATCAAATTGAAGCCAAGTTATATTACAACTTATATTCTTGAGGCAATAAAAACCAGGGATAATCTTTAACCTTGGCACATCCGTTTATTATTAGATCTTAAAACGTTCTACACTTTTAAACTGTGCATTATATTATTTTGTTTTACTTATCAAATAGATTATTATAATTTTATTTAACAAATAAATTTATTGGACGAAACGCACTGAAGGTCCAATATTATCGTCGATTGATCAATCGCTCAATTTGTTATGGATTAGGGTCTGTCACCCGGGCATGCTTTATAAACTTAAACGCTTCCTACCCACTCTTTATTATCTTATCCTGAAATCCTATCTGACCGACCGCTGCTTCAGAGTGAGGTGCGTCAATTAGTTCTCGGAAATCAACCGATACAAGCCGGCGTCCGACAAGGGAGTATTCTTGGTCTCATCCTTTATATCATCTATACTGCCGACTTAACTGCACACCCGATACTTGCAAAGAGTTAAGGCCAAGAATGAAGAAAAATATTCTCAGTGCACATTCACATTGAAAAAGTCTTGCCCTCCACTGTACATCAATAACAAAGAGATACGGTCTTCATCAATCGTCAATCATGCCAAATACTTAGGTTTACTAAGACAGACAGGAATCCCCACGCAAGACTTAAAAGGCAACGACAAGACTTGGACAACTACGAAAATTCTAGGACCGAAATCCGGCTTGACCGTCAAGACCGTCTTACAAGACTACTGCCGATCACTTTGGCATAAGGAGTGGTACTGTGGGGTTCTGCCAAGCCGATCATCCAGCGCATCCAATTCTTCCACTCAACAGTCTTCAGACAAATCCTCAAAGCTCCATATTACGTCCATCCTAACCGTTCGAGCACACTACAGATTCCCATCCTTAAAACCCGTCAAGTCGCCTTATCGGCGATGGTCTCAAGACCTTGCCCCTTAATCCCTCACACTGATTGCCAGACATGGCATGTTTTCTCCGGGTGTAACGCTGGTGTTAGTGTTATGCCCATGGCAAAAAGTATTATGATCACATTTCTAATATGCACAAATATGAATATGCTACAAATAAAAATGTAAAAAATATTATGTACAAAAAATTTAAATAGGTCTGAGGTCAAGTCAAGTACATCTTCTGTCTATGAAAAGTTTCAATTTCAAGCTTTATAAAATATTTATGTTTTAAAAAATTGTTAATATGTCAGTTGAATTTTTTTTAAACTTGCTATATTTCAAACTTTTGAATGGATAAGATATTTGATGAAATGGCAAATACTTACGCATGAAATTATTTTAGAAAGCAAAAAATATGTCATAAAAATCCACATTGCAATTGTGTACTTTCAATAATTATGGATGGATTCATTTGTTTTAAGTTGAATAATAATAATAATAATAATAGATACATCGGGTTAATCTTTTCTCAATGTGACAATTATTTCAAAATAGTACTTCAATTATTTTTCATAAAACGGTATATGTACAGGCGTGTTATTATGTTATTCAGAGCATGGCTCGTTGACAATGTCACATCCTGAGATGATTATTTTAACTGTAATTTAGTCGTTGTTTTTTTAAAAAACGGTCTTTCTTTAAAAAACCCAAGGAAGTTGCTAAATCCAGGGCGAACAACTTTACATGAGAGGAATTGTAATAATCTTTGAAATTTCTCTTTAAGTCTGCTGTTTGGCTGTGTTGTGCTTTTTGGCGAGTTAAGCTGTAAAGAAAGATTGCGAAGGGGGTAAAGAGATCCTTACTGTTATTAAAATTTTAACAAAAATTGCTTCAAACGTTCTTCCTGTTTTTTTAAGAAGTCAATGAAGAACGTTGAAGCAAGAAGAAAAAATTGTTTAAAACTTATGTAAGGATTAGAATAAGTGACCGCATGTAAAACCACAAATTTAACTGACATTATTATAATGTTAAAAGATATTGCAAGACGTCTTTTCATCATTCCGTGCTCCAGATATATTGACAGGATGCTTAAGAAAATTGACAGCCACGCCCTCGAAAATTTTATAATTTTTCGACCCCGAAGAAGAATCATGAAAGGAAATCCATACCCGTGAGGAGGTCCTTTAATTCCATAACGTACATCTTTCTTCCTTTGGTATTTCACACACGATTTATTTCGTCACGCGTAATTTCGAATTCGAGTCATGGACGTCGCGGTCTCTTCTTCAGTGCCACCGAGCTTCTTACTGGAATGAAGCCGTGTATTTTTACAATCGAGACCAAACGCCCCACCTCTATGTTCCCCCTTCTGTACCTAGTACTTTCCTTTCGTTCTACCGAGCGAAAAGACGATATTTTCTTTACGAAATAAACCGATTAAAAGCCTACAAAAAAAGTTAAAAGTACAGTTTATGTACCATTAATAGACTGAAACTGAAAAATGTTCACTTATTGCTTAATACAATAAAAGGAACTTATTGTTTAGTCGTAGATTTTTTTTTAAATCTCAAGTACCACTCAAAACTCGTGCCATGATAAAGATATAATATTTATATATATTGAATTTTAAAAAAAAGGTATTAATTAATCAAGGTATTAATTCTTGGTAAAAATATGGAAAACAAATATTTATTTTTAACACATTCATACAAATAATTCTTTCAAACTAGAATAAAACGTGAAAGCACAGCGTTGCAATGCTTAATGTGATTGCCTGGTTTGCAAAACTCGAAACCCCTGATGTGTATTGGATTGCAAAACTATCAACAACATGGATCTTCCATCCCATGTTGATGTGAGTGTAGCTGTTGTAATAAACTATATCTGGCCAAGTGGAGTTTGGCGTTACTTCTAGGATCGCCACTTCCCCTTAAACAAAACAAAAAAAAAATTATTATTACATGCTGCTTAAGTTGTACCTAACTGTAAATTACCTGGTTCACAGGTGACTGTAAGGGATTTGTTGAATTTCCTGAAAGTTGGAAAATCGTCATCCAACCTTCGATCGACTCCGTTGTGTCTTGCGAGGCAAAGAGGCCCAACTAGATACAAAACTTTGTGGTCACAATCTGAGTTTTGTTAAGCTTTATTTATGAAATTACCTGTTGTGGGTCTTGGCTGTCCTCTGAGAGTATACTGAACCCCTGCTAAAATTCTTATATTTCTATTTGATTCTTCAGTTCTTCTTTCCAAACCTCCATGCGGCTCATCTGTTATAATCAAGGGGTTATACAGCTCTGCACTGTGAGGGTTGTTTCCGCCAAATATTCTAATAGCATATGTAAAACCTCGTCTCATCCATATTTCTGGGATGAGCAACCCATTGATGTACCAAGATAGACCTGGGGAGGGCATGCCGGTGATCCCCTGGTATCCTCGTTTCCCCCCTGAGGGTCCGAGTGTCGCGGTGAAAACCCTCAGACCCTTGTCAATTATTTTTGGACGATCCCACGGTTCCAAGATTTCCTTGTCGTTTGTTGCAAAAGGAAAACAATTATCTTGTGTCTTTCCAAACTCGACGACAGCTGAACTTCTGGGGTAGATGTCATGAAATGAAGGTTCTTGGTTTGCATCCAATTTTCCAATTGCCCAAACTAAATGAGTTTTCCCTTCGGTTCTGTATTCCTTATCTCCTGGGTCGGCTAAATTAACATTGAATAAACAAATATTAATATTTTCTCAGTTATTCTTCTTCTCTGGACTTCTCAAACTTTTTAGCTAGCGGACCCCTTGCACATAACAAAATGCAGGGCAAGATCCTGACTTCAGCCACCGACCCATATTGGAAAGAATAACTGATCAATGATAATGAGAAACAGGTAGTGCACTCGCGAGAGAAATTTCACATTTTGAAGAAACAACGGTTTTTTGTGAACAAATGAGAAAAATCTAGGGTGTTCCAGAAGCAGCAGTTTCCAGTAATGAAGGAACCCAGTATCAACAATAAAATTTCTAGGAAACCGATCAACCTACCACTCTAGTCCCTTCTGCCTCATTTACCTTGCATATTTTGCAAAAATAAATGTAGAATAAAATAAATAAACATAAAAAGCTTTTGTTTTCAGTACACATTGTTATTACTTTTTAAATTTTATTTATAATCTCTCCCATCACCCCAACAGTCTTGCCTAAGCCATGTCCAACAGAACCCATCCCTACAATCCCATAAGACGTCTCAAGAGGAAATAGGTCACGACCTACTTTCTGAGGAGTAGGTGGTGAAGTTTATTAGTGAAGCGAAATGGAAAAATAATATTGATTATTTGCTCCCAGTAATGTATATATGTAAATAGCTGTAAATATATCTATGTTCATCAAATTATATTGTGAACAAATATTGCAGAGTGAAATAAAATGAAATTATTCATTAATTCTACGTTTATTTTTGTAATTATTAATTTTTCTTGAACTTCACTGCAGACCCCAGTTTGGAAGCCCCAGCCTAGATCATCCTGGTCTCCTTATTCTTGTTCATTTAATTTTTCAAGTATGTTGGGCATTTCAACAAATTCAGACTAAACCAGATCAGGATAATCTAAGGAAAATGAATCCCCCCCATGTTTCAAAATCTCTTTCAAAAACAAATAATACCTTGTTAAGTTTTGCAAGGCATTAAACCTGTATTTTTGTCATGCTTAATCATCTGCTTAAGCTTGCTGCTTTGTTCAGACATGTTTCAGCATTTTGCCATTTAATTTTTTTCAGTTATTAGTTTGACTGACCAAAGTAGCAAGAATAGGCAGATCATAAATGACTATATGTATTGTTATAACATTATGAAATGCCATACTGACCTGATTTCAAATTTCTCCTAAATGTTATTATATTTATACCATCTTCTCTAGAAGATGTATGATGCTGGTTGTCATCCATACCACCAACCAGACTGTCTTTGCAAACTCCTTTATACTGTCCCAAAACTTTCACGCACTAGAATTTCATATGATTTATGTTACAATTTTTATATGATTTAAATACAAAATTGTAATTCATCATCATTTCAGATTATTGAAAAAATTTGGTAAAATATTACTGGTGAATTTGCTGTTATATTGTAGTCTATGGCATATCCTCTGTATCCATCTATGTATGCTACAGTCACATCAGCACCTAGCATTTGCAATTTGTGATTTGAACCGCTTTGGCCAAATGCAATGTATTCATCTTCCTCTGGAATCAACAAAAACACTAGTTTAAACAAAAATATGCAAGCGGTTTCACTTAGAGACATAACAATGATATTTTACACCACTTTCTGTTTTTCCTATTTTTTCTGATCATCAGAAGAGATTTTTTCTACATACAAAAAAAAGTTCATTTCTATAGTTGTATAAATAAAATTGGTGACAGAATTGAGATCTTTTTGTGCATTTCATAGTAAACAGTCCACTATTGTAAATTTTTCACTTTTTGATCACTAATTTCTACTATCTTTAACTTTTTGAAAATGGTTTCATAGCTTTTCTTGCAGTTCTTACAAAACCATAATTTTATCTTTTGTTATCATTTTTCCATTTAGAAACAATTTATTCATTCTTATTGCAAGTGGATGTAGTAATTTCAGCCTCTTTCAATTCCCTGGTTGTTACACCTTTGGTTTGTCTTTTCTGATCTTCCTTTATTATTCTACTGATTCATTTTTGTATTTCATTACTAAACGAAAGCTATATTAAAAAACATACAGGAGCTAAATGTTTTTGTATTTTAAACATAATATTTTTTAGTAAAAGGATAATCCTGCTCTTAACTTCTTAGAAAAAACTTTTCTAAAATATTATTTGTCCCAATTTGTTTTTTTAATTTTAAAAAAATGTTCAACATATTTCATATTTGTGTGGTTAGTGACCGTTAATCGATAATTATTCAGAAATCGTGAGATGCATTCTGGTGTGATGTAGGTTTCAGAAAAACATTTTCTTTATCGTGCCAACGTTTTGACCTTTATTGAGATCATCTTCAGGGCCTGGGATTTACAAACATTGTTCACATTTAAAAAGTACATGTAGGATGTGGAAAAAAGTGAATTTATACAATGTAAAATATATATTTTAATATTCAATCAAAGTATTTCTATATATTTTGCATTGTATAAATTTACTTTTTTCCACATCCTACATGTATTTGTTAAATATAAACAATGTTTGTAAATCCCAGGCCCTGAAGATGATCTCAATAAAGGTCAAAACGTTGGTACGATAAAGAAAATGTTTTTCTGAAACCTACATCACACCAGATTGCATCTCACGATTTCTGAATAAATATTTCATATTTTTAGAATAGCCTTAAATCTAGTTTACAACTTATATAAATATTTATATATTATCATCATCAGTAGTAAAATATATTTACCAACTCGTCCTGCTAACTGAATTGTAATTTGTGGCCCAAAAACTTCCCAACTAGCTTGTAGGTTTTTATGCAATTGAATGCAATTGGGCAGTGCATTTTTATGACTCTGCAAACAATTATAACAATTAAAAATTAAATTTAAATATTATTATTTTTTAACTTACGGATATTTTTACAAGGCTTGGAGGGACATTAGGACTATCAGGGATGAGCACAGCACCATAATTCTGTTTGTCTTCAATGTCGTATACACTGAACCAGTCTATGTCAAAGATAGTGAGATCTCCTGGTAGTTCTAGTCTTATTGTCTCTGTAGAGTACAATCGTAGTGGCTCAAGACTACATGAAATAAATTAGTTGAATTTGCGATATTGCTAAAAATATACACAAGACTCACTATCCGTATTCATCAGGAACTTTGTAGCCTTTAGTTGAAGGCTGAGGTCCGACACCGACCCAAAAATAAGTATCTAGAAAAAGAGTTTAAAAAATACAGCACACAATTAAAAATACACTTAAGGTACAAAAATACTTTTTCCAGCTCCATTATATGTGAAATCTGGAATCAATATTGTTTTAGCATCAAGGATCTGAATAGGTCCTGAAGAAACACCGTGGGATCTCCGACTGAGCTGGCCGATAGTTTGCGTAGCTGGTGGTTCAAATTCCTCTGCCATATAAACATCACCGAATGCATTCTATAACAAGTTATAAAAACCAATTAATAACTGACATCATCTGTCAATTTTTTAAAGAGTAATCAATTACTTGACTTGACAGGTCATAAATGGCAAACCATTTTATATCTGTTAATTTCTTCTTTTCTGGAAGAACAAGGGTGAAGTCTTTATTCAGGTATCTATCTAGAACATTTGTTCTGGAAATAAAAAATAATATATGAATATACAACCGTATATTTACAATGAATGTTTTAAACAAAGTTTTTTATATTGAGTTTAAATAATCAATACGCTCCCATACTTTCCATGCTGATCTGGCACAATGAATCCTTGGGGCCCTGGACGATTCGTTGCTCCAGCCCAAAAGAACGTGTCAGCGCCGTTTCCATCGTAGCTAAAGCCAGTCAGGAGAAGCGTGAATTCATCGACTGCATAAACATCCCCTGCCACCTGATGATGATACGAGTTCAATTTACCTATCAATTTCCCTTTGTATTCTTCACAATCGGTCAGACCTGAAAAATCATATTGCAATATTTTTTTTTCTTCTTCAAAATAATCTATGAATGCCTAGTAATATATGCCTTGGAGAAATTTATTTCATATCCACCTATTACATGATTACATATGTTTCTATACATTTCTGTAAATCATAATGATCAATAAATTTCTATAAATCAATGAATAATAAACATAAATTAATGTTTTGCTTATCATGTACAGTTTAAGTTTTCATTTGGCATTGATGTATTTATGAGGTATTTTGTTGAGAACTACAAGGAACTATTTGTTTATTAAATTTATGGAGGGAAGCTTGATTGATTGATTAAAAATGGTTGATTAATTCATCAGATATAATAAGTGCCTATTACATGATTACATATGTTTCTATATATTTCTATAAATCATAATGATCAATAATAAATCAATAAATAAATGTTTATGTGCTTTATATTGGTGTATTATAGTATATATTTTAAGTTTATTTATTTATTTACATAAATTGATGTTATCATGTACAGTACATGTAGTTTAAGTTTTCATTTGGCATTGATGTATTTTGTTATGAGGTATTTATGAGGTATTTTGTTGAGAACTACAAGGAACTGTTTGTTTATTAAATTTATGGAGGAAAGTTTGATTGATTGATTAAAAATGGTTGATTAATTCACCAAATATAATCCCCTAGGGCCCTCTGGCCATAACAGTTAAGGCATTGACATGGTTAATTACATCCCTGTAAGGTAAAAGTCCTGGGTTTGAATCCAGTGGCCCTGTCATACTTACAATACCCTCATAAGAAAAATAAAGCCCTCAACCAAGGAAAGTAACTCAAATAAATAATAGCTTGATCTTCTCCTGGTCTACTTTCTTACTACTAGTTTAGCCTGTCAGATGGTTCACCATCTTGGTCTGTGCGTTTTTCAGCACAGGATGACATGTGACTATAAGTTTATGCTTTATGCATATTTTTTTATGTAAATCATAAATAAAGTATTATTTTGTGTGTCTTGTAAAAAAAAAAGTATTAAATTCGAACAATTTCAACATTTTTACAAATTCGGGAAATTTTGTGTTTTTTTAATAATTATTTCAGTTTTCATCGTTGTTATTGCATGCAATGGCAAAACATATTTATACACTACTCAAATAATTCATTAATGTTACCAGTAATTGGCCGTTTTGTTAAAAGCACTGGTAAATAAGCAGGAAAGTAATAAATTATATCAAAGTATAAGTTGTCACAAAGTGGACTTTGTTGATTTTTGTGTGCGTACATGCGTCTGTGGGTGTTGTTTAGGTGTATGTGATGAATTTATGTCAAATGACCAATTCGTCGAAACATAAAAAAGACCTTAATATATAAAAATAGTCCAATAATTTGACCAATTTCTCATATTTGACCATTTAAAAAGCGGTAGACTTCTTGTTAACATTTTTAGGTGTTAAGTGTTTATCACGAAAATCAATTTTATTTAAAAGACCCTACTTTGTATAAAAACAAATAAAAACGCTTTCCTTACTGAAGAAATATAGATGTACGAAAAATATTTCAAAATAGGTGGATTTTCGAAAAGAAAACACTAAAATCCAGGTGATTTCAATTCCTAGGGAAGGTAGCACACTTCTGTTTAGAGCGTGAGTGACGGTCTACTTTTCATGTTAACAGATACTATAATTTCTTTGGTTTTTTTACTTCATTTAAACATAAAAATAAACTCTTAATAAAATTTCCTTCTATGATTAGAGTTGTATCTTCTTTTAAGTACCGGACTTCCAGACGGCCTCCTGATGAACAATGGAAAAAGACCGAGGAAAAAAAAAGAGTAGAAACAATGGCCCTTTCGACACTTGGGTTTCTCATCTCGCAAACACAAAGGACTTCTATTTCTTTCTTCTGCCTTTTTATCTTCAGCTATCGAGAGTTTTAATTAAGCCGACACGATAAAAAAAATTTCGTGCAACCGCCTATTTTACCATTTTTCCGCCCAGTTCAGCTAGGAAATGTCAAGGGCCTTTATTAAGCGGATATAGAATATTATGAGATAATCCAACTTCTGGTCCAGTTGCAAGGCCTAACGGCAATTCTGAGGTCATGCGATCAAGGATTTTCGCAATTTATCCTCTGGCAATTTAGAGGAAAAATGGATCGATTCGATAGACACGACCATTCCGTGTCGTTTTATCTATCTTGGCTTTTGGCTAAGATCAAAGTGTAGTATCTATCTTGGAGATAAAGATTTTCACCAGCATTTTATAAAAATTTACAAATCTTATGACTCATTTTCAAAAGGATAAAACAAGATTAACTCACCTACTGTAATTAAATTATTTTTACGAGCTAATTTTTTTGCAAAATTGTCATATTTTAACAAGGCAGTTATTAAAATGAACTTTATTATTGTAGTTTTTGTACTTGAGAAATTTGCATGCTTGGCGAAGAACCTGTGCGGCCTATATTGTAATCAAAAATATTATTGTATATGAAAAAATGTACACGTTTTCCAGAAGGTTGTAAGCAAATTGTGTTAAAAAATGAAGTTGCACGCTATTAATTTGTAATTCTTTTGAAGCTACACGTAATTTTAGTAGTAAAATATTGGCAAATTGTATTTTTATTTTAAAGAAAATTATCTCGAGATCACTTTCATTTCTGTACCAATGAGTTGGTACGAATTATTATAATTAGAATGTGGAATGCTGCTGTCACGCTTTCGCGAATAAATTATTCTATATTTCCCACTTTTGAACAACATCGTGATTCGAAAATAATTGAATGTTTTGACCCCTGGCTGATAATGTGATTCATTATTGGAATGGATTTCAAAATGGGAAATACGCTAATCTTTGGGTAGTTCCGTGAAGAAAGTGGGCAAAATTTGGGCCGGCTGTATTTTGCCAACTATAACCGTGCGGATTTTGAAAACCCATCCGTGTACTATTAAAAAAAATTATAAACTATATAAAATACTAAACTATCTATAAATTTTTATAATAGTAAAACAATACTTAAATTAATTTTACAAAATCCTGCGCTCTTGAAACTTGTTAAGATGTGATATAACGTTTTTAAATTTAAATTGTACGAAAGTGCAATTATAAAAATTAAAAGTTTTACTTACTTATGAATAAGATAACGATGAAAATAAGCATTGTAAGTAAAAGTATTTGTTTTAAATACTTTGTCACACCATTTTATTGAAACTTTGCTCTAGGAAGAACTTTAATCAACCCTAACTGTACATTGAAAAGGACTAGAATGGAACTATTTTATCGTGAAGAAAGAAGAAATGAAAGAAGAAAACTAGTTCTTTTCATGGATTTGACATTCAGTTCGTTTGAAGTATCCACTGAAAGCCAACTGGACTTTCTCTTCTCCCTCTTTCCTTTCTGTCCTGTTGGGCCCCTCCATGCTTTTTCCTTCTCCTTCTACAGCCTTCGGTAATCGGATTCTTTCTCCCACTACGAGATTTTTATTCCTTTTTCTTTCTTCTTTCGTTTCAGTTTGAATATGAAGTGTAGGAGCCGATTCTGACCCCTTTCATCGCATTGGCCTTCCAATTTTTCTTTTCTTTTTTGAAGTTTTCGCCGCCATTACGTTCTCGGTGTACAAGTCACTACCAAAGATGACTTCTACAGAATTTACAAGGGTCTTAATTTTTATTTAAAGTTTCCCGCCAACTTATGGGCATGATTTTGCGAAAACAAACTCGCAATACATATAATAAAAACCTCTTTTTATTAAATAATTAGTGTTTTAACTATATGTTACGTTTAATTAAAACAGGCAGCAAGTAAAAAAAAAAAAATTATACTAGCAAGTATAATATTAATAAGTTAAGTTGATTTTGTTCACTCGCATATACACACGCGCGCGCACCCACACACATCCACACACGCACATATACACGCGCGCACGCACGCGCGCACAAACTCAGGCTGAATAACTTGCTGCAGTTAAGCTCTCGAATGGGTTGATAGTCAGATCCATGACCGGATGGTTAAAGCTGCCTCCCAAAACGAGGACTTGCCATTTGTATATTCAAAGGTTCCTCTATCCGCTGTTAAAAGATATCTGAATCAACACAGCATGGCTAAATAGGAAGAAATATGGAGTAACTCAATCCAGGGACAGCTGATCAGGGGTTCTTTCCATCAGACTCCTGTCACTTACAGATAATTCATCTGTGAATATACTGCAAGCTGACACAACTTCTGACAGGACATGGAAAAATGGCAGATCTTTGTCATTTCAATATTATCCCCCGATCTTGCTTGTTCTTGCAGTCAGGACCACCTTCTCCTGGAGCGCGACAGACACTGTAATGGCTGCAGGACACTCATTGTTATAGCACATGGTGACCAGGGGTTTACTTTGGCTGCCCCCAACAAAATTGTGCTTGTTGGAAACCAAAGTGCTGCCATGTCCATGAAGGTGGTGTCAAGAATAATAGCATTCTTGTACATTTTTTTTTTTTTTTTTACAGTGATGAGCGCCGTGTCAACACCTAAACCATTGCGGCCTCCGATGCCCTCAAATATTATATTATTGTAATATATTATTAAGAGTTATTGTAATATTAAGAGCAAAAGAAAAGAGTCCGTAGTATTTCTTTTGTTGTAAATGTGTTTTATAACAAGTAATTAAGTTATTTTTATGTTTAATTCACATAATACTTAATGTACGGGGGCCTGATGAACAATAAAAAATAAAATATAATAGTAATAATTTATGTACTTAAAAAAAAAAAAAAAAAAAAAAAGCTTTACGACAGCAAGAAAAATAAGTAATTGTGAAATTTTGTAATTAGGTTGGTCAGTTGTAGCTTTATCATCTCTGATCATCCTGGTTACCTATTCTCTCATTGGTCAAAAATGTGTTTTTATAATTTAGTAAAATGTGAGGTAAAGAACACTGAAGAAAGTGAGATGCTGAAACATGTCTGGCCAATATGATATTATTTTAAATTGTGATTATTGATTGTGTAAAGGTCTGAAGATTTTGTTGCAAAACTGCTAGCAACATTTTTTTCCTCTTGGTAAAGTAGGAGTGCCAGTGTAGAGGAGAAAGCGATACAAAGTCAATTGATAAGATTGACCTGTATAATCATAACAGGAACAACTAACATGCTGAACTGCCACAATGGAAGTGGCACCAGGTCTTCCACCTCATTATTGAAAATGGAATGACCCAGACCTAAGAGAAAGCCACCACAAGAACCTAGAGAGAATAAAATTAAATGACAAAGCTATCTGAAGAAAAACTCAATTTGATCTTTACAAATAATTGTAAAAACCAGAGATTTTCAGAAGATTAAAATTTAAAATTTAAAATGAAAGTCTTCATATTGTACACAGATATATCCAGAATGGGAAAAAGTAAAAGCAAGAGTAAAAGTACTTAATCCCTTCTTAGTAAAACTATGTCAGATAATGAGATAATAAGAGGCTGCATGCTCAAAATGGAACTAATCATAGATAGGGAAAGAAATGGACACAAACTGGATTCACCAGGTGCAAAACAATCAAAAACACCAGAATATCAATAAAAACAAAAGTCCACTTCTCTCTCAGAAGATAAGAGTTAAGGAATATAATAAGCCTTTATATTGGCCATTACCAATTTTAATGCCACCTAATAAATAAATAAAATTATGTCCTTGTGATTGCAAAGCATAGGCTAGAAAACGATTCAGCCTCTTCAGAAATATTGACGCTTAAAGAAATAAGCAAACAGGAACCCTAGAAAGTAGTAAACTATCTTAAGTTAAAAAGGGTCACACCTTTTTTGAAATATAGAAGGGACAATTTCACAATAGAACTTTTATGTTGCATTGGAAGAAAAACAGAACAACCAATGACCCCTAAAGAAGGAAAAACAAAAAGAAGAAGCCAATAAAGAAACTATGTTCCTTATACGTATGTACCCAAGATATTTCTAATGCCTCGGAAAAAGTAATTAAGTGGCCCTAAAGTACAGGTAAAAAAACAAGTTGGCATAGTGATATATTTGCGTAAAAAGTGCAGCACTCACAAACATAAGATAAAAATATTAAAGCCCAGCAAACAATCAAAAATATTGATCTATAAATAGTACAGACAGAAAGACAAAAGTTAAGTAAATCCCTCTCAGAAATTGTAAGCCTCTTCACTGACCATTGCACATTAAAATGTAAAAAATGTGCAAAATCAGCAAACCACTTTACAATACATCCTTTGTACCTTTATCAATTAAAAAGGCATAAGATATACTGGGATTCAAATCCAGAAGTGCTAGTGTGGCAAATACGAGTTGGATACCTAACCAATCCGCCACCGCAGTTCCTCCCATGGCACAGTAATCCCTAAAATTCCTAAACATTGAAATATCATCTCAAAAAATGTGCATAGCCAAGAGAGGTAAAAAGAAACATAATAATTGGAAAATATTATATGTAAATTTTAAAGCTTTATTTAAAATTAAAAACTGCCATTTTGGAAAGACCTAATGTAATTATAAAAGTAGGGGACCGCGGTAGCCGAGTGGTTAGCATGAGAGACTCTCACGCCGCGGTCATGGGTTCGATTCCCATCGTCGCCTCTGGCCCTTTTTTACCGATAACCCCCAATTTGAACACACAAGAATTCGTACTATGGCTAATATGCAAGATCATAAGGCCAATAAAAAAAAAAAAATTTTTAAAAAATAAAAGAAAAAAAAGTAGAACTTGGTAAGTTGCTCAACTTTCCAAGTTATGAGTATAAAGTAGGGTCATTATAAAATTCAATTAGATTGTAGCTATCAGGTAAATCTTTAAATGTTAAGAGGCTACAGATGCAAAAATCTTGATTTTGTGTCACAAAAAGTTAAATGACTTTTTTTAAATATTGTATATGTATTAAAATCTTGATGTAAGACAAGTTGCTATTTAATGTCAAATTTGAGTTATGTTCTGCTTTTCCGCAAATACACACACTATCCTTTTAAACGTTACAAATAGAGGTATAATTGAAATGTTTAATAATATATAATATTGGTTAATTTATTCTGCAATCTTGACATCACGAACTCTCATCCAGGGGGCCTCGTTGCGCATTGGTTCCACGTGTTTTGCCCACATACAAGGTCCTTCATCCTTGCTATAGTTGTAGCTTATGCTTATCTATAGTTATACTTCACGGTCACAGTTCTAAACTTTACAGTTAACAGTTTGCAGTGGCAGGTTACTGATGGTTGACGAACTGCAAATGTTTGTTTTACAAGTCTGAAACGTTATTTGGACACGTAGTGGAAATGAGTTAAAACAACGGAGAGTGCCAGGGAAAATGAGCCAAACCTACTCAACCAACTATAACGTACTAGCTACACCCACGGCCCTTTATACACTCTTCTACTTCATTGTTTCGATATGCTTCGTCCTGAGGACGAGGGAATTTGTGTTTGCCGGGCTGACAGTGGAAAATCTTTTCGACTTCTTCCTCAAAAATGAAGACATCGACTTTATTGGCTATCATGCTAAGAGGACGGTCATCACTCTTTGTCTTCATTCCTTACTCCCTTTAGGTGAGCCGTTACAAGGAGAAAAATATTCAGAATGTAACAAAAAAAAAGAAAGGCATGGTTCTATGAAAATGTCCTTGAACTTTGGAAAAACATTTCCCCTGAGCTTTTTTCTATTTTCCTGGCCCCCATGCTGAATTGTTATGAGATCACTTGTTGGGTCTGTCTTCACTCGCTGGTTTGTTGAATTACTCAAATTCATCATTGCGACATCTTCAGTGAGGTGAAGATCAAACTTGTGCAGTTCAGCATGAGTTCACTGACTCGCAGACCAACACCCATCATCAACTCTAACTGGGTATAGCTAATAGCTTTATCTGGTAAACATTACTCTATTTAAAAGTAGTTAAATCCCATAGGCAGCGGTAATAAATAAAATCAAAGTTCCTCACTGAAGCTGGCGAATGCCAAAACACATTTAAGTAATTCAACAAACCTTCGAGTGAAGACACCCAATAAGTGACCGTATGCCAGTTCAGCATACCAGACCAATACCCACCATCACTCTTTTCCTGTCCCCTTACAACTATTAATTCATACACACATTTAGTTAATGTTGTTTTAGCTTATAATTAAATTTTTTAAAAATCACTCCTTTAAAAAAAATGACTTCCAAAATCAATTTTTTTACAGGTTATTTAGGTGGTGCTGCACTTTTTGCCGACAAGAATCTGCTGTACCAGGACAATATTTGGTTCACAGCGTTTTTCCTTTTCAGCATTGTATTCCCATCATTGACATTTACCACTGCATACTATTGGACGGTGAATGAGTTCAACAACCATCCAATTGTTAAGACCCTTAAGCAATTCTGTGACAACCGCACATCATGGAAAGCCATTGCGGCACATATCGCTCGCGAATACCGAAGGTACTATTTATATCGCTTAATAATTAAGCAGCCTGCTCACAGTCCTCTCTTGCAGAGTGGACAAGATAAATCTTCAGACGAGCACAGTCTGCAGGGTCGTTGTGACAGATAACTGGATTATTAAAATTTCCCCTTATTCTTTGGACATCGCGCACCAAAGAGATTCAGTTTTGGTCTTGTGCACGACCGATACCCACGTATTATCTCATGAAGGCAATGGTTCTGTGCAATATGTCAATATTGAAGTAAAATCAACAAGACCTGGAATCAATTCATTTTTTATAAGGTAACCCATTTGCAATATTTTAACAAGACTGTCGATTAAGAATATATATATGTATATATATTTTTTAGATGTAATGCATTAGACTTCAATAATATACAGAATCGGGTTCAGATACCGATTTCTATTATAGAAGGAATTAAATTTCATAAAACAAAGATTGAACACTTTTTGGATGTTTTCAAGGAAACTGTAGAAAAAAATCCACCCTATAGCCCCCCACCACAGGTAAACTTTACTTCCAATCTATGTTTCAATATAAATGTTTAATTATTATTATTATTTTAGCAAGAATTGGAAAATTGCATCGGATGCATGGTGGCTCAACCTTCGGTCAAATTGGTTAAATGCTGCAAAACTCCTGAACCTTGCACAAACTGTTACTGCAGGCCTCTTTGGTGTCTTGATTGCATGGGGAAATGGTAATTACCTGAAATCAATTGCATAAATCTTCCTGGTCTGTCTGACATGTTGAGGTGTTTAACTTCTTTTGTCAAAAATTACGCAAGCCGATCACTAAATACGTTGAAACGCAACGTACCTGGTGGTCAAAACCAAGTAGAACAGACAGACCAGAAGATCATTGATAATCCAACTACCTCAATAGCTCACAATAAAATCCTTATTAGGTTTGCCACTCGCCAAGAACAGGATCATCCAGAAACCTGGCTCTCTTCCGTATGCACCTGTCCTGTTTGCCGATCGATATTCTGTGTCCTCGATGTATGCCCGATTAAGTTACAACATGAAAATCAAAGTGAAACTTGAAAAAGAAATTTTGAACTTCTTATATCTCTACATAAATTCTGAGGACTTTTTGCTACTTTGTTTTAATTCAAATCAAATAATCTCATATATTGTTAAATTTGTTTAACACAACTTATTTATATATAATTATCTTATTGATCATAAAATCATACTTTTTTATCCCTCATAAAATATCTTCTTCAATAAAGGTATAAATTTATTGTAACCCACGCAACACTACCAAACTATATAAGCAACCAAATCAAAGCAAAAAGACAGTATCTATTAGTTTTTAATAAAAATAAATAAAATATTTTTAAAAAAATTATTTTGTTTTTTGAAGGTTAATACTTTAATAATGAGGTTTAGAAAATTAATATCATATAAAAGTAAATATTTATTTTCAAACTGCTGATTTTGACAAATTAATTTTGTGTTTGCCTGCAACTGCAGGGACATTGTTTAATAATGTCTTTTTATCATATTTGAAATTACTATCTATCCATATTTGCCGTAAGTCTGTTAATACTTTTCCGACAGATTTTCCATGAGGGACACCTTCTTTTTTCAGATCGACTCCGCTTACAGGAAACTTTGGAATCTGCCAACATTGTAATTCTGAGAGAAGATCTAGGTTGCACTTGTATTTAAAAAATTCAATGAGTTGTTTTGACAGCTTGTCACTTTTCCCTGATGCTTTCAAGACCATCTCCTGGTAGTAATGAAATTCGTTTGGGGTGTCGCGTTCTTGCACGATCAACATCGACAACTCCTGTTCAAAAAGTGAAAGCCTGCACCTTTTGTGGAAATTAAATACGTCCTCCTCGTTATACAGCAGGCTCGATATCAATGAGATTGGATGAAGATTAAAATGTTTACCCATTTCATATACTTTTATCATTTCTGATACGTTGGGCTTCTCAGGCAGCCCGATATATTTGTGAACACCTACTTGGATCATTTTCTGTACAATTGGTGATACAAAGTTTCCTGAAAGGATTTTTGAAACTTCTTGCCAAATCCTTTCTCCACTTATCTTTTCGAGTCCTACAACATTTTCACTTATTGCTTTTATGGTATCTTCATTGTGATCATTTGGTAGCTCTGCTATACGGCCATAGAAACGAAAATACCTGAGATTATAATACGATTATTTAACTTCAATTATAATAACATAATTTCAATTACCTTAAAATCCTAAGATAATCCTCTTGAATCCGTTTACGAGGATCACCAACAAAAACAACCCTCCTTTTCAATAAATCATCATATCCGTTAAAGTAATCAAACAGCGTTCCATCAACACCAAGAAACATTGAATTAATTGTTAGGTCTCGACGATTGGCATCTAACTCCCAATCCTTTGTGAACTGTACCTCAGCGTGACGCCCATCAGTAACCATATCTACTCTAAGGGTTGTTATTTCAAAGTTCTCATCACAAATCCTTGCCGTTATTGTTCCTTTAAAAAACAAAACATAATTTACTCACAAATACCTTTTAGTCAATAGTTGAATATAATCAAACCACCAGAACCTTAGGAAGAAGGTTTAATGAAAAACCATCAAAGAGATTGACTATTCAAAAATTTATTTACAAAATCCAATTTTAAACGTAAGTGGGAGAATTTACTGTGTTCGATTATTTTCCATTCTTTCTGGAATAATTTTATTAAACTTTCTGTGAATCTGTGCATGAAGAAAAAATCAAAATACTGTTTTCTTTCTGCCAGGTTTTCCTCCATTGAATTTTTCTCATTTTCTTTTTCCTCTCCTTTTTGCTGTTAATACTACTTTTACCATTTACATTTTTGTTGTTACAATATATCTTCTTCTGTTTTCTTATGATATTTTTTATTAATTGTTTTTACATAATATATCCAATACTTCTTTTAAATTATTTTTGTGGTACATAATACCATCACTTAATACTAATACTTTTTTAATTTAATTTATAGCCATACTTATTTTTTGATTAATTGGATGTGATGAAAAGTAGTTTAACAAATGTATTGACCGATTCCAAGAGACTAGAAGTGCCAATAGGCCTGGAAGTGGATTTCATCAGATTTCAACCCTGAGGGAGGACAGAAATATTGGCATTACTGCAAGACGGAACCTTTCTGTAATGCCTGTCAGATCCTAGATGAAGTACAAGATGTTTTGGCAAGGCCTTTATCAAGTTGGCCTAACATCATATACCTTTTTGAGACAATCTGCAGCAACAGCAACAGATCGCCACCAGCAACTCAGGAGAATATGTTGCAGTGAGCACCTAAATGAAAACACCAATGGGAATGCTGTAATGTTTACAAATCAGTCGTGTTTCTGTTTGTACAGTGATAGCAGACGCTGAAAAATCTACGGAACAGGGGATGCATACAATGCCCCAGTTCGTGCTCATTTCAGTGTAGAGTCTGGAGAAGGTGGTGTAATGATCTGGACTGAGATTTACCCTGGAGTACGATCTGGATTCCATATCGTTGAAGGCAACCCCACCGCAGTCCATTATGCCCAAGAAACTATCGAGGAATACATCCCTCAAACCAGGCGTCATTGGCAAGGATTTTCAATTTTTGGATGACGCCAGACCTCATAGAGGCAGAGTTATTCATCAATATATACAAAACCTGTAAATTTCTGCCCCTTCCCCCTTGTCTCCAGACCTCAATCCCATTGCACACATGTTGGATGCATTGCAAAGAATTTCGATCACCAACCACAGCCAATTGACCTGCAACAACTGAGTGCAGCATTGCAACATCTATGGAGTGAAATTCCTCATGAAATTAGTGACAACCTTATTATGCCTTACAGATGCACAAATTTTTAGTTAACAGGGGACATTATACAAGGTATTAATTGTAAAAAAAATTATTGTATCCAATAAACAAAATTGTGGAATTAAAGGCTTTTATTTTGTTATTTTTCAAAATAACTTAATTAAATTTTCTTTCAGTAAAAAGCAATAATTTCTAATAAATTTTAATGCAATTTACAATAAAAATAAAAATGATAGGGAAAGTAAATACTACAAAATGGCAATATACCTATTCATTTTGAGCAGTTTATTTGCACGGACTCACAGAAAGTTTAATAAAAATATTCCAATAAATGGGAGATTTTATTTGTATTTTAACTTACCTCTAATCCTTTAAAACGGACCAAATATTGTTGTAAAATGTAGTGGAGGATTGTCTAAGAGATAATTAAAAAATATTAAGGGTGGCCACTTTTTTTTTGCATCTCAGTGTTTAATGTTTTTTCTTCAAAATCAAAATGTAATGTAGGAATTTCTATAACGTGTGGTATTTAGTGACAATCAATTAATGATTATTTGGAGATCATGAGATGAGATACGGTATGACGTAGGTTTTAGAAAAACATTTTGTTTATCGTGCTAACGTTTTGATCTTTATTGAGATCATCTTCAGAACTGAAAGTGAGTGTTTTCTTTCGAGTGTTGAGAGTGCTCTGAACACAACACTCAGCAATGACACATCTACGAAAACTTGAGTCCTGAAGATGATCTCAATAAAGATTGAAACATTGTCAGGATAAAAAAAAATGTTTTTGTGAACCTACATCACACCAGACTGCATCTCACGATCTCCAAATAATAATTTCTATAAACCATTATAATTAGTGGTCTCAGTGACCAAATTACTTCTTTCAATTAATCAATCTTTTTATGTAAGGTTTTGGTTGAAATCTCTAGGTTAGTAGACAATAGAAAAATTTTCTTACCATGTTTTTCCCCTTTCATGTTGATCATCCTAATTTCTTCCTTGTTGAAGAAAGTCTTCATCTGGTCCGGAGTGGCGGTTGAAGCAAAATCAACATCTTTTGGAGCAATGCCGAGAAGAAGATCACGAACAGCACCGCCTGCGATCCTAATCTCGAAGCCGTTTTTGTCGAAAATTTCGACCAACTTTTTGAAACCGTCCGTAAAAAGGGATTTGAACTCTTCAGAATTCACTTTCATAGTGAACAAAGAACGTATGACCGGCTTGCTTTTCAACACGTTTCTTAGCAAACCTGGTAAAATCCTGAAATAACAGATTTTAAATTGGACACTAGAAGACCACACTTTTGGTTGACCTTCTTACATAGCCAGTCGAAGGAAACAAAGACCGGGATCTTAACCGATGTGATAACAAAAAATTCAAGAAAATTTCAAAATATAATATCATAGAAGGCTTTTTACTGTTAAAAACTTTATCGATAAAACGTAATCGATGCAACTATTCAATCTGGTTATAAAATATGATCTAAAATAATTATTGACGTTTTGAATAATGCTCCAATAGTTTATATATTGTTCATAAAATATTTCAGATTATACTATCTTCTGCTAACATATCTCACTTCCGACTTTTCGTTATTTACTATGGATAGGGTAAAAGAGGCGGCCATCTATTCCTGAGTAGATGTATTGTTTTTCTATTTTTTTACTCTCTGTTCAGCTTCATGTTGTTAGTCGACCTCAATAGCATTACCAGCGGCTCCTTTATGTAGGATCTTGCGACTTTTCTTCTCCTAGTTTCAAGAAACTACTACAGACCCTCACAAAAACAGAATGTGTTCTGCAGGCTTTTCTTCCTGACAGTATCTGCACAGTGTTCCTTCTGTCAGAACTCCTATCCGATGTACAGGTGGCAATGTCAGGAGTCTAATGTGTCGTTCCGGAACAACAATCATATACGAGGAAGGCATACTTCCACAACATATGTAACAAAAGTGTTGACAACGCTGGTGTAATCTGTATGCCAGCAGCTTGGAAATTCAAATTTTCCAGTTTTTCACAGTTGATTTCTCTTTAAGATCTGCAGGGTAATGAACTGGTTTCTTAATTTCTAATCATCCTAATTTGCTTATCATTATTGTTTAGTCTTTCAGACATGTTTTGGCCATCTTTATAGTTGACCTATGTGTTATTTTATTGTATGTGTCCTTTTTAAAGTTTGTCTTGGTCTACTTATCCTTACTGTTAGGTCCCTCATAACCATTTCAGCATTCTACCATCTTCATTATGGCTATTTTTCCAGGTTTGATATGTAAGACGTGTTTCAGTGAATCTTCAGTAGTTGGTCTATGTTATTTTATCATATGCGTCCATTTGATAGTTTCCGAAACAGCTTATTTTTAAATCTTCTAATTCTATTTTTTACATGATGAACCAGTAGTTTAGATGTTTCAAATCATCTTAGTCTAAGGCTGTTAGATCCTTCATAGTTCATACCAAGCCTCGCCAGTGCTCCTTAGTGTAGAATCTTGCTTGCTGTTTTTCCTCTCCTAGTTGTAAGACTGCCTATACGTTCACAAAAACACAAAACGTGTTCCAGTCTCCTCTTCCTTCTGGCAATGTCTGCACAGTATTTCTTCTGTCTGTATTCCTGTGTGGTGCATGCGCCTTTTTAGGTGACAGTGCCCTGTCAAGAGTCCAACCAGAATCCCAGTTCGGTTGCAGTTGCTTTCAAGTAATTCCTTTGTAAGTTTTGCAGATGTTACTTCTATGAATCTCTCTGCATACCTCATTCCTTGGGTATTGTAACACCAGGTTTTGAACATATTGAGGATCCATTTTTGTACGTTCTTTTTTTTTGTGGCTACATGCCGCAATAGGGTTCAGGGCCGAGAAACTTTATATTGGCTCTTTTTGTGGTCATTTCCACTTTCTCATTGCCACTATGCCCCGAATGCCCAAGGACTCATGGCAGGATCAGGTCATTTGTGTCACTGACTTCTGCCAGGGCTTCCAAACAGTAACATACACTTTGTGCCTTCATCTCGCATGAAGCTAAGGCCTGGCCTTAAGTGCTGCCTTCCAGTTAGAGAAGATGGTCTTTCAGGTGTTCCTAGCCTTATCCTTTAGTCAGTTTTTCCAGTGCTTGAGTTTTTCATCCTCAAGCCAATTTTCCAGTTCCAACTTAAGCACACATTCTGGTGGAATCAGTTAGGGTTCTGTCCCATGAGTGAAAGTGCTTCCCCTTTTTTGGCTATTCTGCATAACAAACTATTAAAGTATTAATGGTATTAATAGTAAATAAAAAATATGTTACAAGACAAATTACAGTAATAGGTATGATATTTTTATTCAACGAGTTAATTCAAGTTGCAATAGGTGTCATGTTTTGTTATAAATCTCTCTTTTAACTTTTTTTAAATTCTAGCAGGAATGTAGTTTAATTGATTAGCCTGGAATTGGAAGTTTTGTAAGAATATTTAGTACATTTATGATAGAATAAATAATGTGTATGCTCAGAAGGACCCTTCTGTGGTGTAGGAATGCACAATACCAATGAGCCTCAAACAGAAGGATACAAATAAAATGAGGGAACAATGGAACTCGCTCATTGTACACAAACAATCCAACAACCTCCTAACAAACTTTAGAAGGGAAGAGGTAACAGAATGTATTAAAGGAAGCAGGAAAAGACTGAATCCTAACAGGATTCTTATCAGGACACTGTAAACTAAATGGACTTCTGAAGAAGAGAGGCAAAAACCAACACAGCAGACACCTACTAAGTACTAACAAACTGTGATGTTACACTTGCCCACATAGGAAGTGTTTGGGACGTACGACGTAATAGAAGAGTGTGTGTGGTGAGTGACCGTTAATAGATAATTATTCAGAAATAGAAGAGATTCAACCAGGCCTACTAATAAAGTTCCTTGATGAACAAGGAATTAACGGTGTCTTTTAAGCAAAGAACGGGGTAACAATAGCTTTAAAGGGCGCAGTATAATACACCACCAATTACTACATCTATCTATGCTCAGGAAGAAACCTAGCCAATCTAGGCCCTAGATTCTAGGGTATGCGGATTGCTGATGTGCTCAATTTGTTGAACAATAGGAAAGAGAATTGGATATCGTTCTCATTTTTCATCAAATTTGAAATTATATTAAATGGTTAAAAATAATTGTTTGTCAGTAATAATTAAAGGATTTTATTATGTGAAATTGTGGGCGTATTTCGATCAGTGTGCTTTCGGCTTTCATTTGACGTAACCTGTGTTTCGTTAAGTTGGAATTCCGTCAGCTGTTACTTGTCGTCGTCCGACCGTCAAATCCAACCTCCGTAGAGATTTCACCTTCGTCTCGGCCGTAGTTATTTTTTTGTTTTCTTTTATTTTTTTACCTTTTTTTCCTTCTCGGTCTTTTTGTTCTTCTTCTCACCGGTGATATTTGCCTTTTCGCCTCTGTTCGAACAGGAATTCGTACCGCGGGGGGTTTTCGTTCCTGGTGGCCTCTTAGCCGACAAGCCCGCTTTTTAAATGTTCCCGGATTCGAAGGACGTCGGAAATTCTTGATATTCCCAGATTTGCCTTGTACCCTAAAACGAAAACTGTGCGAAAATGTGGAAAGTGAGGGAGCTAGCGGACCGAGTGTAAGTATAAAATATTTATATTTTATAATAATTCTAATTTAAAAAAAAATCCATTTTGACAAGCACGGAAAACTAAGAGTAAAAGCGTTTTGATTTTGCAAGCCACTCGCTCATTATTAAAACCCTAGATTAACATCAACAAAGACCATAAATACGATAAATAAACGATATTTTCATTTTATTTGATAGAAAGTTACATTTATGTGTATATACATTATATCATAGTGGCCTAACATTGCCATATTGTGCATAAATGACGTGCTCTAGAATTTATTTTTGTGTTTAGGTTTGAATAAACAAGTGAGTCAAAGGTGAAAAACACACAATTCATTTGGTATTATAATCAACAATGTAAATTGTTCTATTGTTCTTGACAGTAGTTACTATTCTATTTTATGCGTTGAGTATTTTCTTGTCACTTTTCTTCACCTAATGCACTGGTGCCGGAATCCGAACTGGCCGATCTTTATCTGATAAGTGACACACGTGTAACATGATATCTCACATGATCATGCCTGGTCTTATCTGTTTTCAGTTGGTCTGTTTGCTATTTTGTCAATCGTGTCCTTTAATGAAAGTTTAGAAAACTTGAATGGCCGGAAGGTTGCCTGGGCACAAAACAGCCTCTAAGATCATTAAAAGTTCATGCGGGGCTTGGCAGACCATAGAGGAATGGAAGATCAGTATGATAGGAGGCGATCAAGCGAAAGGAAATTTTTTTTCTCCATTTTTTTCTCGTTTTTTTTTTCTCTCCTTTTGGAGAATTCGTTGATTGCAAAGGGGGGAGAAGTTCTCCCAACTATACTTAATATTGAATTATGTACTATAATTATTTTTTAAACAATGAACATTATGGTGAGGTCTGCAAAATTATAATCTGACAGATACATTTCTCAATTTTTTTCCATTTTTTCCAATTTTTTTCTATGAGTTATTTAATCAGTCTTGTCCTTCATTAAAAATTTAGAAAATATGAAAGGTAGGAAGTTTGTCTGCTTGCATTTACTTTCCTCCTTTCAGAGGCGATTAAGCAAAGTAAAAGTTATTTCTCTATTTATGCTTCATTTTTTCTGAGAAATTCAGTGTATGGAATGAGGGGTGAAGAGGTGACCCCCACTTATATAATAATGAATTATTTGCAATAATTGTGTTTTTAAACAATAAACATATTGTGAATCATTGTGATGGGTCTGCAAGGACAATTGCTCATGATCAACCTGTCCTGCCTATTTCGATTGCCAGATACCTTTTTTTCCATATTTCAGTCTGTTTAAAAAAGAAAAGAAAAACAAATTCCAACCACTAAAGACCGTTAAAAGCTCCTAGCGCCTTGGCACACCGTGCAAGGAATGGAAGATCAGTGTGATTGGAGGCAATCAAGTGAAAGGAAAATTTGTTTCTTTATTTTTTGTCATTTTTTTCTATCTTGAAGAATTCCTTGTGTGCATTGAGGGGTGGAGAGGTCACCTCCCACCTGTAATAATGGATTTTTATCAATAATTATTTATTTTATTTATGTTTAAATAAACATTGTGGTGAGGTCTGCAAGGTCCTGAACCTGTAACTTGATTTCATCTTGGCCTGTCTTTTTTTATTTCTCAAATACATTTCATTATTTTGTCAATATCAGTAAATGATTTGTATTAAAACTGATGAATTTTTGATCTTGTTTAACTTAGTTTACACTAAAATGATGCATATGTACTTGAGTGAATCTTTCAAATAAAATAGATGCGTTCAAGTGAATTAAATGGAGTTAACATACATACATATAAAACATTCAACATTTGTGGTTTAAATGTTCAAGGTTTTAGCTCTTGACAGGGTTTCGCAACGTTTTCAACCACCACAATATCATTGAATCAAATGATCAAAAATAGTGATAAGACATTTTAAAAGTACAAAAAATCCCATAAAAAAGATTAACTTGCAATAAATGTTTTTAATTTTAGAACAAACAGAAAATTAAAGATAACATATCATGTGATTATCACATAACAAATAACAGGAGTTATACATTTGCTATGCAGTATTAAATCAATGTAGAAAATTGGAATAAATTTGTCAAAACTTGAGTAATACATTGTTTATATCTGATCATCCTGATGCAGATGTACTTGGCATTTCACCAAACATCTTCAATGTATCTGTATTCAGAATATTAAAAACTCATATTTTAGTTACTAAAATAAATAATAATTTTATTTTAATTAATTATACTTCTTTTCTAAAGTCTTGATTGAGATGAAAAAGTTAGTGTCACGAGCGGGATTCGAACCCTCGACCTTCAGCTTAATTACATAATTTTATTTAGAGAAATATCAGTAGATTATTATTTTTATTTTTATTAGACTGTGAGGCGTAGTGATAAGATAAACATGTGAAAGATCCGATAACTATAAAATTGTCTATTTAATAGATTATCTATATGATCTACTTAGCAATGAACTATATTGTTATAGTTGATAATACAGTGTTATATTAAAGAAAAAAATAAAATAGCATTCTTCATAAAAAATACAATAAAAATAAGATAAAATACAATTAATGAAACCTTAAATTTTAAAAACAGGAATATTTTGAATTATTGAACAACAGAAAGTCAAAGATGATATGTTTGTTATTGGTATAAATTTGCCAAAATTATAACAAAAATTAACTTCACTAATAGTTAATATTTTTTTAATTTAATGTTAAGAGATAATAAAGCAGCTTTACAGACCTTGACATAATATCTCATAATTGAACACATTCAATCATTCAGGAAAATAAATATTGTGTTACCTACTGTTTACACTCTAAAAAAATATCGGTTTTATATTTAAGGACCAATGTTGTTATGAACTATACAGAAGTAGAGGCTAAAGTTAGAGAAGCTACCAATGATGATGCTTGGGGTCCCACAGGTAAGGGTAAAACATTGATACACTTTTTATGTAAACAATGAATGCAATTTTAATTAAATATGAAATTCTAGGTGCATTGATGTTGGAGATCGCTCAAGCCACGTTCACATTTGAGCATTTTCCCGAAGTGATGACAATGCTTTGGAAACGTATGCTTCAAGACAATAAAAAAAACTGGAGAAGGACTTACAAAGTAATATTTTAACAAACAATGTTTAAAATTTAAAATACTTATTATTATTAATTTTTTTTTGTTATTTATAGAGTTTACTTTTATTAAATTATCTAGTGAGAAATGGATCTGAAAGAGTTGTAACATCTTCAAGAGAACATATTTATGATTTAAGAGGCTTAGAAAATTATGTTTATGTAGATGAATTTGGTAAAGATCAAGGGATCAATATTAGGTGAGAAAAATGGCTAGTTTATTTGAGACAAGTTAAAAATTTATTATCTTTGTATTAGGCACAAAGTAAAAGAGTTGATAGATTTTATTCAAGACGATGATAAACTTAGAGAAGAGAGGAAAAAAGCTAAGAAAAACAAAGATAAATACGTTGGACTTTCTAGTGATGCAATGGGATTGAAAGGCATAGGTAATTAATTTTTATTTAATTAGTTTTGTATTGCAAGGAATTCACTGTGTTGAATTTACATTTTCTCCACAGGTGATAGGTGGGATGGTGGTAAATGGGGAAAGGAAGAGTATGATTGGGCAGACTCAGATAAACGAAAAGACGAATTTGACAACAGGTATGAAAGTGAGAAAATTTTTATTTTAAATTACAAAATGCTAAAACAATATTTTGACTTCAAAAAAGCGATGAGGGCGAGCGTTACGATTCAGAAGGTGAAACACCAATGCCTCGTGCAAAAGAATACAGGGATTCTGAAAAAATAGACGAACCTAAATCACTTGATGACATAAGAAAGTTATGGTATATGAAAAATCATTCTAAACAAATGCCGACTAATTCTCCGTCACCACCGCCACAACAGCTTCTCCATTCAAGCAGTAGCAGTAGTAGTAGCCCAGCAAAAAAATTAAGTCCTGTTAAAAAGATCGATCTAGGAGCTGCTGTTAATTACGGAAAGGTAGGAAGACGATTAAATTGTTTTTCTTCAATTTTTATCTTATGTTTATTATTTTAGTCTGAAACAACGACAGAAGCTAAATCAAAACCAACAATCGAAGATGTCCTTGGTGATGATCTGTTTAATCCTAGGCAAGATCAAACAGCAGACAACGAATTTGGAGATTTCACAAATGCCTTCCCCGTTTCAACAGATTCAAATCAAGTCAACCCTCTGAAATCTTTAACGTAATTAAAAAAAATTTTTTTTTTTTGCAATTAATAACTCATTTTATTTATATTGTACTGAAATTTAATAGAAATCCAGTGCAGACGGAAAAAGATGATTTTGCCGATTTTACTTCTGCCTTCTCAAACGAGCAAGCTTTAAATAAACCCAGCCTTGAAACAACTCATTCACAGCCAGTATCATTAGTAAACGGCACTACTTGTTAGTATTTTATTTTAAATTTGTATTTTTTCATCCCTTTAATTTAACTTTTTCAATTATTTATTTTTCTAGTTGAAAATAAAGCTCAATCAAATGCCGATCTTTTGCTTGGGCTAAGTGTCAGTCAGACTTTGAATACATCTACATCACCAGCGTTTGGCATATTAGACTCTCAACCCCAGTCTCTTCCCGCAGCCATGAATCCGTTGGATTTCTCTGCACCACCTTTAGGTATGTTACCTCTTTCTTATTCTTATTCTGTCACTTCATTTCTTCATCTTCTTCTCATGTAAATACTTTTAGAGAGAGAAGATTTTTGTTCTTTTGTAAACATTGCAGTTAAGGAGTGCGAGCTCAAGAAGATTGGACCCAAGTGGTTGGAAGGGATGAAAGCTTGTCAAAACCTGGATGAAGCAAAAGTCTTTCTAGTCGATATTCTAGAGTTTTTGCCTGGCCCTTTAACCGAACAGAAGCTAATTGGTTTAGATGTAGAATGTTTTGACTCAGAAACAATTTCCTCATTTTACAATAGAGTTTTGAATATTGTTTTAAATCTAAGTGGTTTCAATGAAAATGATATGGTTTTGAAGTTATTCGTATGTGAGGGAGGGTCTTCCTCGATGTTTAGTACATCAATGGGCATTTTATTAGACCATTTTAAAATAACACCAAGATTGTGCAAAAAATCCGATGTTATCCTTGACATATTATTTAAACTGGTCTATTCAGAAGCATTTGTGAGTTGCTTGTGTCTGCAGTGTTTAAAAGAGAACAGCACTGTGGATTTAGTATCGTGGGAAAAATTGGTGAGAGTTTTGACAAATCTACCGGAAAAAATTTTGAATATCGATTCTAATGTTGCAACATTTTCTAAAACTAATTTTTCAAGAATTTTATATTCTCATTTAAATAAAATCATGGATTTATTGTTTAATACTGGAAATTATACAAGTATAGATACTAGGCCACTCGCTGTGTTTTTCAGTAGACTTATTTTTAATTTTCAAGATGATGAATCTGTTGAAGTGTTTATAAGATCGATGACTAAATCATCTGAGGAAAAGTACGATTTTGATGTTTATTTCAGTACTGTTTTGCAAAATGTTGAAACTTCATCTGTTGAAAAGGCTGCATTGGCAATATTGAAGTTTTCCAACAATCCTGTAAAACTTTTAAGCCAAGACCTTATGAAACTTGAAAATTGGAATTATGTAATTTGTAAAAAAATTATTTTTTATACTTACCATTCTAATGATGTTATATCGTCAAATTTAATAAAAACGTTAATGGGTTTTAGTATGTTGAAAAACATTTTACTCGAGCTGACGGGAATATGGTCGGACAAATCGGCTTTAATTCACACTTCATATGAACAACATTTGTATATTACAAAATTAATGCTTCTCTCTATTAAACTAATAAAAGATGACATTGACGAAGACGTTAATTTTAAAAATTCATTAATATCAAATTTGTTGAGAGGCGTACCTGTACATTTAGAATCAACCGTGGATAACGTTAGGGCAATTGGGATGATAACTGCCGAAATCATGCTTTCCAATATTAAAACTGAATCCGAAGAAAAATTGGAGTTTGATTACAGTGGAATGAAACCGAATCAAGACGAAGTGATTAAATATCTCAAAGAATTAGATTTTGTCACAAACAATGTTGAATGTAAAAAACAAAGTTTCACAGAAATAATAGTAAAAAATGAGAAACACGTCGAACCTAGTTCTGAAGGGTCTACAAATGATCAACACATCGATGATGAATTTGAACCTTATGATGTTACGAATGATGTTAAATTGTCTGTATATAAACGACCGAAATACCTTCGTGATCTTATTGAAGGCCTTGGGGAGACAAAGGATCACGAAATATTTGTGGAAAGTCTTAAGTCAGCAGAAGAACTAATATATAAACAGTTACCAAATGATGATGTTTCTCTTGCTATCCAGTTAAGCCAGATACTTTTGTGCTTACAGCAGAATTTCCACTGTGACAATTTTGAAGATATGAAGTTCAAAGCTTCTGTTGCAATACTCCTTGTTTATCCACAAGAAATAGCGGAATACTTATGTGCCCAGTTTCACGCAGAAGTAGGAAAATACTCCATATCTCATAAACTGTTTGTTTTACAAGTTTTATCAACAGGGGCCATCGAGATGTCCAAGCCGAAAATGGACGCCACAGAGAGTTCTGAGGAGAATAAATTAAGGTCGAGAATAATCGGTAAAACTAGAAAAATAGCCAGTCCGACTGTAATTCTCAAAGGGAGTGCAAACCGTTTTGTTAAATGTGCTGGGAGTTTCTTTTTTCCGTTGATTCGAGGCGATGGCGGTTTTAAAGTGCTATACCGACCGACTCAAGACAGTCACGATGACACTACACTTCTCTTAGTATCACTTTTAAAAACGCTCTCAGTGATTTTAGTGAGTGCGGTGAATATTTCCATAGCGAGCAAGATGGGCCGTGAACTGCTTGAATCAACTTGGAATTTGAGGTACCATTCCGAACCGAAAGTGAGAGAAGCGATCATTTCTTGCATTTTAGCCGCTGCACTCATTCTACCGTCTGATATGGACTACTTCGAAGATCTGACCGAAGCTAAAATGTGGCTAGTCGACATAGCGAACAAAGAGGTCGAAAAATCAAACCAAGTGTTTGCTGCACAAACTGCCATTTATATAGACAATAAATTTAATTTGGAAAATCTGATTTAGTCTGTTAAGTTTTTATTTTTATTTTATTTACTTTTTTTTATTGAACTGCTGAAGATAAATATAATTTTAAGTCCTACAAAGTCTACAGTTTTTTTATTTCTTTCTCAACACAATTTCTACTTTTAAGCGTGGTTTCTTTTGACACAGCAAATTGAGAATTGTTTAAATTTCAAGACAGTTTATCAGTAGTAATTAGCAATAGGTGACCACAATGTCGATGCCACACCAGTAAAGACTCTGTTAAAATGCAGGTGTTGGAGACAGCGGGATCTTAAAGCCCATGAACACCACAACTTCTACTGGAGCTCTAAATAAACCGCCTACTACACAGGTTGAATTAAAAGTCTAATAATAAGTCAAAAACAAGAATCAATGTTTACGTTTGTATGATGTTTTAGGTTGGAAATACTTGGAGTAATACAGGTAACCTAAATATAGATTTAGAAGGATTGAGCCTTACTAATAAGACTGGACGAGGTAAAACAGTACAATCACCTTCAATAAACCAGATGTCAAATCCATTGTCACCTACAACTGGTAATTGTGTTAATAATTTGAAAGTGTATTTACCCTAATGTTATATGTTATGGTAATGTTCTTGTTTTCAGGCTCTGTAATGTTTGGAGGAACAAACCGAGGGTTTCAATCTCCACCTAATAAGACGCCGTCTCAAGGTTTCATGTTTCAAGACTTTACCAGCTTTAAATGACTAACATCATAACTGGCACTAAGTTTGTCACCTGTATGAGATTCATATGGCTCAATTTTACGTATTTATAGAAAACAAGGAATGAAAAAAAATCCTATTTGGAAAAAAAATGTACATAATTAACATTGCGCTATTTGATCTTCCAGTCACACATGAAATGTTGTTTTCATTGCAAATATATATTGTTAAGAAATTATGATCGCATGTTGTTTTGTAAGTTATTTCAAGAAGTGTATATAACGTCATGATTGTCCATCATTCCTTGAACAAAATTCCTTTTATTTATCTTACAACGTTAGATTTATAATTGATTATATTAGCAATAATTCAGTATTAAAATAATTTGTTTCTGTTATTAAATGTGTATAATTTCTTAATTATTGTTAATGTTTTTATTTAGTTTATCTTTTTGAAAAAGTTTTTAACACTTCATGAAATTATAATAGTATGTAAAAACCATTTAGTTTAATTTTAGCTGGCTACACAAGCGAATTAACAAAGTAATCTAAGAGCTCATAATCAGTCGTATAAACCAATATTACCAATGACGACTTACTAATCATTGCACCTTTTATTTTTAGGTTCTATCGTAGTGATGATCAAATATTAAAATCTTAATTTGCGACTTTGGTTGTTTATTAATTAATCATTTAAAGAAATTTGATGCATTTCATATAAAAAAAATAAAACGAGAAATTATTTTTATTTTGTTTCAATGGTGAAATTGTTAATAAAACTGGTGGTGGTTCAGTTCATTCCTGTTTTATATGTATGTTGTATATTTACAGAATATATAAATATATATCTCCTTTTATTTTCAGTTTACATATTCATTTATTTTCTATTTATTTATTTTTGCTAAATGAAATTATTTAGAATATTGGACAATATCAAGCCCAAATACTTAGACAATTTTATTGATTACATGTGTCAAATTAAATATTTTTGGGGCACAGTATTATTCCTATCTATATTTTTTTTTAAATTGTCTCAGTTCTTAATACTAGAGAAATTTTTAATAAATAATTGGTAAGTACACATGCACGTATGAAAATACAATAAAGCCAAATTTCTTGGTATAAAAAATAAATAACAGTAAAGTGGGGGTGTCGGTGGCCGCAAAAGTTTAAGCTTTGACTTGCACTCACCACAGTAAAGGTCCTGGATTGCCCCTTTATTTGAACTCAACATACAAATGAGCTTTTTTCAAAAACACCAACACCCCGAGGGTTCATACAACCTCTTAGTTAAAATACCCTCGTTAAATTTAAAAAAAAAAAAAAAGGCAACTGTTAAGGTTTTGACTGCCCATCATCTGAAGGTAAAAGTCTCAGGGTTTGAGTCCAGTTGCCTTGCATTTGATTTTGAACACGTGGCCTTTTTTTTCAAAAACGGCTCCCTGGGGGGTTGATATGACTTCTGTTGTGAATTCCTGACAAACCTTAACCCACGAATTTATATTTTTGGGTCAAGATCATATATTCCTGCCTGTTGAGAAATGTTACTCCCTGAGTCCTATTTGACAAATATTTTGGGTATTTCCCTTTCACGGCTTTATAAAGAGAGCAAGTTAGACCATTCGATAGAACGCTTCATGTAAAACTACGAGGTCTGGCAACCTTGTCTTAATTTCTTTAAGAAAGACATCATAAATGTCGTAGTGCATTGTATCACCTTACTTGAGTGAACAAAACATAATAAAGGATGTATTTTAAGTGTAAGTTTGTAAATAATGTTATGCAGAAATTCACTCGTTTCGTGGTACGCTTGACCAAGTAATATCTTACAATTAATTAAGGTTTTTAGTTGAGATAAAAAAGTCAATGGCACGAGCAGGATTCGAGCCCATGATCTTCGGCTAGATACGCCGCTGCTCTACCACTTGAGCTATCGTGACCTCGATCCACTCGGACACTAACTTCCCATCTCAACCCCACCTTTTGAATTTTCTCTCCTTTTTGCCATTTTTCAAATGTCGTGTAATCTATTTGATTCTCGGTGACAAATGACTAGTTATGCAGAAAATAAATAAAAAATTATATATAATAAAGAAATTGCCCTGTATCGCTTCATAAATATAGAGAGATCATTTGACAAAATGTCATATGCTATCGTTATCATATGCTTTGACTATACAAGGTTATACCCAATGCCAATTAGCCAAAAATATAACTTGGGAACAAAAAGCTTACAATACAACCAATGAGAGGATGCTCCCAAGGAGCAGTACTAACTCCAACCTTATGGTTTCTGGTGGTGGATGACCTCCTACATAACCTAAACATAATGGGGTTTGAAGCTAACGACATTGCTATTATAAATAGAGACAAATTTGATCAAACTCTGGTCGGACTAATGAAGTCTTAAATTTAACTTTAATTGAAAAATGGCAAAAAGGAGGGAAAATTGGAAAGGTAGGGTTGAGATGGGAAGTTAGTGTTCGAGTGGATCGAAGTCTCGATAGTCGATAGCTCAAGTGGTAGAGCAGCGGCGTATTTAGCCGAAGGTCGTGGGTTCGAATCCCGCTCATGACACTGACTTTTATATCTCAACCAATACTTTACATAGAGTAATTAATTGAAAAAAGTTATTCGGTCAATCAGACCACTGACTCTAATGGACTTAATTAATTTAACACTGAGTTGGTGAAAAGATAATGGTCTAAATATAAACCCCTCAAAGCAATAATTGTACCATTCACCAGGAAAAAGAAGCTTAATCTTACAAACCTAACAAATTTTCATTTCCTGTGTTTTAAACAAGAGAAATTTCAATATCTTAAATAACCATGTGATATGGGGGCATCAGTGGTCACAACGGTTAAGGCATTGACTGGGCATATTGTCACATAAGAATCCAACGACCCTCCATTTGAACCTGACATACTTACAAATGAAGCAATGACACCATGAAGTTTTAAATAGCCTCACAGTTGAAATACCCCCATAAAAAAGTGATATAAATCACTGAATAACCTGCTGTTGAATGGATTAAGGAATAATAATTGGGCCGAGCCCGACACAGTTGATAAAAGATGGTACATTTTTAATAAAGAAGATGAAAAATGAATATTTAATTCAGGCATAAGCAGACTTCTAGATCAAATTTCTTTCTTCTCTGAAGACTTTTGTCTGGTTATTTTTTATTTATTTGTAAATAAAGAAAGAGAAAGAAAATGCATATTTAAATGTAATATTGTTTATCTTTTTTATTTTGTTTCAATAATAAAAACTAATCATAAAAAAGTATATCGCGCTACTTATGAATTATGTATATCACATAGATCCTTGTTAATAAATAACGGATCAAAATAAATTTCTCTCACTCTCTCTCTCTCTCTCCCAATTTTCTTTCTTTTTTTTCTAATAATTGAATTGGAATGTGTTCAAGAACTGTTTAAATATTAAATTAAATTGAACATGATAATAAAATTTTAAACAAAAGAAAACAATGGGACTAAAACATTCAAGATTGGAAGACTAAAACTTACATACAAAAGAAAAAATTGGCAGTGTAAAAAATTTGTGAGCTATTTACAAAAGAAATAAAACAGTTTAAAACTGATGTCATTAAAAAAGTTACATATTAGTAAATTAAAAATGTGATTTTTTTATAATATATACAAAAATGATTATATGCAAGAATCAGGATGTTGGCTAGAAACTGTTTTCCGTGACTTTCCTTTTGTATCACCTTTAACTGCCTCAATACTGACTTTGCGAGGATTTCCAAGCGTAACAAGAGCAGATGCAATTGCCAATCCAGCTTTGAACAAACAAGAACAATATAATTATTATTTAACAAACAAAAAAGCAACAGAAACTTTATGTATATATTGAGATGTGGGCATTAGTTTTTCGTTTTTTCCAATTTTGATTTTCTTCCTTATAAAGGCCATTATTACCTGCTAGCCCAGTTGGTTCTGGGGTGAAAAAATTCCTATTGAATGAGACTATTAAGCTAGAAGGCAGGATGTTGTCTAGAATGAACTATGACATGAAAGCAAATAAAATTCATTTTAGGCATTGCTTGCTAGTTGCTGGCAGTCCGATCTTGGTCATAGAGCAGCAAATGTCCGTTAAAATTTATGTAGAATTTAAAATGATAGTGGTTCCAATATTTTCATAAAGACCAGCCTCGTTGTGAAATGCCTACAAGCTTAATAGTTTCTGTTTTCATTATTAGAAATAATGAAAATGATAGTGTCACTGTCCTTAGCCCACCGGTCTTCAAGGAAATTTGAGATCACTTGTAAAAACTTAAACATGTCTATCTATAGGCATATTTAAGGTTGTTTTGCCCTGAATGACCTTTAAATGGGTCAAAAGATTGGCAGTAGCAACGAAATTTGCTTTCTTCTACAATCCAGTGTTTGTAAGCTTAAAAGCAACATCTTATTAGAGGACAAATTAACTATGGCAGATTGTCAGAGAAATTTCATGTACATCATACAACGATAGAAAGAAGAATCCGATCTCTGGGTTATGCTATGAAATTGAATGAATGAAAGGAAGACTGTGCGTAGCTTGTGTCTAGAACAACATTGAAGGAAAAACATTTTTACAAAAAGAGAATCTTTTTAATACCACAATGTTGGCAGCATGTTATAGAAAATGATGGAAATTGTGTTAAGGATTAAAACTGAAATAATAAAGTCAAAATTATTAAAGTTTGGCTTTTTTTCTAAAAAGCAAAAAAAGCTTATGCCCACATCCAATATTAATATTAGCTTAGAAAGTCAAGACTTCACCTGATTGTCCATATGGAGTAAACGCTCCTCCACCGGTTGGAAGTCTGACTAGAAGTGAAAGAACGGCTGCACGATTGCCAATGCAAGGCTCAAGAGCAATTGGGCTTGGACACTCCTTAAAAATAAACACAAATAAATTCTGACCCACATGTACAGTTAAGAGCGACCGTTAATACCTTTTTTGCGGGAGAAGGAGAAGTTGGAGTGTTGTCATTGGATGACTTATTTCTTTTTTCAATTTCAACTAATACTTGAGAAAAGGGGCGACTAGCCATCTGTTCCATTTCAACAAACATACGCTGCCGCCTTCTATACAAGTCATACTTTTGTTTTATTTTCCATAAAAATATGGCTACCAAGAGTAACAAAAGGAAACAAGAAGAAAATGTTATAAAGAACTGTTGTAAATTTAATTTAGGATATTGTGAGAATGAAATCTGAATCCATAGAGGCGGCTGGAAGTCATAAACGTAAACATAAAATGTTGTCAATGACACATTTTCAACTTTGCCAAACTTGTGATCATTTTTGTTAAAACGAGTCCTGAAGTTAGAACAGTTGTGATTAGATACAAATGGCTTTTCAGGTTGATTCACTAAAAATATTATGACAGTCAATAAGTAAAATGATGCAAATTATTGTATTAACTTGATTTATTAACCTGCTTTTATAGTTATGTTCATTTTAGCCATAACTGAACATGTTATACTAAAATCAGCATCAACATCTGCTTTTGTAGGCTCATTTTTAAAATTGATCTGTGTATAATGTCTATCATCTTTTTTCGATAAGTTAAAAGTAAATTGGTAGTCTATTGTCAAATCATCTAAAATAAAAAATGAATCACAAAAATTTATTATAAGGCAATGTGCCAGCAAAATAACTTACAAAAACATGAGCCGTGATTGGTAGGATCACCATGATAATGATTTGGACCATCACATTTTTCACAATGGTCTCCAACAATTCCTTTGGTCGTGCAGTAACATTTTCCAGTATCAGGCACGCACAAAGTGCCATGATTGTTACATTCACAGGCTAAAAGTTAACATTTAATATTTGACGTAGCTTCAAATACTTTAAGTTGAAATAAATAACGTACGAGTACAGTTCCCTCCGTTAACTGGGTAGCCGTAATATCCAGGAATACATGTTTCACAATGTTCTCCATATGTGAGATTAGCACAGGGTTGAATGCATACGCTGCTGTTGTTAGCACATGTACTGTGACCATTGCATTGGCAACCTTTCAAGACAATAGGTTATTTTGAACAACAAAATTACACTTATTGAGATAAAAATGAGTTGAATATAAATCTTACTTGGACAATGTGTGAAGTACCAATGGTTTTTAGGACAAGTTGGAGGAGGATTATTACCCCCAGGTAAGCAAATACCTTTTCCTGTTCCTGTACCATCATCACACCAACCGCATTCTGGAGCATCTCTACATTCTGAGCACCATTTATGAGACGTGCAAGCGGATTCACCTACATATTACAACTTGTTAATTAGGTAAACCCATGCATACTTCTTTTTTAATATATAAATAAGGATTAGATGGATAACCTGGTGTGAGAGGGCAGCGACTCCTCTGAGTTGACCATTCTCGACATTGGCCGTAAGGGAAAGAAGCAGTATAAGCATTTTTATCAACGCATCTTTGTTCGTTGTGGCACCAAATGCACTCCTCCTGGGTGCAATTTAAGCATGAAGTTAATTCGCTACAACTAGGCGCACAGTGACTGACCGATTCCTAAAATTTGTTTAAAAGCAAAAGTGTTTAATTATATTGTGTGGTAATAACAGCAAATCGAATTTACTCGATTCACTTTTGGAGTTACCGTATTATTAGCTAAGCATTGATTATATGTCTTCCAATGACAGTTTGGCTGCACAATACACGTTTGACAACTGTGATGGATCGGACAATTAGACCCTTCTTCAACCAGACATTCTGAGCTTAATGTTACTGCCTATATTATCACGACAAAAACCAAAACGTTACTGACATGAAAAAAAATCAAATTGTTTTTACGTACCCTAACTGTGTTGTATGCAGTAGCATGTGGGGGTATCGGTTGTTTGCAAACATTATCATGCGTACAACTGTTTAAAAGGGGACACCACCCACAGCCCAAGGATGTATGAACACACGATATACAGTCAGTCAGCTGGTTGCAAGTTAACATATTAGCTGCAACTGTGGATCTACGTTCTGGTGGACATCGGCTGTAAAAATTAATTTTTACTATGGTTAAATGGATTTTAGACTCACAAAATACTTACTCGTAATAACTTTCATCTGGATCAAAATTAGGATTGACAAGAACCTCCTTGGATATATCGAGAACCGAAAAACATTTTGCCTCTTTTCTGTCCCATATGCATTTAATACCTGGCCTAGTGTTTAAACAAGCTATCATCGTGGTCAGGCTTTTACAGTTTCCTCCTGTATACCTAAAATTTATTGGTTTTTAATTAAACTGGGAACGAAATATTTGTTTATGACAAAAACAAAGAAAAAATACTTGAGGATATCATTGAGCATTTGTCCATCAAATCCCCCGTATATATACAAGGAATCTGAAAAAACTGCAGCAGAATGACCAAATCTTGCTAGATCAGCAGTTAATGCCGATGGAACATGAAGAGGTGACCAAGAGTCACATATGACATCATAAGCGAGTGCTTCAGCCGAATAGCACTTAGCACCCTGGGATTGCGATGTGTCGTTATGTGTATTTCCACCAAATACAATCATTAGTCCATTAAGAAATGTGCCAGTGTGTAAAAAGCGTGCTGAAGGGCCATTGCTCAACAAAGTCCTACAACACAAATTAATTTTTTATAGAAATAAACTATATAATCCAGTTTTGTGTAACACATACGATGAACTCTAAATATAAAATCATACCAAGTATGGGAGTCAGGCTCGTAGGAATACAGTCGATTAGAAAGAAGAGGAGTGGCAGGTGATTCTGATATGAAGCCACCGTACACGTAGATTTTTTCAGTGAGAGAATCCCAAGCACTAGAATGCCCATAGCCTGCTTTTACAGGGAACCCTTTCGTCTTGACTATGCTCCATTCTCGAGTACCAAAATGGTACTCCTGCACAGTGTTCAAATAACCATATATCGGAGAATGGCCAAATATTACAACCATTCTCTCCAATTTCCGTTTACCCATTACAAGTGTAGCTGTATGTCCTGCCGACTTTAATGGACCTGCAATATATCAAAAGAGAAACAATTTCTGATTTAAACAAATAAACTGATAAGTTGAATTAAAATCAAAAGTCTTATAATAATAGAAAACTCATTGCAATACTTAATGAAACATGATTCTGTTCCAGTTAATTAATTTTAAACTAAATTAAAACTATCTCCAGTATAATGATAAGAAAAGAAATGAATGAAAAGCTACAATATTTTACTTGTTTCATAATTTATTTATTTGGAAGATGGAAAAATCAATCATTCATAATTTGATTCTGGATACAAATTTTTATGATATTAATGATCACTCAATTACACTTAGGAAGAATTGCGAGACGAAAAGATAATAAAAAGAAAGGATGCAACAAAAATGTTTTTCCGGTTTTTACATTATATTCAAACTTTGATATTTTACTGGTCAGTAAAACCAATAGAATGGATAAAATGCCTACCACAGAGGGATGTTGTGTTGCATGGTTCAGCCCGTACAGTGATGTTCTCCCACGACTTAGCACTGACATCAAAAGCCCAGAGTTCATTGCAAACCACTCCACCATTTTTAACCCCTCCATAAATATAAATCTTGTCCTGTAATAATAATAAAAAAATTACAATGGAGAATCAAATTACAATTTTTGAGAACAGAGATTAATATGCATTCGCTTTAAACAAAAGTTAAATGTAGATAAGTACTTTCTCGTGATAATTTAAATATTACACTTTATTAGTTATTAATTTAAACATATTGTTAATTATATTTCAATGTTACCATACTGTATGAACATGTTATATAATAAAATATACCCACCAACAAAAAAATATAAACAAACTTGTAACTTTTTTGTACTATCCAGGTTAATACAACAAAATACAACTTTAATGAACACAGGGAAATTCTTTTTTTGTTTTTTCTTTTTTAAATACCAATTGCCAAATGTAGCATATTTTGTTTTCTTTCTTATCAAAAAATTGTAAACATAATTATTTTACTTACTCCAAAAATAACTGCTGAATGACCATATCTAGGAGTAGGTGCCGTCTTACTGTCCATGTGATTGGTTTCCCATACATTTCCTAAAAACATCATGATAACATGATTATCAATCATTTTTAACAATTTTTCTAAACTGTAGTACATACCAGTAAAATCGTATGTGTATATCATGTCGGAAGTGTTGTAAGACTCCCCTCCAATAATGTGGAGGGAATCTCGCCAAACGACAGCTGTGTGCGATGCTGAACCTTTTGGGAGACTCCCTCGGGGAGTGACAACCTCCCAATACCCATGGTCGGCAACTTGCGAACAGTCTTCACCGCGATACTTAGGATTACACTCACATTTGTGTTTGTCGGCTTGACACCTCCCGTTTGAGAAAGAACAATTATTTGGGCATATTTTAGTATCACAGGCTTCACCAGTGTAAAAAGCATCACAAGTGCAAACCCCTTCAAGACAAACACCGTTCCCAGAACAATTTTCACTTGAAATCCTACTGGGGCAGGAATTCAACCTGGAACATTTTTTTACACCGTAATATTTTCTTCTAGAGAAATTAAAATGTGATAATTTTGAAAAACTGGATAAGTTCGTTATTTATCTACTAGGAAAATTGATTAATGGTATCTACTTCCTCTATGAATATTTTTGCTGACAACCATTAATTTTTTTATCATCACGATCATTTCAGACAATTTTTTTTCCCTTTGTAACGTCAGAAATAATAAATAATGAACTCCATTGCGATTAAAAGGGTTTTTATTTTTAACAAATATTTGTCAAAAAACTACAAATCAAGCATGCATGTATATGCATTTACATTAGAAAGAAACTTGCAATTGTTATGTTCAATAGTAAATGATGAAATAATTTAAAAAAATTAGTTCATAGATAATTAATTTATGACTATTCTAAAATGTCCATAATTACCTATATGATATGTTGAAACCTGACATGTTATAAGCGACATCGCTATAAAAATGTATAAGTGCATATCCTGAGTTGGCTACTATTTCTGGAATCCTTCTAATTTTGTAATCACCTTTATACATTAAACCACTGTGAAACAAAAACAAAATACATTTAAAAAAAGATTATTTTCTGTTTTTAATAGCTAAAAGTTATATAATTACTATTTAAAAACGATAATGTAAAAATGTAATTATCATATTGTTTTGCAATATTTGCAAACAAAAATAGAACAGTTCTACTTTTATCGTACACTTTGGATTTTCTACAATGAAAACAGGGAAATTATTATTATTTTAAATGCTGAGACATGCCATTTAAGAAATCTCAGGTGGACAATGCTAAAAAAAAGTAAAATAAAAATTTAAATACAACAAAATTTTAAAAAAATACATTTTTCGTACGGGATACAAAATACTTTTGTTTTCTTTTTTTAAATAACCAATACTGTGAGTAAAATGTAAGCTTCACTTTTTTTTCACTTTCATTGTTCACTCCTCACTTCTGACGCAAAACTAAGCTAATTTTAGCAACACATGCAAAGTGACTAAATTGAACTTATCTGACTATTAATATGTAGCTGGTTTTGCTTAATTAGAACCCTACTTGATTGTCGTTAAAGTCGTTTGTTATTCAACAGTACAAACATTTGATATCTCACAAAAAATTAAAAAGTAGTAGTAAAAAGTCCCTTGACTAAGTAAAAATGTTTGGAATGTTGTAAATAATTAATAAACTGAGTTAAGGATGAAACGTTTTTATAAGTATAATGGTTATTTCCATCCAGAAGGTTTGTTATAAGTGGAAAATAAGAACAATTTTTTTTTTGTACTGAGTGGTAACTGGATTCAGCTGGATACCGAGGTGCCCTCGGCAGTGCCAGCAAGAGGCTGAAGACAGTCAGTCCTGGGGGCTTTAGGAGCTCAGCAGACTAGTCATGACAGACGGTGCAAGTGAGAGGAAAAACCCGAAAAAGTTGGTCTCCTGAAGTTTGGCTATTTTAATTTTTTATTTTATAGATTTGCTTTAATTTTTTTTTTTTTTTTTAAATTAATAAGTATACCATTTTTATTTTCAACTTACTAATATAATTTGTATAATTTTATTTTATCTTATTTTTAGGTTCACTATTCGCAAAAAATAGTATGACACCCGATTTGTTATATTTTTTATATCAAACCCAGAACAAACTTCTGCACCGAGCTTCAGGCACCCATAATTATCTTTGGTCTGTTGTCACAGAACCAGTGACAGGTTTTAATTAGTCATACAACACAGCCATGTGTGCCTTTGTTGTACAAAGTTTCCTTTGTTTAAGACAAATACGGACTGAACAGACAATTGTATGACTGTATTATAAACAAACAGGAAAATAATAGAATTATATAAGTACACAATAAGTTAACAAAAGACAAAGTAGTAATTGGAAAATCTAAATTGGTAAATATAGCTGAAAATCATATTAAACTGAAATTTAAATAAATAATAAAAGCAATCAGCCAAAATATACTTTTAACCAACTTGTCTCATTAATTCTAACTCCTATAACAAACAAGGGAATAAATTAATTTTTTTGGAATATATTAACAAACTTACCTATAAACAGCTAAAAGGGGAGAATGGACTGAATCACCATCATAAATGTAAAGGTGGTCCCACCCACACTCTGTAGCAAACTCCTCAATATGAAGACGAATGGAAGAGTTTGGGACCGCGCTTCCGTCAATGAGCCAGGAGCATTTTACATCAATCGAATAGTTACCGATGCCATCGTGAATGTAACCACTAGTGCCTGATAGTCTGTGAAACAAAGGAAACAAAAATGTAACAGAATGAATCAAACATATGCAGTAGAACCCTTTTTAACCAAACTAAAGGGGGGAAGGTGTTTCTGATAACACAATTTTTCGGATAATCCATGGAAGCTGTTGGCATGCGGTAAAAAGTGTAAAAAACAAATTCCAATTGAAACTGAATGATCCATGTGTTTTACATACAAATATGAAGTTCTGTGTAGCCAAAATGTATACCAGAGAAAAATAATTTCAATAATTTTTTTGTGATTAGTTAGCTTCTTTGTCTTGCAGTTCTGCACTTTGCAAGTGTATTCATGAACTTTAAATTTAGATTTTACCCACTGTTGATATCCTAACATCATAATTAGCGGCTAGTTAACCAGGTTTCAGTTAAGCTAAGTTCGGTTAAAAAGGGTTTAGCTGTACTTTACACATCATTTTATACTGTAATGAAGATTATTATTATAATATATTTTTTCATAAATGTAAATTTCATTTGAATTTTTGATCATTTCCTACCTACTCTGGTCTACCTATTCTAACAAATTTTGGCATAATAAAATAAGATCAAGCTGCAGGTTCATCACAGAGTGTGACAATTCACATAAATTTGGAAGTATTATAATAAGTATTACACTCTGAGTGCCTGGTTTGCCTAATTAAGCTGTTTTGTCTATATGGGTGTTCCAACATTGTGCCATCGATATAACTAAGTCTGTCGGGTAAAAGCTGCAGCAGGCTACACCACAAGGCTTAAAAATTTAAATATGTTTGTTTATTGGAAAGGTGAACAAGAAAAATGAACCATATTGTGTCAATTCGGCTGGAAAGAAAATAAAACCATAATCTGTTGTTTCAATTATTATTTTATACAGCGTGATTATTTTTGATCATTCTGATCTGCCTAATAAAGTTTTTTGTCATCAGATATTCTGCATTTTCCTCTCTTCAGTAGTTGTTCTGTCAGGTACAATCAATCTAGAGGTTTATTGCTCGCATGACATAGCAAAATTTATATAGCTGTCATCTCTGATCCTCCTGAGCTGCGTAATATCGATGGTTTTAGCTGCCAAACATATCTCACTCACTAACTTCAAAGTTTGACTACGTGCCCAATAATTTTATAAAATGAACTTATGGTCTTCACTGAAGATTAGAGAGGCTGAAATGTGTCTGAAAAACCAAAACCATTAAAATGGGCTGACAAAAATAAATGGAAAGGACCAAACTAAAGGTTTATCAGCCTGCAGATCCCAAGGGAAATATCACAAATTATATTGTGTCAATTTGGCCAGAAAGCAACTAAAAAGAGAGAAAAAGAGCTGACTAATCCTGTTGTTACTAAGATAATCATAATCCTTATTTTTTGAACAAGTTTCTCAGTAAATTTAATATGAAAAGATCTTAAATAAGTTATATCACCCTGGTCTGCTTAATTAAGTAGTTTTATATATCAGACTATCCAACATTTCGCCATTTTCAATAGATGGTCAAACAGGTTAAACGATGATCCGATACAGATGCTACTTATATAAATGTTTATTAATTTTAAAAAAAATCACCAATGAAAAGGAATCATAATTATGACAATTAGGCTGGAAAATTAGTTAAAACTTATCCTCTTGTTTCAATTATGATTTTTTAAAGCTTGATTATCTCCGATCATACAGAGTTCCCTGATGTCAACGGTTTTGCCAGTCAGGCACGTTACAGCATCACATCATCTTCAGTGTTTGATCTTGAATACAACAAACTCGTATCAAACATCTGCAGTTAATTATGAGGTGTAATGTACACTGATGGATAAAACGAACCAACCTTAAATTTTTATGTATTTAGTTTTATTCATATTTTGCAAACAAAAAATAGGTTTGGTTGTAAAAATAAGACATTTAAAAAGAAAATTTTATTAGCTAATTATTTTTAAAAAAATAATAAAATAAAAAAGAGTACAGAAAAAAAAAATTAAAAGAAACTTTTTGTCCCCTTTAATACCAAGTATTTACACCTCTGGCATGAATCATGTTGTTAAATGCCTTTGCATTCCTTGGAAAAGATTTCAGATAAAATCCTGAGGAATTCTTTCCCATCATCAAGAATAGCAGTTTCCAACTTTTCTAGGGTGTTATAACCTGGGTTTAGCTGTGTACTCGTCGCTTAAATTGGTCTTAAATGTGTTTGATTGGGTTCAAATCTGGACTTCATCCTGACCAAACCAATCACTCAATTCCAACCTCATTCAGGTAGTGCTTTATGCTATGCATGCTTTATAGGGCCTGGCAATATCCTGCATAAGCAAGAATCTCTCACAAATGTGGGGAGGTGGGGTAATGATACTACATATTGTAATTACATCTGCGATGTTTGAGATCTTCCTCATGCGGGCATCCAAAAAAATGACTGCCCGGAACATCAATGACCCATCATGGAATGCCACAAGAGGAACTATACAGCATGGAGTCTACCTTTCTTCTGAGTGTCTCCATATGAAATTAGGCTCGCATGAAGTTTTGCTAAATCTCACCATATCTGTAAAAAGAACTTGTCCCCAATCTTTCTATGTTCAATTCATCGTAGAACACATTCGTGAGAATTAAAGCTGGGACATTTTCTGAGGTGTGCAAGAGCAAGGTATTTTCATTGAACCTTCTTCTTACAGTTCTGGAGGAAGTCGAAACATTTCTGACGACATCAGATTTCTTATCCCATTTCCTGTAATGCTGCAGTTTTGTAAGGCCTGATGACAAATGAATCTGTCGTCTCTCCCATCTGTAGACCTAGGTCGATCCTGTCCTGGCCATTTAGTATGAAGCCAAGCCCTGTTTTTCTGAAGCGCCGAAGAACCCTTCTTATTGTAGAGTAATCTACTGTCAGTCTTCTAGTGACTTCAAACAGACTGTATCTTTTCACTAATAATGTTATGACCCTGACACTATCATACCCTCAAATGCCTGACTGGAGCCATTGTTCAATTCTTAAAGGTTTAAGAATAAGAATAATATCAAATGAAATCAATGAAGGAAAAAGATAAACTGAAAGTGATTTTTAGGCGTAGTAGAATGGAAAGGCATAATGCTACTTTTTGCGCAAATTGGATTAATCAGTTCAAAAGTAAATAAAAGAAGTAAACAAGGTATTATTTATTAGAAAGATAATGGATTTAATTTTAAACTAAATAAATTGAGTGTGGCGTTAAATTTGTACATTGGTGTAATTTTCAAAAACCTGTTTGAAACTGTCTGAAAAGTTGTATGTTATTCTTACAGGATTATCGCCCAGCAGCATTCTTATATCAAATTTGTGTATTTTTAAAAATCTGATTTTACATTTTGATCATACATTTGTATCGTTCGGCCAACGTTAATTCCAATCAGTTATATTTATTTTGTTTAATTTCTTAATCCTTTTTTTCACTGCTTATCAGAGTCTCTGAGACGACGATTTTATGTAAAGGAAAGCTCAAATAACACAGCAGATCAAAGTTCAAAACCTACAGAGAATCCAGAAACGTCCAATGTTAAACATGAATCCTACGAGAATTTTTTTTCTCTAAAATATAGAAAAAGCATGGAAACTCTCCATTCAACACGTCAAAGCCGAATAATGGGAAATTTATCAGTTTAAAATAAATAAACAAACCGTACAAAAATACTTTAGTCGTAAGACTGTCACGATAAGAATATTAATTAACATATATAAAAAAATCAAAAAACAATACAATAAAAAAGTGACAACGAAAAGGGCGAGAGATATATAGACTAAAAATAAACTAATAACAAACTATCAGGTCAGAAAGAGTTCGAGATTGGAATAACTGGCGAGCAAGGTACAATCCGAATGTGCTCTGGGTACACATAAAACCGTGCCATTTGAAAATAATTCGATTAAAAAAGGAATAAAACATAAATGAGTATGTAAAATATATTGTTTGTTGTTTATTTTTTCTAAGTGGAAAGTTAAAAACCTAAAGGTGTGGGATACTGACTTGACTTTTCCAGTACACCACTGACAGGAAGCTCCTCTCCAGCCGTCAAAACAAACACAAGTACCGTTTACACATTCACCGTTAATACATCGAACATCCGAACATTTAGAACTTAAAGCTAGATTTATAAAAAACGAATAATAAAACGTCACTACAACGAGAAATATGCGGAACTTATTGAATTTCCGTCTGTACTTGGATTTGAAAAATAATAAAAACATTTGGACAAAATTTGACATCTTTCCACGGTCATTTCCGCGAATGGACTGCCTGCCTAGGGCATCGAAAGCTTAAGCTTTTTAGTTAGGATTGACGTCACAGTCCCAAGCGACGGGCGACCTTATCGATAACGAGGAAAAACTAGCTGGCCAATTTTCAACAGGTTTGTCAAACATTATGTTCCATTCGGTGAAACACAAATTTGAAAGAACAATTACAACGTACGAGGTACAATTTAACAACTACAAAAGTTATTTATCCTGAAGAAATACTACCCTAGCGGTAGTGTCATCTACTGATAAGGAGGAGACTCGTTTCAAACACAAATAAGCCCTAAACAAAATTCTAAAAAATTGTTAGTATTTTCTAAGGCAAATAGTTAGATAAGTGTTTTTTTCTTTATGATAACGAAAAGCCATAGAAAAGGACAAGGTTGACATTAACATTCGGCCCATTGCCTTGCTATTGGACAAGATTATCAAAAAAACCTTTAAGAATCGAGGGCACTATTACTAGCTGGCCTCCTAATAACTTCAGATATTCTCAACATTTTTCATAAATCATGGTTGCTGCATAGATATTTAGCCCACTGTCATTGAAATCACAATAAAAAAAATTAAATAAGAGATAGCCTTGATCAGCAGAGAAGCTCTTGAGTACTAAGGGCACACAATAGGTGCTGACAGTGAACCAGAGTCATTCTCCTCCTTATCAAAATAGGCCATACATGACTGACATATGCCATAGAGCTGAATATTCTTCGCTAAATAGAATTTGATGCAAATCTCAGTTTTGGACTTTTCTTTAAAATAACAATTATATGATTCAACTTTTCACGTAAGCAGGTATAACTATTAAATATATGATTATATTGTAGTGGGAAATATTTTTTGCAATACATTGATTTGATAGATTCATTAGATAAAATTATATTAACTTATATCTAGTAAATAAAAGTAAAAATCAATAATAATATGCATATAATTTTCCGTATTGTCAAACTAATAGTTGTTGTAAAATATAAACTTATACATATTATAAATTTGCCCGTAATTACACAAAATTATTATTTTAATTACGTACTTATTATATAATTTATTTTTTGAATGAAAGGGTTATTTATTGTTATTTAAGGTAAATTTACAAGTTTTTAAATTTTGGCGACGAGGAAGTCTTAGGTCGTCCTTAATATTTTCACAGAGCACTTATCAGCGCTACAGTCACTCATAAACGGCACTCACCAGATATCTGGCAATTATTGTAGATCGTTTTCTCCGAGTGAACAGTGCATTGTTTTAACAAATCAAAATTACATACCAGTCGATGGCTTTGAATCAGGCTTAGAAAACAAGCCAATCCTTGCTTAATTCTACATACTAAAATGAAAAGGGTTATCGTATTCAAGAATGGAAGTGATGTCGATGGAAAAGTATGTTTTCAATTTCATTTTTAAAATTGATTACAATCCTCTAATTCGAGCGTTTATCTAGGTCCTTTTGGTCACCCATTCATTAGACGAGCTGCTTAAGGCTGCTGGGCAAAAATTCGGCATCTCGGCTAAAAAGATATTCACTCAGAAAGGGGGTGAAATTGACGACATCAAATTGATAAGGTACATTTTTCAAAAATTTTCTGATTTATTTATCTACTGTGCTTATTAACTTAGGATTATTTCTAAACCTGACACTGCAACGTTTTTGTTTAGTCATCAAATTTTGCCAACATGCCTATTTAATTTTATACTCATCAAATTCATGCAGCATATAATTCTCTAAACTGAGACTATGGTAACATTTCTACTCAGCCCTTTTATTCTATTCTACAAAGCATTCTGTACAATTAAATTAGACTAGAGAAGGAATGGCCTCTGTATGACATATACATTGCGACCAGTATTGGTCTGTTGTGCGTTTCCAGTGTTGTCTAGAGCCTCATTAAGCTTAAGCCTTTTTACCAGATCCCAAAGCTTTTTCAAGGATCCGTGTGTGTATCCTTCAGGTCCGGGTTTTTTCTCTTCCTGGAGTAGGAATCTCAGCCTATTTAAGCCTTCACACCAACAAAGGTCATATTCCAGTTGTTCTTATTCCTGGCTGTTGCACAGGCTTGTTTCTGCTTTTTTCATCTATTATTCTAGTCTTAACACATCCTAGATTTAGTTCTCCCAATAGTTTCTGCATTAATTTCTGATCTTTTGACTATCTTTTTTGCACTCCTGTTCTTTTTTTTCTTTTTTTTACAGTGGATACCAGGAACTGGAGGAGGTCCCTTGAGTACTGCAGTTGTATAGCTTATTGTACTTTATTCCTGGTTCTTCTTGGTATTTTTTGTGAGCTTACAACACACATGAATTAAGTCCCTAGTGTGCCAGTGTTCTATCGAAGAAACTCATTCAGGATCACTGATATCCGAGCCTGCCCCAGACCTCCCATTGATGAGTGCCGTGCCAATTTCTTTCAGTTATGGCCATCGATCCCCTTAGGTGCCAGAAAAAAGTCCAGAGGTGGCAGTGAGGATCGAACCCACAACTGCTGGATCTACTAGCCTGTGTCTGATGCCTTAACCGCTTGCTACCGCAGCTCCCTTCATTTCCATTGATCATAGGACTTTTTTTAATCTGTTGTTTTAATCTATTTAATCAAAATTAAATCTAAGACATGTTAGGACTAGAAGGATAGGTGAACTGCTAACAGGCACTTCAGTTCTCATAGGCATATAGGCTCGGAACGGCAGTGTGCAGATATCGCTTTGTCCTTTGTTGGTGTGAAGACTTATTTAGGCTGAGATTCCTATTTCTTGGAGAGGAAAAGCCCTGACCTGAAGGATACACATGGGAGACCAAAAAAACATTTGGGATCTGGAAAAAGCCTCAAGCTTAACGATTGGCAAGTTATCAATGAAGATGTACTATAGACCTATAGTGATCTGCATGTTGTAAAAGGCTCAAGACTCCTCTAATCTTCTTTCTAATCTCTAAGCAATCTTCAGAGGCTCACGTTGCAAACCTCACACATAGCTGATTTTCTATTATAATAACATTGATTATAATATTTTCACCATTTACCTACCTTTTTGTTCATACTCACTGAGTGAGGTAGTCACTGGATTTGACAGGTTAACTGTGGACACTTGTGGAATGGTATATTGAACAGGTGCAAACAGTAATTATGTAGAGTGAAACAAAACAGCAGTCATGACAGCAAAGTCTGGGATGCCCCAGTCAATTTTACACCCATTGATGTAAAATCCTAAATAAATATCATAAAACATGTATAGTAGTATCATAGGTCCTGACAGACAAATTTAATTTTGAAAAAATTGTGTATAATTAATTGAGTAATTATACATTTAACAATAAGCTGAGAAAAGTAATTAAAAAGGTAGTATTAATCCAGAAAAATACCGGTCCCGCTAGTGTAGTACAATCGTTAATAAAAGTTTTCTATATGAAGCCACGATTTGCTTACAATTGGAATAAATGGGAAGTTTGTGGCATGGGCGACCAAAGTCACGGTAGCTCAAGTGGTAGAGCAGCGGCGTGTTTAGCTAAAGTCGTGGGTTCAACTCCGGCTTGTGACACAATTTTTCATTTTGAGAAAATTGTGTAAAATTAATTGAGTAATCAAGAATTTGTGTGAATACGTATAACTATAACTGTATCAGTAGACCTTAGAACCTAACTTCAGTGAATAAATTGGACAACACTGAGCTAATATAATAATCATGGTCTACCATGCGGAGAGGTGATTCTCATGTTTTGTCAACTGAAATATGATTCTAATTAACCGTTTAATATATCTTAATAGAAAAGACTACAATACAGAATATTATGGATGTATATTTAACAGGATGCTGTTTTAAAAATTTGTAATTAATTGACAATAACAATTATTTTTGAGTTATGAAATTTATGTTCTTGTTGACATTCTTGAGAGGTAATGGTTTATTTTTTTAGGGACGATGATATTCTTTACGTATCTGGTGGCGAGGGTTTCATTTCTCAAGTTGATTCTGTCAATAACAAACTCAATAGCCTTTCACTCCAGCAAGAATCCTCAAATGCCGCCATCATTGCGGCAACAGTTGAAATGAAAAAGGAGAACAAACATCCTGGACATTGGATTACACTGAATGTCGGAGGAAAGTATTTTACGACATCAAGAAGTACACTCGTCAGCAAAGAGCCGAACTCGATGTTGGCCAGGATGTTCGCAGAAAGAGAATCTGGGTATTTCATGAGCCCGAGCAATGTCGACGAAAAAGGAGCATACCTCATTGACCGCAGCCCGACTTATTTTGAACCTATATTGAACTACTTGAGGAATGGACAGCTTGTATTTGATAACAACGTTAATCCTGAAGGCATTCTTGAAGAAGCTCGTTTTTTTGGAATCGATTCAGTAATTCCACACCTGGAAAGCCTTGTATCTGCTGGACAACAGACGAGAGACAATCTTCCTTTAACAAGAAGAGATGTAATAAATGCCTTGATCAAGACATCATTTAACACTGAACTGAGATTCCAAGGTGTCAATCTGGCTGGATCTGATCTTTCAAGATTGGATCTCAGATTCATCAATTTCAAAGTACATACTTTTATAATTTTAAATTAAATTTTTTTAATGTAAATTTTTTTTTAGTTTGCATGTTTACACGGATGCCGAATGGTGGGTGCAAACTTGAGCTATTGCTGCCTTGAACGAGCCGATCTGTCTCATGCAGTATTAGAAGGAGCACAACTCTTAGGAGTGAAAATGCTTTGTGCCAACTTGGAAGGAGCTAATCTAAGAGCCTGCAATTTTGAAGACCCAACAGGAACAAGAGCAAACATGGAAGGTAAATAAGTAAAATAAAATCTTACTTTACATTAAATAATTATTTTAATTTTTTTTCAGGTGTCAATTTGAAAGGAGCAAATTTGGAAAGCAGCAATATGGCTGGTGTTAATTTGAGAGTAGCTAATCTAAAAGGGGCTAATCTTCAAAATTGTGACCTACGAGCAGCTGTTCTTGCTGGCGCAGATTTACAGGTATTTTTTTTTCCCTTTTATACCAATTATTTTATAACAAGCGTAAAAAAAGGACAAAGTTATCAAAACTGCTACTTGATTTTTTTTAGAACTGTGACCTTTCGGGCAGTGATTTACAAGAGGCGAATTTGCGTGGAGCTAATCTCAAAGACGCTTCCCTTGAGTTAATGCTGACTCCTCTCCATATGTCACAGACTGTTCGTTAATACCATTTCCCTCTTCAATGGGAAATACATTTATATGTCAAGTGAATAATAATCATTTTGGAAATGTATACATCTTACTTCCTATTTATATTGATTTGGCTGTGTCATATAATTTATGAATTTTTGTGATAATAGTCTGTACTTATATAATTGTACTTATTTATTGTTGGCTAAATATCTAATTAGAGTTTTTATATATTTTTTGGTGGGGAGGGTATGGTATGGAAAGTATTATTTTTTGCTGAATACTGTGATTATGGTCTTTTTTTTAATTAGACTTACTGCTGATTGGTTTTTAACTATTCAATTTATGTAAACTATTACGCATTTGATTTTGAGACAAATAAAATTGAATTTATGCTTAAAGTAGAAAAGTAATGTAAACCATACATTAAAAATGTATTGATTCATTATTGATCTGAGATGTAGACTATAACTGATTATCTTGCATTTTAATTCACTGCAAATAAACACAGACATTTACTGTTTATGTTTAATAATTTCTACATTTTTCCTTAAATTTTTCTTTTAAATTAATTTATTTATTTATCGATTTTTTTAATACTCATAGTAGTTGTATGTTTATAAATTGGGCAGGAATTGTTGTGTGAAAAAAGGTGGAAATCGAACCCTCAACTGCAGGGTATAAAAGCCGACATGGCCCAACCAACATGACAATCATTCAGCTACCGCGGTCTATCAGAAACCTTTTATTTTATTTTTTTAAATAATATTCTGCTTTGCTTTTTTATACTATATGTTGAACTGGCACTAGATTCATCTCACTGAACATCATACAAAGCGGAACCTCCAAGTGTAGACTGATCCAGTGCTAATTCAACATGAAATGTTTTTCTTATTAAATGTTCGTAAATTGTAACTTTTAAACAATTTTTAAAAAAATTAAGAATCTTAAGAAAAATGATCTTACATGATCTTGTTAAAAGAAGACTATTGTAAACTTGGAATTAAAAATATAACACCGTTTTATTGGGACCCAACACTGAAGATGGTAAAACCAATAGAACAAACCAGTGAATATAGGCAGACTAAGACTGATCAGTAGCGACCAATTTTAAACAAATGCTTAAAAGTAAAATTCCAAACTTTATTTAACTGTGAAATCTTTTACATTTTGAAGCATTGAACAAGATTACTGTCATAAATAGAAACTGCAAATATAGAGCCCGATAAGGTCAGAAATTTACCTCCAACTAGCATGCAATCTTTTACCTGAGAAGAGAATTTATGCACAACCGACTGAAACAAAACAGCCCAATATGTTTTAGTCAGAAAATGTTAAATTTTAACATGGAAATACTTACAATATTATCTTGTTTGACAATTTGCCAGATTTTAGCAAAGGAATCTTCAGATACAGAGAGGACAAAGCCAGATTCTGGAGCGACGTCTATTGCCGTTATCCACTTAGCATGAGCGCAGACTTCAGCGGAGAGTGTGACCTCCCTCCTGTTCTCGTTTATCGAAAAGAGCCTTATATGGCCGGAGCCGTATCCTGTAATAAGAATGTTCCTCCATATCTGTATACTCGTGCATGCCGAGCCATAGCTGGCGATGTTCGCCCATTGGATCATTTCTTCCGGCGTTATTGAAGAGAGCACAATTGATCCGGCATCATCGCAAGAAGCCAGAAGTTCCTTACAACAGGCCAAGTCCGCTATCGGCGAATTGTGCATCTGCTTTCTGTCTATGAATATCAAGTTTCCATCGTCGGCAATCCCAAACATCCTGAGAACACCGCTATTATTACCTATTCATTTTTAAAACGGTTAGTCTGAGCTTGGCAACGCAATGATAAATTGACCATACCGACACAAACGTAGTCTCCCGGAGGATTAGCTAGGCCCCTGGCAAAATGTTCTCTATCCTCTGGAGAATCATTGCAAGCATGAGAAAATCTCAAAGCAAGAGTACTTGAGTCAAATATTTGAAGGCCTACAGTTGAAGCGACAACAAGACATGCTTCATAATTAAGGTAACACCACATAACCTAGTTAAAATGTTATTTTAAGAATTCAACATACCATCTCACAGGCGATTCTGATTATTAAATTCATTAGAAAACAGCAATTTTATAACATTAAATTTATGAAACTAGTACCCTGAGAGGCAAAACAAGTTACCTACTTATTTATGATACTTATATTTTCAAATACTCTTAAGGACAAAGTTATAAAATATATCACAAAATTATTTTTGTACTCTTCCAGTAAATTTATATTTAATTTCTTAAGTGTTTGGATTGTTTTACTGTCCTTGTGATAGCTCATTCTAAAGGGGTTTATGCAAATGCTGGTTATTGTAAGCAGCAAATTGAACTGCTTTTCAAAACTTAAAAAGATGCATGTAGTGTAAGCATTGGCACTGACATTTACAAAAATAAAGTCTTCAATAAATTACACAAAAGCAACTATTACAATTCATCATCAATGTACAGCTGATAGAGGCATGCATAAAGTTGAATGCGAGCGGCCAACCAAAAAAAAATTACAAGGGTATTGAAACTACGAAGTTATATAAACCCTCGGGATGCTGGTGTTTTGGGTTAAAAATCGGTACCTTCACATTAGTGATGAGTAGATATATTTGACCTGCCTCAGGGCTAAGATATAAAGTTGATACATAAATTATAACAGAGACCAACATTAGAAATGGATAAGATATTTGCACATCTACTTTCATGCACGATAGACTGCACTGGTCATGGTGCACAAGTCATAAAGAGGCTGGCTCCTACATAATCACCTACTTTTGATGACAATGCAATTAGACAAATTAAAACCATTTAATAATTAAAATAAAATTTGCTGGACAATAACGTCGACATCAGAAGCTTCCAGAATGCCCTGCCTAACGTATTTCACCTCCATCTCCACAGCTTGTCTAAGAGCTATTCAAAGTTCTCAGAAAAGAAGACTTAACATGCTCAGTCTCTTTTGAAATTTTGAGCTGTGTGAAGTTCTTAACAAATGGCAAATCTTCTCCACCGAAGGTCCAGCAGGAGTCTTCACCTTACAGTGTGCAATCCAACCTTTTCCAGTCAGATGCAGATAAACTTATATCCAACAGAGATATGGCCCAATAACAAATTAGTGATCAGAGCTAAGCTTTCTCAAGTACCAATTCTTCCATAATGACATAAATCCCCTTGTACAGTTAGTTCTTGTATTCTGGAAATGTTGAATAATGTAGGTAGTAAACTTCTGCATTCAATAACGCTACATTTTTAACTAAATCTGTGGTACATAAAAGCATATAACATAAACATGCATCTCATGAAAGAGCTGAATACCAAAACAATAAGTTAATCTGCATACTCACCCCACCTTTATTAATTAATAAGGGGTGGTGATGATTTAAAGAGTATTATCATAATCCAATTATTAAGGGTTTGTTTATTATTTGTCCTAATCCTTTAAAACCGTAGATATGATTTTGTATTATACTCAAAGATTTATGTAATACAAAAATAAAACATGGGAGGCAACTGTTTTTGCCACTCAGCGTATGTTAGATTAAACAAATGTGTTACGAATATTTTTTACATAAAAATAGAAAGTGTTTGGAATTAATACCTGGGTTACAGTTGCGGAATACCTATCAGCACTGTCAGTACAAGATATGTACTGCGAGTTAATGTCTTGCGACCTTGTTGGAATTATGTTAATATATCCGCTATGTATTACGCCTATCGCTTCTGAAGATCTCGAAGGGTCCAGGAGTTTACAGCTCAAATTGTTCGGCAGGGCTGAAGCAGTTGCCACAAGCAGAAGCGTCTTGTCTTTCTCGTACATTTCTTAATACAGAAGAAGCAACTAAAAACGACACTCGAGCAGGTTTTGTTTAGAAGCACAGTCTCCATAGTTACTTGTCATATCAAACAAAGCATAGTTAATGGCAGTTTCTTAATAAAGATCACGAGAATTGTTGCTTGCAACTCTTAAATGGGATTAAACTAAGGTGATATAGCATTTTTCAAATTAAGATTGCTAGTATATACTGTATAATTATATTATATTTTTAATAAGAAATAAGATACCTATTGGATAATAACAGTAGGTCAATAAGCTAAATTTTGCAGTACTCAATGAATAAAGAAATATAATTTAATACGATGATTATTCGGAGATCTCACCATCATGCTAATCCTCTAGCTGTTCATCATTATTACCAATTTTTTATTTCCTTGTCCTTGCCCATTCTTCTCTTGTCTAAAAAATATCTATAAAAATTATAGTTATTTTATTCCTTTTATACAATACCATTCTGATAATTTGCATCATTTTAACAACGCAAGAAAAAGATAAAAGCGGTAGAAAAAATAATAGTGGTAACGATTATTTGGAGATCGTGAGATGCAGTCTGGTGTGACGTAGGTTTTAGAAAACATTTTCTTTATCGTGCCAACTTTTCGATGTTTAGATCATCTTCAGGGCTCAAAGCGTTTGTTTCCTGTGTAATTGTACCATTCTTGTGTGTCGTGGTGAGAGTGACACTAATCACCACACATAATTTAATACATTATATGTATTATGAAACAGAAAAATGTACTGTAACATTTAAAATAAATAAATATCTAATTATTACATACATGTTTTTGTAATGTAAAATTATATATACAGTTATTCAGATATCGATTAACGGTCACTAATCTCTACACATTATATATACACTAATCATCATTGAAAATTAATAGGACTAAACTTTTGAAATATATGAAATTTGTCTCATTTTGAAAACTCTTTTTTTTAAATGAGGATTTGTAATAGCAGAAATCATATCAATCCTCGGGGTGGAGGTGTTTTTAAAAAATGTCCATTTGTAGCATAGAACTGCTGTTAAAACTGAACTGCAGTTCAAATGCAGCTGCATTTTTGAACCTTTACCTACTATGATGAGCGCCATGTCAACGCCTAAGCCATTATGACGCCCCCTTTGGTTTGTCTTATTTAAAACTGACAATTACACTCGAATTTCGTGTTAAATCTTCTGTAAAATTTGAAGAAAAATAAATTATTAACTGATATTAAATGTTATGTTTATTATTTTATTTAGTTAGCATTAAATTTGTTTACAAAGTTATCATTACAGGAAGTACAAAAAATTTGAACAACTGCCATTTTGCAAAAGTAAGTAAAGTAATCCCTGTACAGGAGGGCTTAAAGTCCGTCCAACTACTCATCGAGTCACGGATGAAGGCTCAAACCACTTAACAATTCAGGATTGGAACCAGATCTGCTAGCCTGACAAATCCTAACCACTTGCCCACCTTGGTCTCCAAAGCTTGAGTATATTATTTGGTCATCATTATGAGAAGTACGAAAATGTATATAATGTGGATTCACAACTGCAGCAGTACTACACAAATAAAAGTATAATTTGTAATTACTACAGAACAATTACATTATACAAAAATAAGGTAGAAGGAATCATACGTTACCTAATCCAAACTACATTTTACACCACAATTCATTTTTTTATTCGGTTATTTGTCTTTTAACCTATAAGACCCGGAACGCCGTGTAGTAAATATTACTGGATCGACTTCTGGTTTTTAAAGTAAATAACATATAAAAAATAAAATAAGTATGAAATTCAAGGTCAATAACGATGTAGGAAGTATGATAACAGTGAAAAATATGGTCCAAAGTGTGGGACTAGGAATTAAAAAAAAAATAAATTACTCACAAATTTACAAGATTGCATATATTCAATGAACTGTCATCCTCATATTCTCTCTCAAAGGTATATCATTTATATATATTTTAAATTTAACAGTTGTTCTTTTTTTTCATGTTTACATATTGTATATATATATGTATACACATACATACATAGCATCATCAAAATGAAAGTATTATCATACATACCCCATATGTACTATTAATTGTTCTACAGTAGTTTCTTTTTTTCTTCTTTTTCATCAATTGTAATAGCTAAGGTTTTTTTTTCGATACACATCTATACACATATAAACATGTATATATGTATATATACATATATAGACGTATGTATATATGTATGTTTATATATTTATAGCATGTATAAACCTAAGAGAAATTAAAAACTACGCACTAAACTTAATTATTTAAAAAATTATTTATATTTATTATTTAAAAAAAAAAGAAAAGAAAAATAAAAAGCTGAAAATTAACACAGGAGTTTTGAAATTTAGTAAACAATTTTTTTCTTTTTACATTAAAATGGACAATTTTCAGGGCACAGTCAAATGATAACATTTTACATCAATTAGCAAAAAACATTTTTCATTTTGAGAGAGAGATAGAGAGAGAGAACCATTAAAAATAATTAAACATTGTGTTTGGTTCCTCTCTCTTTTTTCCTTTTTGTTGCCATTTTTTTTCTTTTTGGAGTGCCCATAATAACAAAAATAAAAAATAAATCTCACAAAATTTAAAAATAATGCCTCTTGAAATATTTATAAACCACATATCAGACTGACCATTATGTAAAGCATCACCGATAAAAAATAATAACAATAAGCTTATTTATATTTGATATATATATATATAATTTTTTTTAATACAAAAATTGTTTGTTTCATAAATTGTGTAGTTTTAAAGAAAATAACAAAACTTAAAAAATTGGACACAGAAAATTTTGTTTGCCCTTTTTAAATAAACGTTCAAGATTTTTTTGTATTTTTTTTAAATATTTTCTTTGTATTATAAATATTTATGATCACCACAGAAGTGTTTCTTTTCAATGTTTTCCTCCCCATCAGTTTCACTCTCTTCTTTCTTTTTGCCTCCATAAGTCCTTTTGTGTTTTCCACTTACACGTTATGCTCACTTTATCTTTTAATTTATAATAAATAAACAATAAATAAAACCCCTGTGATGTTTATTTGAAAGTATTTTACTTGCGCCTCACCCAAATCTGAATATACAATAATAATAAAAATACAATTCCGACAAAACCTAGGCTGGAATAAATTTTCTACTTATATACAATACAATTCAAAATTATATAATGGGAACCACAAAAGCTGATTTTGTTTTTTTAAATATCTATTTACTTTTAGTTAGTTTTATGTATATAATTATTATAAAATAGGTTTTTTTTTTGTTGATTAAGTAAAACCTTTTGTTGCACCCACTATATCATATACATATATTTGTTTTAGAAAAACTTCATAACCTTGTATACTGCCAGTGGGTTATGTGTTTAATAGCAGGATTTTATTTTTTTAAAGAATACAGGGATATGATACAAGTATTTTGTTGAGAGTTACAAGGTTACGAAATTTAATTGCCATCCCAAATAAACCATCTAAAGGAACAATTATATTAATGATAAATGTGATATATATAATAACAACCGAGGTTTGCTACTATCGGTGAAAAAAAGTTAAAATGAAAACCATAGTAATTAAATTTATTACAAGTACAAAATATATTAGAGGCACATTTTATGGAGTTATTTTACTAAGTACATTTTCAAATATTTCTCTTCTGTAGTATGTCAATTGTAGTGAGAACATTTTTAAATTTTTTTTTTCTTTTTTAAATGCGATTCAAAAACGATTTTAGGAAATTTCAAGAAATTAAAATGAGAAATTTTCATTAAATCGTGTTTTCATCACAATTATTATATAAAAACTTGTGACTAGCTAGCTGTTTATATTTGTAATGTAGTCTGTTTCGTTTTTTTGAAATTACCTAAAAATAAAAGATAAAATGCCTTAACTTTATAAATTTGTTGCTGTCCTCTTTTCATAAAAGTCTGTACACCCTAATAATTCTTCCTTCTTTTTCTGTTAATATTCACACACAGCAGACAAAAGACACACACTGAATATTTGTTTTTTATGATATTAGAATCATCATGCTGCAAACTGTTATCACTTTGAAGAGCTTAAAGTTGTTCATACAAAAAATAAATTAAACAAAAAGAAAGAAGGAGAAGACAACGACGAAAAGGAAAGAAAAGAATAAAGTTCTTTCCCCTTTATACTACTATAACTTCACTTTTCACAATCTTCTTGTAAAAGAAATAAACTCGTTCACAAGCCTCTTCAGGGTTTCAACTCTTCAATGGACTTCAGAGGGTTCAGGTTTCACCACATGGTGGTTTGTTGGATCTGCACTGCTAAGAGGCTGAAAAAATATAAATATTTTAAACATACATTTAATTTAAACGTATTAAATAGATTTATCAATTACCATATCTTAAACGAGAGAAGTCCGTTACATCAATATTTGTTTCCTGATAAAATATTATAATTTTTTTATTTAACATCTTAGAATGTTCTCTATGTTACTGAATTTACTATTCCGTTCTACAATATGCATATCGCAATAAATTAAATTCTTCTCTCAAATTTAAAATGCCTTTAATTTTCTCTAAGATGCTTCACTTATCTCAAAAATGGATTTTTGTTCTAAATCAGACTACATAATTCATAAATAATTCACTCAGTGATATTCTGAGTGTAAAGGTGAATTTTTGGGGAGGGATGTAATTTCAAAGTGGTATTCATGTGGTGTTACTGTTATTTTCTATCCTCCAGCAACTGGAAGAAAATTAGCACTATTTATGTAAACGTCACTGGTAGAGGTTTGGTGCCAAAAATAACACCTAAAACTGTGAAAACCATGAAAAAATATACTGTTATCAAAATTTTACTCGTGACCAACAGAATCGGTCATGTCAAAAATAATTCCAATATAATAATCGTTTTGCTGGTTTACCACTGGAGCCAAATGATATTTCTTTTGCTGAATGATATTCTCTAGTGCTATACCTATATGTTTTGATGTATTGAATCAACTCTGGTAGCATTCAGCAATCATTCTACAAATTCTGAAGAAATAAAAGTACAATAAAAAAAATTATTTAGTAAACAATTATTACTTCTCAGAAATGTTCAAGGTGACGTTTTTCCACGTATAGGTTTATATAGAACTTGTAAGAAAGCTGAACATGATTTTCACACTATTTTCAGTTTTGTCCAGATTTAGAATATCCCAACTTATCTTACATTTATAAATCTTATAAAATTAAAAATGAAAAGTTAGAGAGCAGCTACATAACCCACACTTAATTTTGTTATAAGGTAACACCAACTCATTGTTAGAGATGAGAACAGTTTCTATATATTTTATTATTACAAATCAGAATCCTATGAATCTGAAAACTATATTTAAAAATGGGGAAGCAATTACTAACACCACATTTTTTATTTTATGCTTCTTCAATTCTTTGCCATCAGTCTAAATTTGTTCAAGTATACTGCATTTAAGCATAATGGATTTACATATGGTTTAAATTTTAAAATATATTTGTTTCATAATGTATTAATAGTGTTGACTTTTAGTGTTTCTTACAATTTGGAAATTTCAAAATTGCTAATAAATCATAAATTAAATGAAAGAGGATAATGAATAATGCAATTTTCTAGCAAAATTAAATGTGTATTTCACAAACTGTCGAAACTTTTGTAGGTAAATTCCTCTTCTTATGTGTAATTTAGATTATATAAATGGTATAACTGTCAATTCTTTCCAATTATTGGTTTTACAAATGGATAAATGTGTATACTTCAGTTTAACCACAAGAATTTAAATCCCTAGAATTCATCACAATTATGACCAAGGGAACAGTATAGCACGTTTTAAATTTTATTGTTCTCAAATTGTGTCTAAACGTTATGACTGAACTTATAAAATTAAAAATGAAACATTTAAGTTTTATAAATATATTTTTATGTACAAGGATTTTGCAAGTATTAAAGTAAACGTGGGTAATTTAATTGGTTCTGCTGTTTTGATGGCATAGTTATTGGAGAGAAAAAGATTAATTTCAATGGAAATGCACATAAACAGTATTCCCAGAATGCTAAGAACCACTGGATATTAAGAGTATATCAATTGATTTGATTGAATACTTACAATATTGTGTGGAATCTGCTGCTGAGGTGGTGGTTGCTGGGGTTGTGTGGGAGGTTGAGGAGGCTGGGCTGCGGAATGAGGTACAGTATCATGAGCTGTAGTTGAGTGGGCTTGCTGTACCGGAAGTGCTGACGCTACCACACCCGCACCTGAACCTGCACCTGCTGCTGCAGCTGCAGAGGAATAATAGCCACCGTTGATGCCAGCTGAAAATCATACAAGTAAGAACGATTCCTTTTAAAGTAATCGTACTGGGATTGAAATATTCCCTTACATGACTTACCGTCAGGTGCGGACACGCCTGGGTACCCAACAGCAGTTGGGAAGTATTCTTTGTTCACACAATTTCTGAGGCACTCTGGTATGCGACCAACAATCGCTCTCCTAATTTCTGAAGCGGCCATCTCCCTGAGCTCCGTACACGATGCATCAGAATAGAAGGCTGCATGTGGTGTTACAAGAAGATTTGGAGCATCCTTTAATGGTCCTGTAACATTTTATATTGTTATATTCTTGTTTTGCTATGTTATTAAATGGCAATTTATTACGTTGGTCTCCTTGGAATGCATTATAAGGCTCAGATTCATGAACATCAAGAGCCGCAGCACGTATCCTCCCTTGCTTCAATGCAGTTGCCAAGGCTTCATCATCAATCAAACCACCTCTAGCTGTATTCACCAAAAATGCTCCTAAAAATACTCAGTTGATCAGACTAATGTTACATTATTGATTAATATTATTGTTTCAAGTATTATTTTAATTAGAAGTGTTACACTATTTTGAATACTTGAAACGGAACTAGAACACAATAAATTAAACAATAAACACAAGAATTTTAATTTTTAGATTACATACATTGTTTAGATTTAATTATTATTACTAACCTGGCCTCATTTGCTTGATTGTAAAGTCATTAATAAGGTGGTGATTATGTTCATTCAAAGTACAATGAAGCGAAACACAATCTGATTGGAATAAGAGATCCTAAAGAGAAAAATAAATTAATAAAAATCTACAACTTAAGAATGATAATTTACTTAGCATAAAGCATTATTACCTGTAAGGTATAAACCCTTGTAAGACCCAAACTTTTTTCAATACCATCCGGCAAATATGGGTCATAAAAAATTACATTAAAACCAAAGGCTTTTGCTCTGAGTGCTACTGCTGAACCGATCCTGCCGAGGCCAATTATGCCAAGAGTGTCACCCCGGATTCTTGCACAACCTTGTGCGGCTTCCCGTACCTGTTCAGGCCCTGTAAACTTTTTGCCTTCCCGTACCATATTTGCTAACCAATATGTCCGCCTACAAGACAAAAAGATTATTTAAAAATATATATATTAGACCAACATGTTATTAGTATTTATTTTTAAAAAATTCACCTGTAAAGATTGAGAATAAGACATAAGGTTGTATCTGCTACTTCTTCGACACCATAACCAGGAACATTACAAACAGCAATGCCCAATTCACCAGCAGCTTTGACATCAATGTTATCAACACCACTTCCTATTCGAACAATGATCCTAAGGGTTTTAAATTTTTCCAAATCTTCTTTCGTTAGAACTATGGTGTGCCACATTAAAGCTCCGACAGCTTCATTTAATACCTAGAATATATAAAATAAAAACTCATACTTGAAAGTAGGTCGTTGACTTCTTAAAACAAAGTTTGCGTATCATTCTAACAAGTTTTAGTATATTTATACTATGCAATGAATCTCAGAAGTTATATATCATGAATCGTCTATGATTCACTAGCAAACATTTCTGCTCAGGTTCTGTCCCCTGCGCTTAATTTCATCATAGATTCCAACTGAATAAGTAAAATTTATTAATTTCATTGTTTTAATTGGTCCTATTGCTAAACCAGAAGGTTGAGGGTTCGAGTCCCGCACTAATCTTTTCACCAAAACCACACTTTACATAAAATTATAAATCACTGAATAATTGCTTAGGTTCAGCAATAGGACCAATTAAAACATAATATAATAATTACTTGAAAGACCAATACTTTGCTAACAGCTCCCTGTGGCCTCTTCAAGTTTGTCGAGAATCCAAAACGATTAAACATAATTTGAATATGATGCAAAAAAGAGGGGAATTTGAAAAAAGTTGTAGGTTGAGTGTGGTATCTCGGGGGTACAGAAGTCACAATAGCTTAAGTGGTTAGCACAGTGATGGATTTGAGTTTCTCATTTGTGACACTAATCTTTTCATCTCAACCACCCTTTACATAAAATTATAAATTTAATTACCTTTTCATGGATCTCAGAAGTAGACTGAGCATCACAGAATGCAACTGTGGCTACATCTTTAAGTATCGGCATTTCAATGGAACAGTCACGCCCATCGAGGAGGGCGACAAGTGGTCTCGTCTGCATGGGCCCATTCGCAATGGGACCTCTGAGTGCATCTAACCTTGGGCGTTTGGCCAGCATTTTCCGCTTATCCATTATATCACGCATTCATCATACACCACTTATTGTCCCTGAAAAAGAAATATAATAAAACAAGTGGCCAGTTGGGGCAATAGCTTCATTCTACTGTCAGAATCATAGATCAAAATGATTTATGAACGTGGAAAACGGATTGAGAATAACAAAGTAAACTGTAACTGTTATTCATTCATGACAGTTTTGTTTTCTCATGCTGTTATGGGTTATTTTAGTGTCCTATCCTGACTCAACACAGGGTTAGATCAATGGGTACATGGGATCACGATGAGGGCTTAAAACAGAAATTAACTTTGGACTGCTTTGACGATAGTGCACAAAACAAAGATGTGTCGATGACCTGGCAGTTCTTGTGAAGAGAGGAAAACTCCAGCTAATTCTTCCGCTGTAAGTTTGTTAAATCTACGCATAACCATTGGTATCAACAATATATCTAACTATCAACAAAACACAAAGTTAAGTTTGGCCAAGATTGGCTGTTAAAACTGCGTGGTCTAGTTTTTTTTTTTTTTTTTACTGGGCATCCTGAATTAGCTTTCGAGGAATCTATAAAAAAAAACATAAATGACCATATGACGGAACTTCACCCTCACACGTACAAAGTAATACAATAATGAAGAAATATAATACAAAATAACACAATATTAGGGTTTTTTTTTTTTTTTTTTTGACTGAGAAGTACTGTAACTGCAAGTTAATGGCCAATGGTTGAAGCTTTAATTCCAGCACGTGCCCCCACCTTTCATATTTTAATTACTTTTTTATCATCCTCTCAATTAATAATTTATGGTTTTGATGTCAAGGCCTTCTTTTAAGCTACCAAGAAGAAAAATCTGTGAAACGGTTTGGCTGAAATTTTGATCGACATTTACAATGATATATAAAAATATAGTTTTTGTGTCAATCTAAAATTGTGATTAACCAACATGGAATTGTTATGGTTGGATAAATAGAGCAAATAAACAGAGATATAAGAAGAGATTAGTCTTTGATATAATCCATAGTACTTTTGTAGTAAACAATTAAACGTTTTCACAAAAACATTTTTATCTGAGATCACTTTTAAAATCACTAATTACTATCAACAATAAATTCATTTACCAATTCCAGTCTTCAAAATATTACCTTTGGCTTCATTGAATTCTACAATATTACTGTTTATACAATACTACATGACTTTAGTCAATACAATTCTGAGACCCTAGTCAAAAAGATTTATTTAACATCGTCTCTTTCAACCCATTTTAAAATTCTGGTCACACATCAACTTTTCAAATAGTAAAAGTGGATTAAACAAGGGAGCAATCGCTAGGATAAAGTGAAATCCAGAAATAATGCACCTGACAGAAAAACAAAAAAAACAGCAAGAAAGGCAAATAAGGATGGCAGATCACCATTTTATCATTCAGACTCAACAATTTGGAGACATAAAATGTTTTAAAGTAAATTTTTGTAGATGGCATTGTAAAACTGCATTATTTCTATGGGAAAAATGTGTTCACATTTATATATAGAGTGTACCATGAACAGACGTCAATATTTCAGGAGAAATTATAAATGTCATATAGGATTAAAAAGTCCATAGTCTGATTCTCAATTGTATTCAAGATATTTCATTCCAAATTAACGTTTAATTGCTAAAAATTTGATTTTTCCGTTAGATAAAGTTTAAAAAAATTACATGAACACGACAATTAATGGATGACAAAAAATTAATAGCTTTATCCCTGGTAAAGTGCATCACATTTAATCAATTGAATACTGAACAATATTCAAATTCTTCTTATCTTCATATAATATAAATCTTTATTGTAGTTAACAAAAATAAAAATGCCAGTAATGCATGCTTTTTAATATTAATAAACTGTATGCTAGATGATAATGGGTTGGAAATAAATAGTTCCACAAAATCAAATGAACACCATCAAAAAACTTGTATGCTAGAAATTATCTGTTCTTGCAATATTAAAGTTTTTCAAAAGTTTAGAAATAAGTACTCATGGTAGTTCTGTTAGAAATTAATATATTTATCTCTGGGAAATATTTAATCATTTGAATGCTAAAAAGTATTTAAATTCTTCTTATCTTCATATAATACTAATATTTAAATTATAGTTGCCAAAAAAAATTGCCGGAATGAGCTGTATGCTAGAAATTATTTCTATTCTTGCAATATCAGCTTTTTTATGTATATGATAGTTTAGAAATAAGTGATCATAATTAGTTACCATGCAAATCAATAGATATGTCTCTGGTAAAGTCCATCATATTTAATTAATGCTGAAAAGTATTTAAATTCTTCTTATCTTCATATAGTACAAATATTTAAATTAAATTGGCCACTAAATTATTGGCCAATAATGAACTAGAACAGTAGGAATAATTTTTAATTAACTGAATACTAGCAATTATTTCCATTCTTGCAATATTAACGTTTTTTATATGGGATAGTTTAGAAATAAGTGCTCATGGTAATTCAGATGGAAATTAATAGATTTATCTCTGGCAAAGTTCATCATATTTAATTAATGCTGAAAAGTATTTAAATTCTTCTTATCTTCATATAATACAAATATTTAAATTATAGTTGCCGAAATTGGCCAATAATGAACTAGAACAGTAGGAATGATTTTTATCAAATGTATGCTAGGAATTATGTCTGTTCTTGCAATATTAGCTTTTTAGAAGTACTCAGGTTATAAGTCTCATAGTTGGTTTCCACGAAAATTAATAGATATCTCTGGCAAAGTACATCATATTTAATTATTTGATTGATGGTCAATATTAAGTCCTTATCTAAACTGGTTGGTAATGAAGTACAACAGTAGGTTTGATGTTTAATGAACCATCTGAACTGTATGGTTCTGGGGTTTTGTACATGTTGATCAAACTGGAGGGGAGTAATAAGTCCATAATTTATTTTGACTGGGAAAGAAGAATCACATAGTTTTACAAGAAATTAAGAGACAAAAGCCAATATATGGGAATCGTGGTGTTTAAAAAGAAAATGGTGATAAACTGGTAGATATTGTGTTGAAACAGTCTAAAGTTTTGGAGGGGGATGCTCATAAAGAGGAGTAACTAAATCAAAGTTGCTCACAACTTGTTCTCTAGACTTGTGCTCGGGAGTGGGGCTGAATGAAACTGCGTCAAAAGGGGGAGGAGGCAAAAACAGGGAAAGAGGAAACTTCTTAAAACTAACTTCACTCTAACTGGGAGAATGAGAAGAGAAAAGAGGGAAAAGAGGAACGGGTAGAGATGGAATGGAGAGAAGGGGGCAAAGAGAGTGAAGGGCGCCGCGCAAAGTTGCAATCATCAAGAAGTTGCTTTACCGCCCCCGCCCCCGTCCCGTAACAATCTCAACATCATCCCAGTCGCCCACACCCGCCGAACGGCCCTGACTCTTTAACTCCTTTCTCCTTATCTAACACCAATAGTCCTATCGCCCTTTTTTTCTCTACATTTCACCGATTTGACGAACTATTAAAGACGAATTATTAAAATAAAATAAAATAAAAAATACGAGGCACCTACACAAAAATAAAACAGTTTGGCCAAAGTTTCAAAGTAAAAAATCTAAGTTCATATTATTCAAATGTCTATTGTGTACATTTTTTTTTCTACGTCCATTGCAGCCATCTTAAAAATCATTGATATTTATTTCGCCACTACAAGATGTGGACCTTAATGTATGCTAAAAAAAATAATAAAAGAATTGCAATCACTTGCCATGCTTCAGGGTAGTATTGCACCTTACAAGTGAGTTAGATTTATTAAGTGTGGTTGTATACAGGCTTTCGAAATTGAAATTTCTTGGATAAAAAATATGCAATTAAAGCTAAGTGTCTGTTTGTTAGGTCCATTATTTTGCATATTTTTTATCCCAGAAATTTTAGATTTAAAACCTGCTGACAACTGCATTAAGTCAACAAATGTAACTCCGTTCTAAGGTGCAATACTGCCCCGAGGATGGCCTTATAAAGGTCGAAAGTTTGGCAAGTGATTGCACTTTCTTTTATCTATTTTGACCGTACACCACATAGTAACTAAGCAATAATTTAACTGAGTCTAATTAAAGAAAAAAACATCTTTTCATTATCGTAATAGTAACAAACAATAAACAAAAGTTGAAGTTTAACTAACGTAGAAAATTATTTACTTTACAACGTTGTTTTTAACTATTTTCTGTTTCTAAACATATTTCTTTATGGAAAACACAAAGTAATAATGGGTCAAGCAAAAGAAAAAAAAAAACATTTTCCATTCAAACAATTACAATAATTAACAAAAGTTTAAGTTGATATAACGAGGATATATCAAGTTTAAGAATTATGAATTATTTATTTTACAAAGTTAGGACTATTCTCGGTTCACGGCAGCCATTTTGTTGTTCTTCATTCTAACTGCAGAACAATAAAAGATTAGTTCGAGTAAAACTTTTCCAATTATAATAACCAGAAACGTTATAACGATAATTTCAAATATAAATTTAACTATATAATTTAATTACATGTATGTAATCGTATTTACACTATTCCTAACAAGTTAGATTCGGACAAAATAAATAGTGAACGTCTTCAGTATTTTTTTTTAATTGTTGCCGATGCATTTTGGGGCCAATCTGGCTTCCCTCTTCAGGGCTTGTTGGAGTAATAATAAACTTGATTTAGAGTTTGTTATTAAGGCTACAAAAAAAAGGCAATCAAGCAAAAAAGAAGGAGTTATATTCCTAAAAATGCTCAGTACCCGGCAACTGTATGCAAGTTTCTTTTCATTTCCGACACGGTTGTGTTGTGTCCACATGATCGGATTAAGTGAAACTATTAGCAATTAAAATAACAAAAATAAAGAAGTCAGTGGTTTAAAATGTAGAAAATAAAGGCGAATATAACAGAATTTGTAATGTTCACAAGTATATTCAACCGACTGACAAGTTCCGTCTAACAGCAATTATATTTTATTGACTGAAGTAAAACAAAAACAAACAAAAAACACATTTCTTGCTGTAGTAATTAAAATAACAACAAACAATTAA